GATGGCGCCGCCTCCGGAAGCTATAATAAAATATATTTAGAGCTGTCGCTGCTGCTCAGGCATGCCATGCAGCAACCAAAGCAGCTGGTTACAGTGCAATGATTACTGAACTGGTATGTGAAAAGTCTTATACACGTAAACAAAAAATACAAATACAAAATACTATTTTTCATTATTCACAATTTCAAAGCAAGGAATCTTAACTCTTGGACATTATTTCACCCCTCTTTCTTACAAGTGAAATTAAGACATTGTATGATAACTTAATTAAAATTTAATTGCTATGAAGGGAGGTGTTTTGTTGTTGCTAAAATTGATTTTGCAAGCAACCCATTATCCTTTATAAGGATATTATAGGATTATAGCAGGGTGCTTATTTTACATGGTGACTAACAAAACAGACTTTTAAATTCTATAGCAAAACGTTTTGGCTTCCACCTTTTTAAGCTGCTCATTTATTCTTTCATTTATATATAAACCTACTACGGGATAATACACTTTTAGAAAAAAGTGATAGGTACCTAATTGTGTGTGTGGTATATAATTTCAGGATGTTGACTGCCTGTTGGGAGGGTGCAGCACCCCCTGGTGGGCAAACGACAAACAGGTAATTGTTTCTTCTTTATCACAGCCACGCAAATACAGTGGTACCTCAGGTTAAGTACTTAATTCCTTCCGGAGGTCCGTACTTAACCTGAAACTGTTCTTAACCTGAAGCACCTCTTTAGCTAATGGGGCCTCCTGCTGCTGCTGCGCCGCCAGAGCACGATTTCTGTTCTCACCCTGAAGCAAAGTTCTTAACCTGAAGAACTATTTCTGGGTTAGCGGAGTCTGTAACCTGAAGCGTATGTAACCCGAGGTACCACTGTATAACATTAGGGTCCACTTTGGTCAGATTCAGATCTCATCATAATCTTCAGTGTTTTTGAACAGTATTTCCTCTGGATGGAAGAAAAAGAGACTGAATTATATCAGCTTTATTCAATTATTTACCATATGTATGTTCTGGCCTTCACTCAAAGGTCTCAGGATAAAAATACATAAAATTAAAACCAAATGTTCAAAAATTGTATTTGACCTTAGTCAAGCCCAGACTCAGGCAGCTGCTGGGTTGAAAATGACCCCACTGGGCCCACTAGGGCTGCCACCTACCCCAGGCATCACTGTTATCAGATTAGCAATGGCTGCTGGCCTCTACCATTTGCAGCCAGCAAGAAGCAGTGCCTGACCGTGATGTTGAGACTGCATTTTGGGAAAGAAAAACCCCCACCCCAGCACCTACTTTCCCATCCAGCGTATGATTGGTGGTGGTGGGAGCAACTGCCTGATGGGATTGGGGGCCCAGGTTGGTCAGCACCACTTTGCCAAGGGTCTGTTTAAGCCTGATGCCAACCTGGACTTAGCAAGGGGGCAGGAGTGTCATTGGCCATATGGCATCAATAAATGAGCCTTTAAGGTTTGGGTTTTACACTGAGGGGGTGGCGAATACAGATTCCACACCTGAGGTTGGCTGTGGAGGCTTCCTCAGAGAAACACCTCTGTGACAGGGTTGGGATTTGAGGTCCCTGTGACTTGGGAGGTCCGCCTCAGGCAGGTAGACTATCTCACTCTATATTTCTTGTCTAGATCTCAAATAAAAAGATGGCAGGCTAATTCTACTGGTCTCTGTAGCTCAGTAGGTGGTGCAGGCAGGCCTCATGTGAATCATTAAATCAGAGCTTTCCAAACTTTTCATGCTGGTGACACACTTTTTAGATATGCATCATTTCGTGACACAGTAATTCAGATTTACTAGCAAACTGGAGGTTAAACTAACCCATTTCCAGCCCCAGGACGAGCAAGCGAGCGTTTGTATGACATGCCGACACACTAATTTGTTGCAGCATACACCTTGGAAAGCTCTGCATTAAATGAAGTCTGGCCTCAGTATCACAGGGGAGCAACTGGCCAAGAGAGAGCCAAGGCAATATGGGTGACCCCTGTCCTTTCACACCAAGTTTTGAGTAGCAGTAGAAGAAATCCTACTTACATTTTGAAGTTTCTTCTACTTACATTTTCTTTCTGCTTACATTTTGAAGTTAACATTATGAAGTTTCTCTGTAGAAAGGTGATTTAAAACACTCAACCAGCACCTATGTTTTCTACCACCCTAAAACCCACCTAAGCTACTCCAACCCCTATGCCTAAATGTCAGTCTAAAAATATACAAAGCTATGGAAAGCATTATATAAAAATATCAATGAAAATGTGTAAGTACCAAAACAAAATATAAATCCTCTTATCCTCTCTCACATACCCACAGACACACTTTCACACTGCACCTACCACTCCTGACTACTGGACTGGACACCTCTGGTTTGTGACTATTAAGCCAGAATTCAAAGAGATGTCACAAAGGGAGGGCAGGTCACTGTTACCTTGACAACCCAGCTACCTGGGCATTGCTCCTCAGTCTTGATGCTTCTTCAGAACTTTGAGGCACCTGATAGTCTGTCTGAAAAACCTTGTTGAAACATCTCTATTCATATTCATATCTCCATTACAGATTATCCTGATTTCTAAGAGAAGTTACCACCCCAGTCTCCTTTTAAATACAATATGAAACGCACATCTCCCAGGTTTAGGGATGTTGATAACACAGCTTTAGGCAATCTGCTTTACAAGCAGGAGGTCCCAGGTTCAATCCCCAGCATCTCTAGGTAGGAATGGGTATCTTCTCTGTCTGAAGCCCCGCAGAACTGCTGTGGATACCAGTGTTGATAACAGTGGGGTAGATAATAGTGGTTTGCTATGATATATGGCCAGCTTCCTATCTAGATTCCTATGTTGTCTTTTAACTTGAGAGCCAGCAACCTTTCCCACAAGACACAATCATTCATTTCTTTCACATACAATATAACATCCTTTTCACATGTACTACTGGCAAGCCAGGTGTCTACTATCTTACTGTATATCTGTGCAGCTGGTTATTCCTGCCTAAGTGTAGAACCTTGTTATGTACTGAAGTTCTCACCCTGGGCCAGCAGGGGGATACTGTAGATAGTTTTCACTCAGGTCCACATATGTAAATAAGGAAATGAAAGTGATGTTCAGTGATTGGATAGTTACAGAAAGTGGTTGCTGTTGCTTTGTAGTTGAGCTCTATATAAGCAGGTTGGCTGAACCCTTCAGCTCGGTTCTTTTCTGGCCTATGAATAAACAAGAGCTGTTTGAAGAATCGCTGTGTCGTCTGATATGCTTACCCACAACTTAACAAACCTTACATTTGTCCCCATTGAAATTCATTTTGATAGCTTGGGCCCAGGTCTCCAATCTGTTAAGGTCATATTGAATCCCGATTCTGTCTTCAGCCGCATTAGCTATCCCTTTCTGTATGTGCTTACATGCTCTTCCAGAATTCTCGTTTGTTTCATTTGGAATTGCATAGCTGCTTCCAGAACATGTCCGTACCATCAAAGCTGAGATGTTGGTGGTAGCTATATGTTTCTCAAACAATCTACTTATGAACAATGTTAAAACTAACTTAAAGAGCACTCATCTCATCTAACCAGTTGGGCACAGAAAATCCAGTTTTTGAATTACTCATTCTCATTATATATCATTAAAACATTATCCTTTAGACACCTATGCATAGGCTAGCCAGGGGTCAGCAAACTTTTTCAGCAGGGGGCCGGTCCACTGTCCCTCAGACATTGTGGGGGGGCCTGACTATATTTTGAAGGGGGAAAAATGAACGAATTCCTATCCCCCACAAATAACCCAGAGATGCCTTTTAAATAAAAGAACACATTCTACTCATGTAAAGACACGCTGATTCCTGGACCATCCACAGGCGAGATTTAGAAGGCAATTGGACCGGATCCAGCCCCCGGGCCATAGTTTGCCTTCCCATGGGCTAGACCCAAATGAAATCAGTTGGGCTCTGCAATTTGGAAGTGATCCACTGCCCTACATCAAGGAAAGGGTATTATTTGCAAGGTTATAAACAAGCCTACATGACTGGAGTCCTTCATACCACAAAAATAAAAACATATTAAACGTGACAAAATCACTTGGTGACAGGCAGCGGGACAAATTGCCAAGGGCACTTCCAGATAACAGCTCTGCAGAGATCCAAAGCAGAGCGCTCTCTCTTGACACCCATCTATCAGTGATATTTAAGGATAATTAAATCAGTTCTACCCCAATGCACAAGCTAGATGAGTCACAGATGATCCCTCCCAACTGAAAGGGTTCTAGTGGATGAAAATAAGCTGTTATAACAAGGAGAGTAGACTGCAGATGCAGCAGAGTCAGTATACAGCATGTAACTAGACAACAGCAATTATTGCAAAAAATCTAAAGGCCAGTGCAGCCCAATGTCTGAATTATTTTACATGTACTGGAGCAGAGATTGTTTGTCTACCAACACCCCCATTTTTTAATTTTGATAACTGCATGCCTATATTTGTTATATTTTCCAGTTCCAGAAATGTATGAGTAGACATTCTTAGTACTGCGTTTGTAAGGTCAAATAATTTCAACTCTGCACTCCCAGAAAGAGAGTCTGCTGCACTTTTGCTCAGTTGAGCGTTGCAGCGCGAACTACATCTCCCAGACACCTTTGCGCAGGCAAGGAGCGAGTCCAGGTCACGCGGTGTGAAAGCCGACCCGAGGCGGGGCGTGCGCGAGAGGGAGGCTGACGTAGGATGTGAACGGCCTAGAACTCCCTTTCCCACAATGCCTCGCGTGGCCAGGAAGGCGATGGGTGGGGCTGCGGGAGCAAAAGCGCCTCGAAAACTCCTCTGGAGAGCGGGAGGGGGAGGAAAAGACTACATCTCCCGGCGTGCTCTACGCGCTGGCGCCTGCGCGGTGAGAAGTCGCACCTGAGGGAAAGAGGGGAGGAGGGAGCGGCCGCCATCTTGCGTGAGGGAGAGACCGGACCAGCTTAGCCAGGAAGGAAGGAAGGAGGGAGGGAAGCAGCTAGTCAGCCGCCGACCCACCACCGCGGAGGAGCCGCCATGAACCCCGAGTAGTGAGTGTTTCTCTGCTGGGCCTGGCCGGAGGGAGGGGGCGGACTGGCTTCTACTTTGGGGAAGGGGAGGGGCTGAAGTTCCGGGCTGTCTTCTTCCTTCCCCCCCATATGAGGCCTAGATAGACTCCCTCCCCCGGTTCTCCTAAGGGCGCCGGTGACAGTCGGTGTCGAGTGGGGGAGAAGAGGCTGAATATATATACATATAATATATATATATACACACACACAAATACGCATGCACATACACATACACCTTAGCCCATTCCTTATAGGTGTGGGGAGTAGTATACATATAACTGGTTGGAGGGAACGGCTGATACTCGACTCTTGTGCCAGCCCCTTCCTCTCCCATGAACTGTTTAGCCCCGTTGCGCTATGGTGCCTCCTGTCCTTGGTAGCTTTTTATGTCTGTCCCCAACTTCCCACTATGTGTCTCTTGCTAGTCTTCACCCCACATTGGTCTTGTGCCATTCTTCCTCCTGCCCCCAAATTGCCCACTTGCCTTGTCTGTCTTTCCCTAACTTTCTGCTGTGTTTTCCCGCAACCACTCCCCTGCCTCCGCCCTCCCCTTGCAACTACTAGCCTCTTGTGCTATTATTCCCACCCCCCGGTGTTCATGATTTCCCCCCTTTCCATTTCGTTTTTACACACCTGCATACCACACTGTTTCACTTATAATGCATTTAGTTCACTTATTTCGTGAAATATCTAAAACAATGTGTGCAGTTAAGAAAAGGGAGATTTAGCCTGTTTTTAAGGACTAAGTCTTCACAGGGTGTTTGAAAGCAGATAGTGTTTCCTTAAGATGTACGATAGACAAACAGATGATGGAAGAGGAAGATGAAAGGTCGATTCACTGATTAAGTGAGGCATACATAAATGTTATATATAGGTGTACCTGTGTGTGTGTGTGTGTGTGTGTGTATAAAGCAGGGATGGGGAATCTGGCCCTCCAGATTTTGCTGGACTACAACTCCCATCACCCCTGGCCATTGACGATGCAGGCTGCTGGGAGTTGGAGTCTAATAACATCTGGAGGGCTGTAGGATCCCTACCCCATATAAAGTTAAGCTTCTGTGTTTGTCCTCATTAACTAAGAAGAGTCTGTTCTCATACATCCCTGCAAAGAAAAAAAAATCTGTAATCCTATTCACCCTTACTTGAAAGTTGACTGTTTTACTCAGTGACACTTGCTTCCAAGTAAAGAAGCATAGAATCAGGATGTAAATTCCTGTGTCTATCTCACTTTCTGTTCAGTGGAATAGTCTTCGAGTTCATATAAACATCTTCCAACTCCATCATGTGCTCCCACTATATTGTCATGTGTTTTTTACTTTGTACAGGAAAGTATCCACCCAATCAGGTGAGTAGTTGTTTACAAATCTGCTGTTAGATCCTCCTATATTATATACCTGCCCACTTAAGTGACCACTTGCCACATTATGTGGTTTCTGACCTAGGAAGTCTTATGCCACAGTGAACAATTAAGGTCTTTAAGGTGCTGCAAGATGCTTTGTGTTTGCTGGAGTTTGTCTTCTGTAGAAGCTATTTAGGTGGTCTGGCCTAACTTCTGTAGTTGACACTGTTCATCTGACCACATTCATTGAGGCCTTGCGAGGTTATCCCAAAGTTGTTTCTGGTAACTTTTCCTGCTGTGTCCTACAGCCTAATCTACAGCCGTGGTAGAAAAGAGCGGGGGGCTTTTACAAGTAAAGTTCATGAGCAAGCAAGCAAGCAGGGATTTGGGCATTAACTCAAACTCCTGCTTCTTTCAAACTGTTAAGAACTTGAAACAAGTTTTGTTAAACTGAGGTAGTTTGTAAAAACAGTAATTTCAAACTGTGTACCAAGTAAGCACAGGTATCTGAGTGCATCTGTATTCCCATCTGCTGAGAATGGGAGATCCCCTTAACACACTACTTTGTGTGTGCAGAGGCACTGGCTTGAAAGCTATTCTTTTATGGGCTAGCACAATCACATTTCAAACCCATCTGTCTGTTTTAGCTAGTCCTACGCAGAGCAGACCCATTGGCATTACTGTATATGACCAACATTGGACCAAGGATGGACACAAGAACTTACATAGAACATAAGAAGCTCCCTTATAAGCTAGCTCAGATCATTTGTCCACCCAGCTCAATTTTGTCCATGCTGACTGGCAGCGGCTCTTCAGACTGAAGTCTTTCCCATGCAGCCTAGGATCTTTTGCATGCAAAGCATGTACTTAACTATTGAGCGACATCCCTTTAAGACTCTGAGTAGAATATGCTGTTGTTTAATTCCCAGATGTCAAGTAGTTGGGCTTTTAGTCATAGAGTGTGAAGGGAAAGCACTATGCAGGTGCTCAAAGGCACACTTTCTTGGAGATACAGAGTTCTGGCCATTGTATGTAGCACGGGAGACTCATGAATCTCAAAATGGGCTCATGAAATCTTCGGGCCCAGCCATAGTGGGCCCGAGGCCACTATAAGTTCTGGGACCTTTGGTCCTTTCTGCTGCATCACTGGCTAGTTCTGACTTGTAAAAAATTACTTGCCTCATGTTCTGTAGAGAATAAATAATGCTTCCATGAAATCAACCAGGAGATCATTGGTTTTACATTCATTCCAGGGATGGGGAGCCTGTAGCCTATCAGCCCCAACCAATGGTTAGGGTTGAAAAGAATTGTAGCTCAGCAACATCTGGAGTGCCACAGGTTCCCTGCATATGTTTTATTCTAAGCTCTTGGTTTTCCAGTGTGGGCAAGCAGGCTAGAACAGCCTTCTTTGGGCCAGTTTCTTCTGTGGACTTCGTTTACAAAGGATTAACAGCTACCCATCAGGATGATCTGCTGCACCTTTTGGGAATGGCTACTCTGAGTCATCTCCAGAAACATTCACCCTCATTATCCAGGGTTGACTGTGGTTGCCATAGCCTCTGTAGAGGCTACTGTAGCTTGTCGGGTCAGCTTTGGTACCTTTGGTTTAAAAAACAAGAGTTTCTTCTCTATCATCTCTTACTTAGCTGGTCATAAATGCCGTTACCATTGAGGTGATGTGTTAGCAAAGTTACAACTGGTAGTGGCTGCAGACTCAGTGGCCAGACTTTGTTTCATTGGCGCCTAGGACAGCAGTATCTTTTCTGAGTGCTGAGCCCAGGCTATATAGTTTACTCTGGTGGAGAGCTAACATAGCATAGTGGCTAAGAAACTGAGCTGTGGAAACAAGAAGTTCCCAATTCAAATCTTGCCTCTTCTGTTAACTCATTAGGGGCAAGCTAAGACACTCTCAGCCTTCCAGCTGCAATGTGGGGAATCATAATATTGATCTACCTTACAGGACTGATGTATACATTACTGATAAGATGTCTGTGTAGCACTTTGCTACATGCTAATCATCACATTAAGTGCTTGGCTGCACAAATCCAGAAAGCATCAGTTCTGCTGGTAAACCTGCATTACAACAGGAACCTCCTGTTTTTAGGGGTGAAGGTGGAACATGATGCTGCACTGGCAGAAATCTTGGGTTGCTCGACCCTTAGGTCTGTAAACATTTATTGTGGATGGCACCTTAAGAACTATAGTGGTGGTTTTGGCTTTGTACAGACCTATTTCTTAAATAGGTAGAGGTTTCTAGCCTTGAAAGGATGTTGGTTATGTCCTATAGAGGTCTGGTGTTCTGAAGCAAAGGGGTGTAGTTTTAAAATAAGGAGAAAGGAGAAATCATCTTTGGTCTTGCAGGGGGAGATAAGTGTATATAAAGTGTCAACAAGATCGTTGGGTTGTCATAACTACTCTGAAAAACAATCTTGAGGTCTCTTTTAAGTTCAAGGGTCTTCTTTCACGGGAAGTGTTCAAAGAAATGACCTGAAGATCATGTGCCATCCTTTCCTGGCAGAATGGATTTGCTGTCTGGCTGCCCTTAACTTTTTAGGACACCTTGGTCTTCACAGTTCAAGTTTGTTGACTGCCTCTTTAGCAGCTGCTGACTCCCCTGCCCTGGTAGCTGTGAGTTGGCTGGGAAAAAACAGATGCGTTCTAGGTTGTGGTGCAATCTGGCAAATAGATCAGAAGCATGTGATCTGGGTCAGATGCCTTTAATCTGAATTTAGGTTCAACAGAATTGGGGCTACCTCTAGCTCAGGCTAAAACCTTTTGAAGTCTGTTTCGCAGTTGTTTGTCCCTTTGGGCCCAGGGCTTGTATATATCTTGCCCTTCCTTTCTCAAACCTGCAATGAGTGAGGAACAGCTGGGAATTGGTGGCATTCCTAAGGTCACCTGAGTCCATGACTGAGGCTTGGGACTTTAGATTTTATTGGCATGCATTTGCTTTGTGAATAGCATTGCCTCCCCCACCCCCCAAGATTAGGGATAGTCCCTTCCCTCTGTGCTTAATCAGGAAAAGTGCCAGCACACCATCTCGTGACTCGCCTGTTTCCTGTCACCTCTCCCGCACACTAGTCAAACACTCCAATTAAGAAACTTCCTTCCTTCTGACTGTTGGCTATACTTACAGTTTGGTACATGGGAGAGAACAGCCTGATAGTCAAGTGCCCTGTTGTGCTTTTGGGGTAGGGGGATCCTTGGCAGCAGTGCTGGTGGTGTGGCAAAGGGGTGGTGTTGTGAAACAGATTCCAGAAGGTTTCTGTGATAGTCCCCTGAGCTGCAACTTCAGATGAGTTGGGGGATAATGGGAAGTGATTCTGGGGCTTTTCGGAACAGGAACGATGTAAGACAAAGGGCCTGAGTAAGACAGTGGAACTGTCTCCCTCTGTGGACTCTCCTTCATTGGAGGTTTTTAAGCAGAGGTTGCATGGCCATCTGTCATGGATGCTAGATGTCTCGTTCCAACTCTACAATTCTCTGATTCTAAGGCCCAGCGACTCAGCTGGGAGCATGATGGTGCTTAGATATATTACACACTCTTCATCACAAGGTCCCAGGGCAGGTCACAACAATGTAAAATACATTAAAACCAGTTTAAAACAATTTACAAGCACAACAGGTGTGGGTCCTAAAATATCTATATCTCAAGTGCAAAAAGGCCCGGCATCTTCAGCCTACAAATGAAAGGTGTATAGTGATGGTGCTAGATATGTCTCTCTGTGGAGGGAGTTCCGCCGCTTAGGGGCTCCCGGGTCATCCCTATCCTGAGCTTCTGAGGGCAGAGGATCTACTCTTAATACCCTCTCTGCTGATCTTCATACCTGAGAAGGTCTGTATGGAAGGAAGCAATCTTTCATATATTTGGGGCCCGTTGCTTTAAACGCTAGCATGAGCACCTTCCATTAAGCTCCCAAAGATGGCCATTCTTAATTGTTATGGAGGCTTAACAGTATTGTTTTAGAAAAGGATGAAGATAAGGTGGTGGAAGTTGTGTTGTAAAACCTCTAGGCCAGCATCTTCTAACCTGGTGCCCTCCAGACATTTTGGACCACAACTCCCATCAGCCCCAGCCAGAACATTGTAGTTCAACATTTCTGGAGGGCACCAGGTTAGAGGAGGCTGCTCCAGGTGGCAGGAGTTAGCCATGATTTAAAATTGAGCCTGTGTTTGAAACAGTTTGCAAACACTGGTTAAAGCTAACCATGGTTAGAGTTGATGTCGCTGTAGGTTAGCTCTGACAAAAGTGAAGCAAGGCAGGGATAAATTTTCACTAGGGTGTGTGGGGAGGAGAGTGCATGAATCACTGACTCACTCCCTGTTGCTTAACCATGAGTAAGAGATTGAGAGAATTATGTTTCTACTGGGCCTTACTGTCCCTAGTGCCAGTTAACCATACTGATTCATAGGAATTAGTAGACATAGTGCCTGAAGTCCACTGCTGCATTTGTCACTGGCGACTGCATCTTTTAATTGGGCAAGGGGCTCTGTCCCTCTTGTCGAATCTGGAAAAGGGAAGGAGATGCTCACCTTGAAGTTCAGTCTCTCAGAAAGTAGTGAAATTTCTTATTGCTTTTTTAGTGCCTCCACCACAACCCATCCTTGGCAAACCAGATGTTGTGGCCTACAACTCCCATCATCCCTGACCACTGTCTATGTTGGATGGGGCTGATGGGGGTTGGAGTACACAGGCTCCCTGCCCTGTTCTAAGCACTTCTGAAGCTAGCATTATAAGTCCTCCCCTCCTTCCCTAGTCCTCCAATGCTCACTGGAAAATTGGAGCGGAGACCTTAACCCACACCTTGGGATAATGGCAGGGCTGGGTCTCTGGTGAGTGCCGAGGCCAAGCAACATTTCTAAAACCCAGCAGAGTACATAATCATGGCGTATACACAGAGCCCTACCCTATGACTTTCCAAGGAAGTATCTGCTTTCGATGAGTAGTGCATTGTGACAGTTCCTACAAAGATGATTTATTTGGATAGTGAAGTCAGACCTGAACAATCAAACAGAACATTCAAACATTGCTCAAGGCTTGTGCATACACAGCAAACTCATCCAAATGATAACCTTGTCAAAGAAGCAAATGTGGTGGGGTATTTAATGCAGTTTGCTGCATTTCAAATACATGTTTCACTTTGTGTAGAGGTGCTCCTTTACAGAATACCTGCCGGCCACAGATAATCTGGGGTATAGCCATATCTCAGTGCTAGAGCATCTGCTTCTTATGCAGAAAGTCCCTGGTCTAATCCCTGACATCTCTAGATAGTGCTGGGAACATTCCCTTGCCTGAAAGTTTGGAGACCTGTCTCCAGGCAGTGTAGATGCTACTGAGCCATGTGGACCAGTGGCATGACTTGGTATAAGACAGATTTCAATTTCCTGTTGGGTGAGCTGGGACATGAGCTTGAACAGTGAGGAAGCTGATTAATTGGGGGCGGACAGGCAGTACCACTTGGGACCTAATGGTTTCTGCTTTGGCCTGCTCTGGCTCCTGATTTCTTCAGTAGATAACAATCAAGATGTTTTTGTACCTCCCTTGAGCAATTTCACAAGAGAACTTGGATTTCTGGGGCAGCCAGATCCTGTGCTATATTACTGTAATATTCAGAATACTCAAGCTTAGTATAAGAATGTCCTCACTGCTGAGTCAGGTACAGTGTCTGGAGAGGAAACAAATTAGCCCAGATGATGATGATGAGCGATACTTTTTCTATCCATACAAAACTTGTCTGTTCTCCTCTTTCTATTTTCCAGTGACTACCTGTTCAAACTGCTTCTGATTGGTGACTCCGGTGTGGGGAAGTCATGTCTCTTATTGCGGTTTGCTGTAAGTATTTACTCTTGCCCTAAGTGGCAACCTTTCTTCCTAGCCTGGGGAGCAATGCAACCCTCCAGGGCTCCCTGTCTGGTCTATGGCATGCTTCCCAGGCCACCCCCCCTCCTCCAGACCACATCCTCCTTGAGGCAGCTGCCATGTGGTGGCACTATGGGTGCAGGATGAGTGCCTTGCCCACTGCTGGTGGAGAAGCTGCAAGAAACAAGGAGAAGAGGCAGCGGCTTCTGGCAAGATCTTGTGGACCTCTCAAAATGCACCTGGCGTGTGGTGAATTTCAAATGCTGCATTTTGAGAGGCCCACAAGATTATATATCTGAGTTTGAACCCCGGTAAGTGAGACTTCAGCAGGGGCAGTAGTAGGAGTTGAGGACACCTTCCTGTTTCACCTCAGGTAGTGAAATGGGATGGGCCACCCCTGACTCTGCACATCCCTCTTTCTTTTCTGGATGAAGGCTACTCTGCTCACTTTTGCCTTTCTCCCCACCCATCACTGGCATGTCGCCCTCAAAAGCTTTACCAGAAGGGAATGCAGTCCTCAGGGTGAAGGGGTTTCCCCAACCCTTGTCCTAGCCTATTGTTAGTGAGCCTAAGAGAAAGCAACTGATTGGAGCTGCCTCTTGGTGATGAGTTTTCTTAAAGCTTTTCAGTAGATTTGAGCCAACTGAAGAGGCACAAGACCTGTGACTAATCCCCTTGGAATCTCTTATCTCACCCCCCCCTTAACACACACAAAAATACAACATTCATTGTGAGGAAGCTTTGTTTTCTCTGTTTGCCCCTCAGGATGAGCAGCTGTAGCAATACAGTTTTTAAATTTTTCTGGTCTTTAGGAAATCCCTCTTCCATTCCAACATGTCTGCCAAGGAACCCTAGTTTGCAGTGTAGAGAGTTTTGCTAAATGCATTGCTTACATGAGCTGAGCATAGATTAAGAAACAGACTCCCCCCACAACCGAGTAGTTGTCATGAGCCTAAAAATTCTGAGTATTATTTATTAAATTTCTATCCCACCCTTCCTGCCAAAGAAGCACAGGGTGGCAAACATCAAACAGTTTAAACAATGCAATTTAAAATAAAATAACCTATTTAAAACATTTGAAAAATTATCTAAAAACATTTAGAGGCAATCACAATGGTACTACTACCAGTAAGAGATCTCCCATTTCTGGGTGCTGTATTAGACATACCGCCTTGCCTGCAGGCTTACAGTCAGAAGGTAGAAACAAAACAAGAGGTGGAGGAGGAGAATCAAACTGGGGAAAGCCAGGATGAATAGCCATTGCACTGGAGTTGGGTGGCAGTTTCAGTACTGGCTGCCTGCAGTCCTCCCCAGCCTTCAGACTCAGACACTGATTGTCGAAAGCCACAAGAAAACCTTTATTAACTGTGATGTTTTTGCTGCTGAACTTATTCCCATTGAGAAACCCTAATGGGACCTTGAAGAACCTCTGAACTTGGAACAGTCCTGGGGCGAGGAATCATTGGTCTAGACTGCGCAGGAAGACAAGGGGAAAGTTGGTTTTGGTGGATTCCTTCCCTTCTGTTGTGTAATGCGTGGTTTATACAGTGGTCTCACACTACAGTTGTTCCTTGCCAGTTGGCATTCTAGGCATATGCCAGCCTTCCCCAACCCTGTGCCCTTCAGATGTTTTGGATTACAACAACTCCCAATAACCCCATCCAGCATGGATGTGCTGCCAGAGGTTGGTTGGATATAAATGCCGTTACCGAAAATGTACACTGCTTATGTTTCATGTGTGTTTGGAAATCTTGAATGTTAGAATTGTTGGCTGCATTTTGATACACCTTTCCCTCACCCAACAAAAGAGAATTGAGAACAGGAACAATGTCTTCTGTCTGCAACTTCTTCTTATTGTTGATGAAACACTCTCTTTCCTAGGATGACACCTACACAGAAAGCTACATTAGCACCATTGGGGTGGACTTCAAAATCCGCACCATCGAGTTGGATGGCAAAACTATCAAGCTGCAAATTGTGAGTCTGTAAATCTCTTGGTTTCAAAAGTGTCTTTAAATGAGTTTTTGGATGTGGGAACTAATCCCAGAATTCTGGATTGTTCATTGATTCCTCTGTGGAGAAGATGAATCACATTCCTATAGCTCTGTCTAAAGGTTTTGCAAGATCCAGTTTCATCCATGGGTTGTAATCTAATGGTGCTGAGCCACAACTGTTATCATCTCTTCCCTCTCCAGTGGGACACGGCCGGGCAGGAACGGTTTCGAACCATCACCTCCAGTTACTACCGAGGGGCACATGGAATAATTGTGGTGTATGACGTAACGGATCAGGTAGAGTAATGGCTGCATTGTGGTGGTTAGAGCAGGGGTGGGAGATGGGTTGGGGGAAGATGAAAAAATCTGTGTGTGTCTGTTTAGGGTATCCAGCTCTGGGGGTGAGGAGGAACAGTGGGAAAGAGGGACCATGAGTGTAAAAGGCAATCACCCACCTCATTTCTACAGAAGATGGTCTATGGCTGACATCTGTTCAGAAGGGTGGACCAAATGCTCCCATTTCCAGATGTTATGTTGGTAGCGGTGTCTTGAATCAAAAGGCAGCTCTGTCTAACTAGAGACCATGAGAAGCGATTATCTCTCTATCCCCGATTAACAGGTGCAGTTCAAATTGTAATGTCAAAACACCCAAAAGGATGAAAGCAGGACAGTTAACTGGAGTGAGTGAGCAAAGCTCCATTCTGGCACATTTTTACCTCTCTTATTGATGTATTTTGTGGATTGATGCATGGGTTGGATCCAATGATGTCCTACTTGGAGTAGACCCATTGAAATGAATGGACCTAAGTTTGTTCTCTGAACAGGACTAAAGTTGCCTACAACCCTAGGGCCATAATTTCGGAGAGCTCAGAATTTCCTAAGTTCTCCTTAAGGCTGAAGTTCTTGGGGGTCTGAGTTTTGTATTAAGTATTTCGTGAGATTCTTTCCATTGATGAAGCTGTCTAGTCTCCCTACAGTCCTTTCCAGTGCCAAGGGATAATCAGGTTGATGGCCAGGCTTGGAAGTCTGAGCTCTGCTGCCTCTCATCCTCTTCCCTCTTGTGGGCTCCCACCTTTCAGGAATCCTACAACAACGTGAAGCAGTGGCTTCAGGAAATTGAGCGCTACGCCAGTGAAAATGTCAACAAGCTTCTCGTGGGCAACAAGTGTGACTTGACCACAAAAAAAGTGGTGGACTACACAACTGCCAAGGTGAGCCGCTGAAGGCAAGGCAGATGCCAGTGGCTGGGAAGAATAGCAAGTTGGAGGAGTTGCTCTTGTCCTTTAGGGCTTCTCACAGGCATCTGGTTGGCCACTGTTAAAAAAGGTAAAGGTAAAGGGCCAGTCGTGTCCGACTCTAGGGTTGTGTGCCCATCTCACTTAAGAGGCCGGGGCCAGCGCTGTCCGGAGACACTTCCGGGTCATGTGGCCAGCGTGACAAAGCTGCTCTGGCGAGCCAGCACCAGCGCAGCACACGGAAACGCCGTTTACCTTCCCGCTATAAAGCGGTACCTATTTATTTACTTGCACTTAGGGGTGCTTTCGAACTGCTAGGTGGGCAGGAGCTGGGACCGAAAGACGGGAGTTCACTCCGCCGCGGGGATTCGTACCGCCGACCATACGATTGGCAAGTCCTAGGCACTGAGGTTTTACCCACAGCGCCACCCGCGTCCCTAGTTAAAAAAGGACACTGCACTAAATGAACCACAGACCTGATCTAGCAGCCAGGCTCTTCCTATGCTCTTCAGGCTTTTCTTAGGTTCTTCAGGCAGGCGCAAGCAAACCCTGCAAATCAGCAACCTTTTCCCTCTCATCCTCAAGGCAGGAAGTGGGGCAACATTCGCTCCCTGTCAACCTTCTGGAGGCCATATACCAATGGTGGGTGGGACCAGAGGCAAAAATGGCTGGAGCAACAAATGTAAATTTTCATTTGGCAAGTTCTATTCTGCACAAGTTCATACACTCTCCCTCCTTTATCCTCAATCCAAACAAGTGTGATCAGAGTTTGACACAATTCCAGCCGGGCAAAAGCACTCCGGGAAGATGTGGGAGGAGTGTAGCCTAGGGAGAATTCAGTGGTCCAGGTAGATGGCCTGGAGAGGCACATTTGACTCCAGGCCTGAAGTTCCCCACCACATCATAAGGCCTGGTCTGCATGTGACAGAGCACAATGTTGTTGAAAGGACCTCAGCATAACCCTGCAGACAGCTTAGGCACAAATAGTCTTTAACAAAAAACAAAACACCTAGCAGCCGTTTAGTGGGGGAAAATGTTTTTAAAAACACATAATTCTTTATAGGCTTGGCTCTTGCATGTAACACTTCAGCGAAGGAAGGCAAAGCAATTCAGTTCAAACGCCCCATTGTAAACAGCTGTCCTGGATCAGCAAATTAATTATTCTTTACTTTTGCCTTTCAGATGCTCCGAATAGAGGCAGTGTTCTGCTTATTTTAGCTTTTCAAACTATATGGTACAGACAGGTGTCTAGATCATATCTTTGAATGTCAGAATGCCTTGGGAACCTCCTGGCCCTTCTCTGGAACATCTGCTTTTATTTGCTTGCATCAGGGATAGCCAACATTGTGCTCTCCAGACTGTAGCACATCAGCCCTAGTGAGCAAGGCTAAGGATGGTGGGAGTTGTAGTATAGCGATATATCGATGGCACCATGTTGGCTACTGCTGATTTACATTATTTATTTCCCACACCCTCAACCTAAAGCCAGTGGTGGAATGGTGGTTAGAGTGTTGTATTAGGACCTGGGAGAGCAGGGTTCAAATCCCTGCTCAGCAAAACATGCTCAGCCTAACCTGCCCCAAAGGGTTGTTGTGAGGATAACACGAGGAGGAAGAGAAGCATGTACACTACCTGAATCTCCCTGGAGGAAAAGGGGGATATAACTGTAACAAAGAAATGTCCAAGGGCAGCTAACAATAATAGTAAGAAGCAAAGTACATTGTAATATTATTAATAATAATAATAGTATAAAAACAGCAAATTAAAGCAACAAATTGAAGGAGAATGTGAAGAAAGGCCTCAGGCAACAATCTCAGTGTACACGTGGATTGATTATGGGAGATGGTTCAGCTCCTGGCCTTGCAAGGAGCCTCTGACCTATGTAATAAAACCTGGGACTCTTTGCTCCTTCCTAACCTTCCCTCTCTCTTTTCTTTGGGCAGGAATTCGCAGACTCGCTTGGGATCCCCTTCCTGGAGACCAGCGCCAAGAATGCCACCAATGTGGAGCAGTCGTTCATGACTATGGCGGCTGAGATCAAGAAACGCATGGGCCCGGGTGCCACGGCTGGCGGCGACAGACCCAACCTGAAAATTGACAGCACTCCGGTCAAACAAGGAGGCGGCGGCTGCTGCTGAGGAGGAGGGACATGAGGATAGCGTGGGGGGGCAGCCGGGGGGGCAGGCTGTGGGGAGAGGGGGCCTGCCCTTCCCCTTCTGGTCCAGCCCCACCTCCTGCTTCTTTTTCTTCTCCGAAGGTGGCTTTCCCGGATGATACCTCGCCGGAGGGGGACGGGACCTCCCTCCCCTTCCAGCTCAGCTGCTCCAAGTGCTGTTGAGTATCCTCGGCCTGTTTATTTTGGTTTTGGGGTTTTGTTTTGTTTTGTCACTTAACTCTGTAGGGGATTTTGTGTGGGAGGGGTATTGGGGTTGCGGGAGGCAGTGGGTTGGGCTGAGGGTGGGCTCTGTACAGGTTGCAAGCTTCCCTACAACAGGGGGAAGTGGGGGGTGATGACATGCTCGTCTGCCTTGGGGCCCTCCTTCCCCCTCCGCACCCCCCAAGGTAGGCAAGGCCTGGGCAATGGTTCTCTTTGCTGGTTTCGTTACGCTGCCCTCCCTTCTCTTCCCCCACCTCCAAAACTGTGTTTCTAATCTGGGGCAGAGCGTTGGTTATCTTTCGCTTCAGTCTCCCTTTGCTTCCTGCCCCCATGAGTCTTTGGACTTTGCTAGGGCAAGCCTGAGTTCCTGTGTCCTGTCCTTCTTACTGGCATTTGACTGGTTTGTCAGCAGGCAGGGTTTAGCTGGCAAAGGGCTGAAGTGTCTGTGCATCTCCCCCCCCCCCCTTGTCTCCAGGCCCCATTTGGACAAGATGCCGTGTGGCCCACCGCACTCATTCCCCTGCATGTAGCAACTGCTTTCTTTTTCTGCCAGGGGCGGGGGCTTGGTGTCCCTTGCTTCCTTGCCATTTTTTCTACCACCACATCCTTTCTGCCCCGGCCACTCCTAAAACCTTTCCTCTCAGGGCACCCTGTCTCACAGCTCCTCGCTTTCCTAGCTGTCTTCTCCCTGCTGTGCCCCGTTTTTCCCAGCCTCCTCTAGGAACAGACATCCTGCTGGCCTCTAGCGGGAGGAGAAATGTGTAATATGGCTTCCCTCCATCACTAGCGCTGCTGCTGCTGCTGCTTCCCCTCGCCCAAGTGGCGGGTGGTTTATTGATCTAATTTAATCCTTCCTCAAGACTGAACTACTGGGAGGAAGGAAGGTGGGTCGCGGGGGGCTTCCCAGCTCCTGCATTCCACAGTCGATGAATGTATCTTTTGGACAGCTGGGCAAACTCTGTGAGTCTGCTTCAGGTGTGGTCTGAGCAGGACCCCGCTCACCTATGGCCATCTTGGCATGCTTTGGCCCTGATCTTCCTCCCACGCCACCCATTGATTCCCTTGTTGATATTGCAGGTCCGTGTAGCCAAACCCTATTCTTTTCCACCCACCCATCTTCCTTCCCTGGATCATGACCAAACCAAGGCCCATCCGTCCCCCCCTGTCGCCCCCACTACCCCCGGTTTGGGGCTCTGGCTCCCAAGAATGCTGTATCGTTTTTTGTTTTTTTTAGCACCAGGAAGCTGCATTTTCCATATTGCTTCACTACTACATTCATCCCATTGTCTTTCCCCTTCCCCCACTTTATTTAAGGAACGTCAGGGACCCCGCTGGGCCAGGAAGTGGGTGGAAGGTGGTTTTGTTCGTCAGCTTCTTCTTTTTCCACAAGTGAAATTAAAAAAACACAAATGAGAGGAAAAGAGAAAAAAATCCAATAAAACATAACCAGCCTCTGCAAAATGAGGGATTTTCAGGCTTGGCTGTGTAGTCCTTATCTTCCTTCCTGCAAGGGATTCAAAAGGGTTGAGCTGTGCTTATGGATTGTTGGGGTGGTGGTGTGTTTGCACTCTTGAAATGTTGCACCCAAGGAGTGGTGGATGTTAATGATCTTAACTCCCACAGCTATGCTGGTAACCCCAGGCATCTCCTCTTCTTTCCTTTCCCTGCCCTGATGAAAAGCCATCAACTGAATTTGAAAAAATGTCGCCATCTCATTTCTGGCTGCAGGAAAATAAGTGTCAGCTGAAAGAGCGTGCCAGACAAGAGTCTTGTGTCCCTTTCTTGGTTCAATCAGGAAAAATCAGGTTCCTTTGGGTCTTCAACATCTTCTTGAGGAGAGTAAACTGTGGGTGGGAACGTGTCTCTGCATCCTGTTGGGCTCCCTATGGCAAGATTTGCCTTCCAGCTGAGAGCCACTAGTTTTTAATGTTCATTTTTAGCTTGGTGTAGCCAGTGCCGTGTCTGCTTTTGTGCCTCATCCTGGCTGGTAAAATCAGCCTCCATCTGTGACTTTATTGTGCAAGGCAGAGTTGATACTCCAGGGTGGGGCTCGGGTACTCTTTCTTTCATGATTCCACAGAACTGCTGAAAAGCAGAACGCAGGAAGCCTGATTGTGCAAGATGGATTAGGCAAACACTTCCAGGTTATCTGTAGATTTGTGGCTTTTGCTAACAAAACCCGGTTATCTTTTTAACTGTGGCTCGGGCTTAATGTGCTGGCTCCTGGCCTTTCATGAAGTGGGATTCAGAGAGCTCAGGTTCTCACTGCCCATTCTCCAGGTCGGACCCTAGAATTGCTGTAGCCAATGTGGTATAATGGACTTAGGGGCAGGGAAGACTTCAAAGCTATGTCAAACCTGTGTGTGTGAATGAGAGAAAAATGGTAGGCTTCCCCCACCCCTGCTCCACACAGTGCCATCCAGAAGCCCTGGACCACAACTCTTATTGACACCAATGGTTATGCTGCCTGGGGCTGATGAGATCTGCAGTCCAAAACATCTGGAGCACACCAGCCTAGGAAAGGATGAAGTAGACTGTTTCTGGTTATGTGGGCCACAGACTTACCTGTTATCAGGCATGGGAAAAGGTGCTTTCAAAGCCTCCATACAGGGGGTTTGCTCTTCTGGCAAAGCTTGTGCAGGATGTGGCTGTCGGAACACACTGAGAACCTCCAGCCACTTGTCAAGCTCCTTGATCATGCAGCCGTCAATGAAATTTAGGCAGTGGTCTCCTGTTACCTGCTGGTGCTTCTTGTCGAAGAGCTCAGCCTGCAGTGGGCAGGAGAAGTGGTTCCTCCAGTCTCCAGCAATGCCTTTCCTCATGAACGGGCTTTTTTCGATCATCTCATGAGGGATGCGTGTACCATTCACGAACCTGCAGTGCCTCCAGGTGGAATCCAGGAAGGCACCCAGTCCTCCAGGCCCTCATGTAGCTCATCATAGGTGGCATTGGAAACCTCCAGCTCCTCCTTGCAGCTGAGTCAGACTTTGGTGTCCTCAAACCAGGAGCCATAATGCTCTGTGCCATCCAAGTAGCTGAGGAGAATCTCATGGAAGCAGCCAGGGTGATGGAAGAAATTGGCCATGCTTAGAACTGAGAGGACGACATGGCAACGCCTTCAGGGTTGCTGACCAAATGGATCACCTTGGGCTTGGATTTCTTCAAGGACGATGTTGGACACCCCTAGACTAGGCAACAATTGCACCATATCAGCCTTCATCGGTGTGCTGTTGTTGAACTACCCTTAAATCCAAAATAGTTTATCGCACATGCCTTCAGTTAGAGGGAGCTGTAGTTTGTTATGGGTGCTAGGAACTTAGCTCTGTGGGAGGTAATGTTCCCATGGTTCTTTGGGGGAAGCCATGGGCTTTAAATATATGGTGTGGAGGCAACCAAAGCCTTTAGGGTACCACAAAGCTCTTAATGTATTATTACAGATTTAGGGGTAACAGAGTTTAGGGATGCGAGGGCACTCATAACTGCTAAGAGTTAGTGAATGTCAGAAATTAGTAAAATGGTAGAATTTAGATACTATTTGGGATACTGAAGGGAAAATACAGGCTGCAGCAGTTCACCTGAAATGGGCCACACAGATAAGTTCCTGGGTTTCCGCAAATGAGCCTTGCTGGGCTAGCTAAATGCAGTCATTGAGAAACAATGGAGAGTCAGGTACTGGGTTATTAAGGGCCATTGGCAATGCAAAAAGCTACCCTTCCCTCTTGCTCTGAGGAGTGGACAGAGACAGTAGATTTGGGTGGTTGCCCAGCGTGATGGGGGGCAGCGGCATGGTGCCACACAGGGAAAATGTGCCCCTTTTAAAACAGAGAGGCTGCTTAGCAAGTGTTCTTGGGAAGGAGAAGGAGGTGCCAGAGCTCCAGGCAGAGGCCAGGTGGGGCAGAACCATATTGGCAGGCTGGGGAAAAGGCATGGAAATGGTGTGCAGGATGCCATGAGCTCCAATGCTGTGCTGTTGTGGGGAACAAGCCCCCCCCCCATGCTGTGAACTCTCTTTACCTAGATCCAGGTGTACAGAGGTGTAAAACCATATACAGTGGTACCTCGGATTGCATACGCTTCAGGTTACAGACTCTGCTAACCCAGAAATAGTACCTCGGGTTAAGAACTTTGCTTCATGATGAGAACAGAAATCGTGCTCCGGCAGCACAGCAGCAGCAGGAGGCCCCATTGGCTAAAGTGGTGCTTCAGGTTAAGAACAGTTTCAGGTTAAGTACGGACCTCCAGAACGAATTAAGTACTTAACCTGAGGTACCACTGTATCTTAAAATGCTACAGTCTCTTATGTGCCTGAATTCCTAACGGAAACAGGACCCTGGGTAAGCGCCTGGAACCCCCTGGAAATTTGCTACCGCTCAGCAGCGACTGGGGTGATCTGCAACCTTTGTAACAGTATATAGGCTTTGTACACACTGGCATTAAAAGCACATTTGAAACAGAGACTTTCCCCCATAGAATTCTTGGCACTGTAATTTTCTCCTCCCAGAGTTACAATTCCTAGTAACCCTTAATAAACTACAGCGCCCAGAATTCTTTGAGGGGGGCGGGAATGTGCTTTAAAGGTACAGTGTGTACACGGCCTTAGTTGTCCTAAGCTGTCCCCAAAGGAGCCACTAGAGGGTGCCAACCCACCAGCAACGTTTTCCAACCAAATCTTAATTGCCCCATTGTGCACCCAATTTGCTCTCGGGTAAGAAACAAAGCTGAATATGGGAGAGAATAAGAATTTGCTTTGCTCAGCAACCTCCAGCCTGCCCGACCTGTGCCAGGGTGGCTCGGAACAGCCGGCAAGGGACTGGGCCGCCGCGGAACAGGCTGTTTCTGCTGCCTATGGTAGTGTGAATGATCTATATGCTATTGTCCTGTTTCTCCCCAAGTCTCTATTTTAAGCCCTCAGCCGGCAAGTATTAAGGTCAGTTCAAGGCAATGGGAGCAGACTCAGCAAAGCATTTCTACACAGGGGAAAAGTCTACATGTCCACAGTGATGCCCACACTATGTTTTCTGTACCCTCAAAACACACCATACCCTGCAAGGCAAAACCTTCTAGAGGAATTACAGCAAAACTAATTAAAAGTTTTGTAGCAGCTTAAAAAATAACAGATGCTTATGATGGCGAAAGCTTATGTGGCAGTTTGAATAAAGGGTTACCCTCGTTTAGCAGGTATATAAATACTTGTTGTTATTGTTAATTTATTACCTGCCCTTCACCCTAAGGTCCCAGAGCAGGTTACAGCATTAAAAACAACATTTAGAACAACTTTCATGATGGTCTAATGACATTGCAATATAACAGAATACCAAACCAGAAAAACTACCGTATGGAAAGTTTGACTGTAGCATGGTATGAAAATCTTCTGTTACAGATTATAACTATGCCAGCTAATTCTAAACAAGTAGCTGGACATTTGTTAGAAAGAATATTATGTAGCTGCCTTCTTTACCTTGAGCAATCAGGCAGTGATGGAGGGCATAGTGGTAAATTTTGAATTGCAGGTGCTTATTCTGGGAGCCCATATAGTCATTATTAGGATGAGAACAACTGCAATCCTATGAATAGCTTCTTAGGAGTGTTGGTTAGTTCTGACTGAATGGGTTCAGCTTATGAAGCAGGCATCTTTTAAAGGTCTTCATCCCACTGAAATGCAAATAGGCATTATTATCTAAACTGCTGGCATGAAGCTGGAACCTCATCAAAGGAAAGGAAAGAAGTGTCTAGCCTCTTGTTTCCCTCTATTTTAATCTGTTACGAATTTGAAAGCTTCGTTAACACTTCACTCACTTGCCAGAACAAGAAAAGTTATTTAACACTGCCAGTGCTTCAACCAGCAGGTGACATCATTTGCTCCTGCTCTGGGGTGGGGAGAAGTAATCCCAGAGCTGTGAGTGCCAGTGCTTATGTATCTGCATAACGTTCCAGAGCATTGGCTGTAAAAAATAAAAAAGTAAAGGTGCTACGAGAGTCCCAGCAAATTTTCCATGAAATAAGTGAAGCTGCTATGGATGCTAATGGCAACAAAGCTAGAAAGATTAAAAGCAATACAACTACTGCTGTTATCAACAGGCACAGTGCTTATCAGGGCTGGGGAACCTTTGGCTCTGAAAGTGTTGCTGCACAACATCTCCTGGGCATGAGAAGTGCTTTGAACACTTGAGAGAAGAGTACAGATGGGAAGCATGATATTCTTTACAGCAAGCGTAGCCAATGTAGTGCCCATTATGGTAGAGGGAAGTGGGGGGCAGATGGGGCTGGGAAGGTAGCCCATCTAGGAAAAGGAAAACTCTGACTCTTGTGAGATATCTTTGGGAGAAGAAAAGGCTAAGGCAGTTGTTTTCAACCAGTGTGCCGTGGCACCCTGGAGTGCCTTGAATGATGGTCAGGGGTGCCACAGGCAATACTGGCCTCTCCCTTTTCCCCTCCCTCTTCTGATGCCCTCTCAGATCTCTGCCTCCCCAAGGCTTGCACAGCTCTTTGTTGCAGTGACCCTGGCTACAAGCTCCACAAGTGAATAGTGCTTCTGGGGCTGGGCAGGGGGTGCTGGCTGCCAGAAGGTGAGGCAGCCTCGGAGTAAGCAAGCAGGCAAGGGAGCCCAGCCAGCCAGCCAGTCCTCCAGCCCTTGCTGTTGGGAAAGGACAGTGTGAGGCACGTGAAGTGTAGGTGGGTTCCCACAAGGCAAGACACAATCATAACAGCAAGAACCTTTATTGAACTACATAACTGGGAAACAGGCAAAGCAACCGCTTATATACATTTCTGAAAGCTTGGGCCACTCACAATGTGATTGGCTGTCTAAACTTCCAAGCTGCAAATCACGACTCAGAGTTCAAGGGCCAATGGAAGAGGCCCAGATCCTGAAATGTTCTGTGATTGGACATCATGTATTGAATCAGAACACAGGAGCTCAGAATCCTTAGTCCAGACTCGAGCTCAGACAAACACAGACCACTGAACACATAACACCACATCTCTTTGGGGTGAGGTAAGATCAGAGATCGGGGCGGCAGCAGCAGCAGCAGCTGCTGCCCGGAGGACTCCCAATAAGAGGGAAGAGGAGAGGAGACTGAGGAAACTCTACAAGGGAAGGGTGTTCGAAAAAGGATGAGAGACTGCCAGCATTGCAGGCAAGGAGTGACATACCTGGGCTCCTGAGCCCCACAGGGGTGCTGCAGGAAGAATGTAGTTAGTCAAGGGAGCCGTGGACTCAAAAAGGTTGAAAACCTCTGGGCTAAGGAGTAAACCCTACAAAAACCGGAGTCCCTAAGATGGTGGGTCCTGCCTGCTGCCTTCCTCCTCCTCCTTAGTCTTAGTGTTGCCCCTTGTATTGCTCAGCGAAGAGGAGGATGTGAGCAATGCTAGAATTAGCTGGCTCTGCCTGTCCTTGGCTCTGGCTCCACCTGCTTTGGGGCTCCCTGCCTTCTGCCCCACAAGTCCCCATGACACATCAGCCACCATTGTTTACATTGGATGCATCCGCACGAACTTGGCTGCATGAACAAAGCCTGTGAGATTATAAAGGTTGCAAAGTCGAGGATTTCAGTTGCCTGGGCAACCTAAACCGAGCCTCCTCTCCCCCAACCCCATCGCTTTTCGGTTAGTGACATGGTCTTAAAGCCAGCGACTGCTGTTTCCCTAAGGTTCTTACCTCACTTTGGCGCTCTGGGCAGGGAGGAAGGGGCTGGTGGGTGGATCTCGATGTTGTTCTTGCATCGTGTAATCCAAGAGATGGGATTAGTTCCTTTAAAACCTGCGTGAAAGAACGGCTCAAAATTGAATTAACAATACTGAGGGATTTGGGGGAAGGTGGGGGGGGGAGCCCCAATGTGTTTCTGACAAATTGAACAACAACAAGTAGACAAAGCCTCCAGAGTACAAAGCCCAGATTCCAGGGATTTGCATGGGGTTTAGAGCCGATGTTTTTGTAAGGTATGTTATGTGCCGAAAACCGCATCTTCTTGTGTGTGCCCTACCCCACCTCCCTGGCCTGTCAACTGATTAGGGCATTTTTTTTGGCTGACTTAATTTGGATCACTTGCAGCTGATCAATCAGTTAATAAAGCTAAATGCACATGTGTACCACCCAAACCAATATATATATCAGTGCTGTTGTTATTGTGATGAAACATTTGCAATATCTGAACCCACACATGCAGAAAATCTGAATCCATTTCTAATCCTTTAAAAGAGGGAGATACTATTGTTATTATTTAAGTTTCCATCTGGTCCTTCCTCCTGAAGGAGTCCAGGGCAGCAAACACACAAACACCTTCAAAACAATCCCAGTACTGTACAGATGCAGACTGGGAAAGGGTCTTATCTTAAAAGGCTTGTTAAAGGGTCTTCAGCAGCTGCTGGAATGGCAAGAGAGACCATAATTAATGGGAGGGAGATCCAAAGGGGTAGCTACCCCACAACACAGGCCCAATTCCTATATCAAAAGATGGTATCTGCCAGAGGCCCTCTCCTGCTGCACACAGTGATTGATTGGGTATATAATCTTTCAGGTATCCTGGTCCCAAGCTGTAAAGGTAGCTTTTTGATATAATTGAGCGCTGCAAGGCTGGCTTAAGTGTTGATATGTCTGGGTATTTTGTTTTTCAAAGCAGGTTTCTAGTCCTCAGGAACGCTGAGGTTCCAGTTGCGAAGGCAGAAGTCCGAGCAAGGTTTGCTGTAAAGGAGCAACTCACTGAAGGAGAGAGGCCATGGGGTCTTGTCCAAAGGTTCTCTAGAAACCTGGTACTGGGAAGAAGTGTGAGAAGGTACAAGTGAACTGAAGAAGCTGCTGCACATTACTGTAGGGCAGGGGTGGCCAACTCCCAAGAGACTGCGATCTACTCACAGAGTTAAAAACTGACAGTGATCTACCCCCTCTTTTGGGGTTCAGGTCAAAGTTATTGAGCTTCTTTTAGGAGGGAGGGAGGGCTTTTTTTAGGGGAGCCAAAGTTGTTGGGCTTCTTTGGGGGGAGCCAGTGATCAACCAGTGATCTACCACGGATGTCCAGTGATCTACCAGTAGATCACGATCTACCTGTTGGACGTGCCTGCTGTAGGGGAAGTCCTCTTGCATTACCATTTCCTATTCTTTTTGACTGTAACACACCAGAACCAAAATGGCCTCCCTGAAATAAGCTTCATCGCCATTAATTAAAATGTGACGATAGCATCACCCTGGTTCTGAGGCAGGTGGCTGGAATGGTCAAAATAGGATTGGGAGACCTGGGTTCAAATCCCCACTCAGCCACAAAGCTCATTGGGTGATCTCAGGCCAGGCACCAACTCTCTGCCTAATCTACCTCACAAGACTGTTGGGAAGATTGAAGGGTAAAAGATGTGGGTATGGAGAGAACAACCTTGAGCTCTTTGGAAGAAAGATGGGGTATAAATGGAATAAAGAATTGCATCTTGAAGGAGCCCTCAGTTATTATAACATTTATATCCCCACCTTTCATTCAAGGTGCTCAAGGTGGTATACGGCTGCCCCTTCCCCATGTTATCCTCACAATAACCCTGTGAGGTAATTTAGGCTGAAGTACAGTGAATGGCCCACAATCATGGGCTGGATGCAGATTTAAACCCTGGTCAAAGTTGGGGTTGTGAGTCCAGCGCTCTAACCACTATACCACATACCTCTTAAGGCTGCCTCCATTTTAAAAAGTTGTGATTTGGAATTTTAAACTGCAGTAGGACAAGACTTTTGTCTTTTGTTTAGAATGGAATATGAACGTTCAGGAAGGAGCCTGGAATATCCTTGAGGAAAGAGAGAGACACACAGGCACACATATTCCAATCACAACTTAAATGAATAAAATATTCATTATTGTGTGTAACTACCCACTGATTCATTGGAGCAATAATCTTAATTAGAATACCATGCATTATTGAAGTTCTGTTGAAGGGTGGGGGGGGGTGCACAAACACTCAGACACTACCACCCCATTAAAAAAAACCACAAATCCCCAAAAAGGGATCCAACAGCTTGCTTTGGCAGCTCCTGTTGACAACTGATCGATGCTTCTGACAGAATAGAACATTTTGTCAGATTTCATCAGCATGTGAGGAAAGAAGCTCTGAATGTGTATATTAAGAGCCGTCTGTCTTTTTTAAGAGTTATGGGGGGAAAGGACACACTGAGAGATAGACACAGTGACACTCCATATACTGAACACACATTATTTCCTCCTGACAATCCCGGGAACTGTAGTTTACCCCTAAATAAGCTACCATCCCCACTGGCTGTGCTGGCTGGGGCTGGTGGGAGTTTTAGTCCAACAGCATCCAGTCAGCATTATGTTGGCTGCCCTTGCACCTTACAAAAGACACTTCTGTGTAGGAATTCTTGAATAAAACACGCTGTGTACCTATCTTACGCATACATATTTGTTGGATTAAAAATTTGTTGACTAAAAAAAAAGGGTTCTCATAACATCTTTCGGTCCTAACGCACCACACATTCCTTTCACACACTGCGCTTCTGTCAATCAGTTGCACCACTTTCCCTCCCTCCCTCCCTGCCAGCCCCAACACTGTCTCCCTCATGTTTTTACACAAGTGTGCCCATGCACACTAAAATGGAGCTGCCCTGGCCTCCCATTCTGCTCCCTTTTCCTTCACACGGAGACCCCGTGCGATTCTGACACACACAAACACACCCCTCTCTTGTTTTCCACCCCAACCCTTGTCTGTTCACACGTCCTGCCTGTGGTGAAGGCACTGAGTGTGTGTGTGTGTGTGTGTGTGTGTGTGTGTGTGAGAGAGAGAGAGAGAGAGAGAGAGAGAGAGCGAGCTTGCAAGTGAAAGAAAGAACTGCATCCATAAGGGAGAGACGAAAGAAACAACTACATACATGAGAGACGTTGCGAGGAAACCGTGAATATGAGGGAGCTGACTGAAAATACGAGTGAGAGGCAGGAGGAGACATAGGAATGGATTTGGGCGGGAAAGAGAAGAATGAGGTGTGAGGAAGAGCCTGGTACATCGTAGCACAAGCACACTCCTTCCTCACATTTCCCTTTCATGTTTTCCCCCTCATAATCCACACTCCTACACAAGCCTTTCCCATTCACTCTTTCCTGACAGGATATGTGCCCCATTCTCCCGTCTGTCTGTCTGTCTGTCTGATGCACACATACACACACAGCTCTGCAATGCATTTAAAACACAGACAGAATCCTCGGAACAGCAGCTTATTCCTCACAGAACTACAATTCCCAGCACCCTTAGCGAACGACAGTTCCCAGTTTATTTGGTGGTGGGGAGCCATGTGCTTTAAGCGTATGGCGTGTAGGCAAGCCAGTTGCCCCCTCGCTCTCCTCTATGCAGGCCTCATGCATCCACACAGTCACACCTCTCTCCAATTTCCTTCCTCCCCCCACTCATTTTTGTATTATGCATTTATCATCTATATTTGTTAGCCACTACATAAAACTTCCCGGGGCTTCGAGCAATAAATGGGGAAGTGCGGATCCCAACTAAGTTCTCACAAGCAGAGCCACTGAAATGAATGGGCCTAAATGAGCAGTGTGCTTTTATTCCAAAGTGGCTACACTTAAGTAGATGTAACATGATGGGCTACTGCTCAATGTATGCGTGTGTATACGGTATCATGCCCCCGCCCCCATATGGACAACCACGACCTAGTTCACACTCGCTTCCACACACTGGCGCGCAACCACATTCCCTTCGATGTTTTCACACGCGCCTGTATGCAGCGCCCCCTAAGCCACGCCCCCTTTCAGACATCCAGAGCCACGCCTCCTCCGACTCACATTTGACGCCCACGAACGATCGCCGACAGCCACGCCCCCTTTTCACACGCGCGCACACTCTGCAGACTCGGCCCCTTTGAACGCGGCAGCGCAGCCATAACATCTCCTTTTACGCATCATTTATTGTTATTATTACCCAGGGTCCCAGGGCGGGTTACGGTATAAAACACAACATTAAAAGAACTTTGAAAAGCGGGTCCTATCTCTCTCTCTCTCTACATGTATAGTGTCGAAGGGCAGGGGAAAGACCCCTTTAATTACCTCCACGCTACTGTATGGAATCCTTCACCCCCAGTGTAATGGTGTAGTGGTTAAGGAGCTGGGCTGGGACGCCGGAGACCAGGGTTCAAATCCCCGCTCCACCGCGAAATTCAATGAGTGACACTTGGCCAGGCGCTTGTTTCTCAGCCTAGCCTACCTCACAGGGCTGTTGGAAGGACTAAAAAATTTCAGAGAACAATGGGTATGCTCCTTGAAGGAAAGGCGAGTATGAATGTAAGCTCTTAATACCTGACAGTAAGCTCCACAGGGACTTACTTCCGAGTAGACATCGCTATGATTGCACTGTAGATCCCATATTACAGATCTCATGTTATTTATTTATTTATTTAATGCTTGCATTCATATTCTGCTTTCCTTTCCCTTTCCCCACCCCCCTCCTCCAAGGTGCTCAAGGCTGGCTTGGCACGTGGTTCTTCTCCCATTCCGCCTCCCCATCTCATTTAATCCCCACAACAACAACAACAACAACAACAACCCTGCGAGGTAGGTTAAACTGAAAGAGTGGCGGGGAAGGCAAGGCGCAAGATGGAAGCTTCGTGGCTGAGGAGGGCGGGGACCCCAACCCTGTTCTCTCCGCGGTCCTCCCGCAATGCTCTAGCCCAGGAGTGCCAAGAAAATCTGGTGGGGCAAGTAAGGCCTGTCCCGCACCATCAATCACACGACACACACACACACACGCACGCGCGCCACTTGAATGGCAATGCTCAACTATTTTATTGGGGAGACCCCGGCCCCTAGGAGTTGGCTCCTATGCTCTAACCACTGCACCACCGCTGCCTTATTCCGACTGGAGCCCCACGAGGCTCCCTCGCTCCTCCTCTCCGGGCGCCTTCCCCCACCAGCGCAGCCCCGCCACGTGCTCCTCCTTCCCTGGGAGCCGAGCAGGGGACTCTCCCTCTTACCCCCCCCCCGGGGGGAGAGCGGGGCGCGCACCCTTCCTGGGGCGACTCTCTCCTCCCCGCCCGCCCTCCTTCTCCAGCAGCAGCAGCAGCAGCAGCTCCTCCAGGTAGAAGCAGCCCCGCCAAGGCAACTCTCCTCGGTGGCGCCGCCCCGCTCCCTTCCCGCCGCCGCTTGCAGCTCCTCCTCCTCCTCGTCGTCGTCGGCGAGGGCGCCTCGCTCTCCCTCTCCCGGCAGACGGCGGCGAAGGAGCAGGATGAAGGGGGCGTCGTCGCGGACCTCGCAGCAGCAGCAGCTCCTCTAGCCGCCTCCTCGCACCTTCCTCGCCTGCCGCTCTGCCCCATGGCGGAGTAGCTGCGCGCCCGCCTTTGCTGCCTTGGGGGCGGGGGGTGGGGGAGGGAGGAGGAGGTTGCCAAAGTGGGGGGAGGTCGCGGGCCGCCCCCTCCCTCGACAGCACCGCCGCTACTGGGACGAGCACCGACGGCGCGCCCCCTCCGCCCCGCCATGGCCTTCACCTTTGCCGCCTTCTGCTACATGCTCACCCTGGTCCTCTGCGCTTCGCTCATCTTCTTCGTCATCTGGCATGTGAGTCGTCGGCTTCCCCCCACCCTGGAAGGGGGGGACATGTGGGGTGGGGGGTGAAGAGCTGGGCTGGGTGTGTGGGGAGGGCGGTGGGGTGGGGTGGGGGGATGTTCCAAGCGGGGCAGGATGGGGTGGGGGGCATTTATAGGCAACAGGACTGGGGTGGGAGGTTACAAGTAGGGCAGCAAGGGGTGCATTTAAATGCACCTGGGGGCTGAGGCAGATCCAAGGGGGGGGAGGCTCTGTGATGGGCTTGGGGTTCATGGAGGGGAACATCTAGGGTACCCCAGGGTGGGGTGGGGAGAAAGAGAGCAGGGTCTCTGGGGAGGGCAAGAGGCAGTGGGGCTGCCAGTGCGGAATGAGTGGTTGCTTGGGATGTTGTCAAAAATGGGGGAAATAGGGGTGGAGAGATCAGGAAACTGGAGGGGGGCATTGAGGGACTAAATGGGATTAGGGAGGTGGGGGCAGGGGACTCCTCAGTGGGACTCAAAGAAGGGGGCAGCAGCTGCCAAAGTGTGTTGGGGGGTGATATGAGACGGCAGAGTTTTCCAATGGGGCAGGCAGTGGGGTGGGAGAGTAGGGAGGCAATTGGGGTGAGAGAGGGGTCAAGCTGGGGCAATTAAAATGGATAAGCAGTGGGGGGGGGTAGGGAATGGAATGAGCACAGGTAGGCAGTGTGTTGGGGGGGATAGATGGCAGTGGGGGAAGATTGGAGAAGGTGAAGATGGGGCTGGAGGAAACCCCACAGGGAGGTTTGGTGATGGGGAAGTTGGGAGAGCTCATCTCCAAAAGGGTTGGTGGCAGGGCAGTGATGTTTTCACCCAATTCCTGCTGTGCTGCAGGTCTTTTCCCCCAGTCCTTTGAACCCAGAGCCAGCCGCCTGCCGCCTGGAAGGAAGTAGAGAGGGGTTTAAGTCCATAAGGCTGTTGCCCAGTGGTAGAGCGCATGAGGGTTTTGGGATGGGGTGGTGGCAATTGCTTGATCTCAGATAGTGGGTGCTGGGGTCACTAAGCAAGGGGGGTAGATGGTTCAGGGGGGCAATGGCAAGGGGTCCTGGGCAATGTGGTTAAACGCCAAAGAAATAGCCCCCCAAATGTGGGGTACTGTGAGCAGCTGTCTTATCTGCAAATCTGGTTTGTGGGTTTGCGGGACGGTTTGTGGGGTTTCTTTCTTGCTCCCTGCTGGAACGCAGGTGGGTTTCTGAAAAGAGGGGAGCATGTGGGTGAGAAAACTGAACAGTGGGGGGGGCATTTATTTGGATGGGTGGGGACAAGGTGTGGTAGGTAGAGATCCCTCTGCGTTTGGGGGGTCCGTAAACATGGCACTAGAGATTTTCATGGGTTTGGATTGGGAAGAGTCGGGCAGTCGGCATCTTGTATACCAGGAACCAGTGTTTCTGTGCTACAAAATCCAGCATTATTTCTGGGCCTATTGGAGGAAATTGATACTCTTTTTTGGGGGGGGGGCTGTTACCGGGCAAAGAATCTCATTTAGGGGGACAGTGGGAGAGGATTTCAGAAGCCAGCAGATCCTACTTTCGCTCAATCCAGCCACTACCTGCTGTTTCTTTCCCCTTCCTTCATCTTCTTTGCTCTCCCTATAGTTATTAAGGTATGTGGGGTTTTTTTGTGGCTGGGGAGAACTGCACCTCACACACGACTGCACCTCTGACTTGATATTGAACACCCTTCCTCTCAATTTTGCCCATTCCATTGTTATTTTTTCGTTAAAGAGGAAGAAGAAAGACAGTGGTGAGGAGGGTAGAAGAATTTTTTGGGATTGGTGGTGGTGGAATATGCACTTTTTTTTCTTGTGGGGCTCAGTATCCTCTCCACCACCCCCTCCCCACACAGTTCTCCCTATTATTGCATTTTTCTCTGCCTGAAGAGTCGGACAGAAAATAGGGGAGGTTTGTATTAAAATAGCTTTGGTTATCTATCCGTTTGTATTCCTCATGTGCTTTTTTCTGGGACGACCTGACTCTCTGTCCTCTCTCTACCCCCCTTTTTTTTGTTCCTTCCTTCCTTCCTTTTTGGTGACGCTTCCAGGAATCCCAGAAAAGAAAAGGGGGGGGGGAGAGAGGAACACACACACACACACACACACACACATTTTCCTCCCTCTGTTCCATCCATCCCCTCCTAATTTTGCTTTCCCTTCTCTCTCTCCCCCTCCCCACCCTCCATCCGTAACCAAGGAACCTGGCTCTGGTTGCCATGGAAACTACATATGTTTACAAAATGATGCTCCCTACTAATAATCCGGATGCTACTGTCTTTTAACCCCTTGGCTGCTGCAGCCCTGTGTCTCCCTCTCCCTTCTTCTGCTCGTTGGATGCGTTCTTCCCCCACCCACCCACCCACCCATGCACACCCACACACAAACACACCTTTGTTGACATCGATAAGTCGGGGAGGGGGGTTGTTTATTATTATCAATGCGTTGAAAGGTTAGGGAATAGTTTGGGAAATGAGACTCACAAATGACAAGTCGTGGCAAGGAATCCTGATATGTGCGGTTTAGAACAGAGCGCCCTGCGCAAACCCTTCCGCAGCTCTGGTGCATAAGACCACATAGCACAGTCCGGTTACCTCCGTCAGGAGCTTCAAGCGTCATCAGTCATCTTATGCCCTACCAGAGTGGCCTGGGGATGGAGGCAGCCCCCAGGGGTGTCTGCTTGCCATTGGGGCTGATTGGGCAGCAGGCAGGGAGTCCGCCAGCAGGTGGCGCCAGAGCCAATGGCAGGCAGAGCCAGCTGAGTCTAGTTTTGCCCCCCACCCTCCTTCTCCCTGCTGAATAATACAAGGGGCAATGCTGAGACTAAGGGGGGTGGGAAGGAAGCTGACAGTCCAGGCCACCCTCTGGCTGTAAGTAAGAAGGTAGGCTGAGAGTAGGCTCAGGAAAAGGCCATAGCTGCTTTGGGGGGGATTCATAAACATTGAAATGGGAGGGGAAAGGAAAGGGCCATAGCTTAGTGGTAGAGCACCTGTTTTGCATGCAAAATCCAGGTTTGATTCCCCACCTCTCTAGGTAGGAATGGGAGTGTCCCTGCCCGAAATTCAGGAGAGCTGCTGCCAGTCAGTGTAGGCAATCCTGAGCTATATGGACCAATGGTTGGCATGGTATATAATAAGGCAACTTCCTATGTTCATACAGGGGCTGGGGCTGTGCCCCCAATTGCCCTACCAGAGTAGCCTCCCTTCCGTCATGTTAGGGGCTGCTTATAGGTGGTCAGGATTTCGTTCTGTGCTTGTGTGCGTGGAATTGTGTGGTGGGTGGGCAGTGATGTGGTTAGGCGATTTCAGATTCTGGACTAAATGTTCTTGTAAGAGGCTTGGTGTTCTCCTTAGATGAAAGTGGGGGTTATTTAATACACTTCAGCATGTGGTAAGCCAGCCCACCCCCCCAACCCCCCGCTGCATTTGAGAAGGCCTTCCCAGACAGCACCGGATTCTCTCAGAAGAAATTACACCATGTGCATCAGGTGTGCCGTTCCCAATATGGCATCCCAGCCTGCCCTCCTCTCTGTCTCTGCCTCCTACGCTCAGGTATAATATGCACAGCTAACTGGCATGGCTTTAAAGTCATAGCCAGGCTTAAATTGAAAGGCAAAAGTGCAATCAAGCATGTGCAGAGCACCTTTGGTCCGTTCCCCCCACTGAGGATGTTTGGAGAGGGAGCTTAACTCAGAACTGCGCCGTAGAATATTTTCTGTGCAGGATGTTCCAAGGGTAATTGAGCATGTGCAGAGTGTGTTTGCTTTTTCCACCGAGGGAAGGCCCGTAGTGCAGCAGTAAAGCATCTGTTTTCAGGTCCCAGGTTCAAGCTGCAGCCCCTCCAGCTAGGGCTGGGAGATCCCCCTGCCTGAAACCCCAGAGAGCTGCTGCCAGTCAGTGTAGACAGTACTGAGCTAGATGGACCGGTGTTTTGGCTCATTATAAAGCATTTCCCTCTGTTGCTAAGGGAGAGGGAGCAGAACTGCCCTCCATGCAAAACATCCCAGATTCAGTCACAGGCCTCACCTGTGGAAAGATGACAAAGAAGACCTCTCTCTCTGCCTTAGAGAGCCACAGCCGGCCAGAGTTGGCAGTACTGGACCTGATGAAGCAACAGAGGCTGCTCAATAACCTGATGCCTTAAGGCAGCTTCCTGCATTTCTAATCAAGCAATACTAATGCTTTGTTCCTAATAGACAACAGGGGGCTGAAAGGTCACAGAATCTAACCTTGTATATAAGACACACCTCTGTGTTCCATCCTGTGTTTGCCGATGAGACTTAAAGGGCTTTTCGAACTTCAAGCCTTGTGTGATTTGTGTAAGCCAAATCAATTGTTTTCGCAGAACCGAAAGCAGAAGGTGTGTTGGGTGTGTGGGGTTGCAACGCAAGCGAGTCTTCTGACCAATTTATTCCTGGGACATTTATTCATTTAATATACACCCCCTTGCCCAGTTCTGCTTGGAGCACAGGGCTGGCTTGCACGGTTCTCCTCCTTTAATCCCCACAACAGCCCTGTGAGGTAGATTAGGCTGATAGCCAGTGCTTGACTCCAAGGTCACCCCGTGAGTTTCGTTCATGGCTCAGTGGGAGATTCGAACCCTGGCCTCTCAGGTCCTGACCCGACACTCTACCCACTAACAGTGCACCGGCTCTCATCCCTGACCATTGGCTGTGCTGGTTGAGGCTGGTACGGGTTCGAGTCCAGCCACATCTGGATGGCCACAGGTTCCCCAACCCAGACTATCCCACTCTCCTCCACCCCCCACTGAAGCAGGAACTGCTTGGAGCCTCGTGTGTGAAGCCAGGGATGACAGCTAGCTGGGCATGCAAACGGAGACCTGCCGTCTCCGTTAAGAAAAATAGAAAAAGGACCTCTGAACGCTGGGATCAGTGGAACTGCTGGTCTGCCTCTCCTATGTGCGTCTATCTCTTTCCACCCATCTGTGATTAGTGTGGAGAGACTCCATCTCAGAGTACACGATGTGCGAGGCTGGGTTTGAAGTCCGCCGTTTCTCATTTTGAGGAGCATTGGGTCGCGGTGACATGCCAGTTGCGGCAATCTGTGCCGTGGTCTGGGAATGAATTATAAAGCGGTGGTGGCGGCAGCGGTGGTGGTGGGCGCAGCCCTCTGCCTGCTTCTTTATAATACATTTGCCTTAGACCCACCGGTAAGGGGGAGGCTCGGCGGATGTTTGCAGGGGGAGAAACGAAAAAGCCATGTGCTCGGCCGGCTTGCTGGTGAGAGCAAGTGTCCTGCTTACTAGGCTGTGGGGGCTCTCCTTTCCCTCTCCATCCTTGCAAAGTCAGCATGGGCCGCCTCTCGGGATTTGCGAGCCCGGGGAGTCAAGCGAGTCGGCTCACCGCAAGCCACCAGGTCAGGCAAGTTGACTCGCATCCTCTGGTTCACTCTGAGAAAAGCCGGATTTCAGCTTCTGAAACAGAAAGCGAGGGCTGCTTCGCAGGCCAGATAAGACAACAAAGGTGGGGGCTGGGAAAGGATATCTGCTTATGGACAAGACACCCCCTCCTCAATCCAATTGGTACCACCCCACACTGGGCGTCTGTACATACCTTTGCCACTTCAAAAACACTTGCTTCCTCCACTCACACGTTGAACTTTTAAGCCACGGAAGCAGTAATGGCTGCCTAGTAGTATTCAATGCGTCCTAAGCTTCTGGTCCTCATGAGGTAGGGGAAATTCTTACGTTTCAAATACACATCATGCATTTGGAGCACACCCTGCCCTTGCCTCCCCCCAAAGGACCCTGGGAACTGGAGTTTGTTAAGGGGGTGCTGGGAACTGGAGCTGTGCAAGGGATGCAAACTACAGTTCCCATGATTCTTGGGTGGGCGGAGGATGTGCTTTAAACGTCTTCCTTATTTGGGTAGCTTTGAAGCCTGCACCCTGCAGTCGTTGCCGGAATATTTAAGGGTTTTTGCAGGTGTGCAGGTAGCTCACTAATCTGCATCTTTCCCCATCAATCCCTGTTTTCTTTATTTCCATTTTTTACATTGTCTGAGGGAAGCAGGTTGAGGTGTGTTCTCTCCTCCTAGAAAGAGCCCCTCTGCTCAGGGTTTCTGCCTAGCCGCATTGCTGCTGGTGCCCATTGGGGCTGGTGGGGCAGAGGGCGGGGGAGCCCAAAAGGGGGCGGAGCCAGAGCTAGTGACAGGTGGAGTCCCTCCTATTCTCCCCCTCCCTGTTGAGTTCTTCAAGGGGCAACACTGAGGAAGAGGAAGGTGACAGACAGTGCCCACCCTCTGGACGGGATGTAAATGGGGCATAAGATTCCTGCATTGCATGGCAGGGGGGGTCCCTTCCAGCTCTCCCATTCTGTGATTCCAAGGGGGGCAGGCAGGTGGGGGCTGGCCCAGGGCAAACTGAACGGACTGGCCCTTATGAACCAGCCTCTGCTGCCTGCAGGATGCTATAAGCTCAAACATGTTTGTTATTACAATATTTGTATCTCACCTTTCCCTCAAGGACCTCGAGGTGATAGATATGGTTCTCACCCCTCCTAGTTATCCTTAGAGCGACCTTGTGAGGTAGGTTGGACTGAGAGATGGCGATTGGCCTAAGATCGTTTGGATGTGTGGAAACTGGAGCTCAGGACTCCCGGGTCCTAGTCCAACATGTTTCCCCCACCTCCAAAGTTTTCAGCCTTCTACCCCCCCAATTCTGTGAGTGATGAGGGTGCTTGAATCTTCATTGGGGTGTTTTGAGGACGGGTTGCCCCCTTTGTTTAAATATTTCTTTTCATTCCTTCAGCCCTCGAGGTTCCCTCCAGCGTGCTGATATCTCTCCCTCTTATGTCTCAGTTCTGCAGATTTCTTTAAAAACCTTCTCTTCTTGGGTGTAGAAAGAAAAATGAAAGGAAGAGTGAAATGTTTGTTTTTATTTTATTTAACAACCTTTATACATTACTTGATTGTAGTAAAACCTCCAAATGGGTCGCAAGCGGTGTTGAAATTATCAATAAAAAGCAGTGAAAAGCAGTGAAAAATAATTAGAAGTAAAGGAGATTAAAACAGGTCATCAGCTGCCTGTCTGGATAGGCTTAAGCAAAACTGCTTTAAGCAGGCACCAAAATTATTTGTTAGTGAATGTGGTAAGTACAGTTTTGCAGGCCCATCTATCGCATGCAGGCATGCTTGTAATGGAACAAAGTCAAACGTGGTGTGGTGGACTGTTAGGAGTGTGTCTCCAGGACTTGGAAGACCAAGTACAAATCTGTCTTCAGCCATGAACCATGCTGGGTAACCTTGCGGCTAGATCTCTCTCATCATCAACCTCATAGGGTGGTTGGAATAATTTTTTAAAAAGAAGGGCAAACTGTGTGTGCGCAACCCTTGGAGCAAAAGTGGGGTGAATAAAAACGTAACGTAAGCAGATCCTTGGTGGCAGACCCTGGTTTGTGCAAGATGTTTGCACCTGAAACAATACACAAGTTAGCCATGGTTCCAAGGTATCCAGTTTCAACACATAGAGTCACAGAATGGCAGAGCTGGAAGGGACCCCGAGGGTCATCCAGTCCAACCCACTTCAATGCAGGAATCTCAGCTAAAGCATCCCTGGCAGGTGGCCACCCAACCGCTGCTTAAAAACCTCCACGGAAGGAGAGTCCAGGTAGGTCTGGGGATGCCCATTGCGGTGGAACCGACGGCCTGAGTCAGTATAAGACGGCTTCCTATGTTCTGTTGGGGAAGGGCCATGCGTGGCTCAGGGGTGGAGCACCTGCTTTGCATGCAGAAGGTCCCGGGTTCAAACCTTGGCATCTCCAGGTAGGCATAGGAATGCCTCTTGTACGAAACCCTGGAGAACCACGGCTAGCCTCAGAGACAATTCTGAGCTAGATGGAGCCGTGGTCTGATTCAGGAACACAGGAAGCTCTGTTTATCCTGTGTTCTCATCTTCCACGAAGGTGTTCTGCGTGGTATGTGGTGTGTAGGGTTTCTCGCCTGTCTCCCATTTAACTGTCCTGGACCCATTTTGCCCTGTACATGTACCCAGAAACTCCAGAACAGCTCTTGTTCACATTTTAAAACGAGACTCCCTATTTATTCCAGAAATTTATTGGCCGCCCCCCACCCCGCAAAGCCCCCCATTCTGTTTATGGCATAGTAGCATAGTAAACAACATAACGTCATGTACGCAGCATAATGTCCGTAAAACAACGTTTAAAAAAACAAAACAAAAATTGTTGCGCCAATACAATTCACCATAAGCAATTCATCTATAAGCAGCTGCGCCAAGCCGTGCGTCAGGCCAGCCCAGTGATAAACTCCGCAACGTGGCCCCTGCGAAACGCAAGTTGTCTAATAACATAAATTATCATCTATGCTCAGGTGCAACTAAAAACATACGGCATATTTAGCGCCACCAGCAGCAGTTTGAAAAATAGGGTTTTAGAAAGCCAGCAGCCGCAAGACCAAAAGCACAAAGGGTGTTCAAAGTGTGTATGCTTGAACACAATAAGAGCTCTGGCTGGCAAGCAAGACTCCGACAATTTCTTTGAAACTTGGTACCCTTTTTTTGGGTAACGTTCTCCGCTGGAAATCCCAACGTATTATTAATCTCTGTTCCACGGAGGGGGGAACAATCTGGTGGGATTTGTTTATTTGTCGTTTTGAAAAACCAGTAAATCTTGAAAAACCAAAATGTGCAAACCTAGTTCTAAGCACATAACGGCAGACCCTCTGTCGGCTCTCACTTGGGGGCTTTTCCCATGTGGGATAATTTCCTGCGGCGGTTGGGGGCAGTGGGTCAGGCCCATGCCAGCCTCTTGCTTTGCCACCCTATGTGCCAGGCTGTGTAAACAGCTGCCCCATCTCACTTGACAGAAGGGTCTGCTTTGCCGAAAGGGTGTTTTAAAATAGAGCCTCTCTGTGTGTGTGCTTGCGCGATGGGTAGCAAATCGATGTTGGAATGATCTTGTGAACGTGCCCTTGGAGAGCTCCTTGCCCGCTGGGTATGGTTTTAACTTGCTGGGTCCCCTCAATTGGCAGCTGTTGTTGCCCTGGCAACCAACCGTACCTCCCAGGTCTGTGCGGTTGAGGTGAAAAAGACTCTGCTGTATTTATTTCCCCCCCATCCCCTCCTCCATCATCTTCCCCCCTCCTTCCCCATTGGGGGCAGGTTCTCGTCTCAGTGGGAACAGGGGGGAGCTGTGCTTCTACGGGGGCGGATGGAAGTAGAACAGCAACCAAGCTCCCAGGCCTTTGATATCCGTTCTCACTGTGGGGCGGGGGGGGGGGTGGAGAGAGAGGAACAGCTTAGTCTGAAAGTAATGATACGTGGGGGCACACGTCGCCCCCGGTTTTGGTCGCTTTGGCTCCAGATTTCTCAGCAGCGAGGTGATAGGGGGACAACAGAGAGAGAGAGGTTTCTTCGCGAGGAAAGAGCAAGGGCTTGTGGGGGGAAATGCCAGGTATCTAGGCAAATTTGTGTTCCCGGATGCTGAAAAACCAGCGGCAGAGATGACGGGGGACATCTTTTCAAGAAAGAAATGCAAAAGGGGTTTTGGGTTGTGCAACTTTGGCAGCCCGGAGAGGCAGGAGGTGGAATGGCTGCCTCAGAGATTCATAATAAAACTCGCTCCCAGGGCTGTCGTACGCGAAAGGGGAATCATGTGTAGAACTGCTCATGAAAGTGTGAGGTCATTCATGGGTTGTTTGCGTCAATTTTATTCATGGAACTGTAGAGTCGGAAGAGACCCCTGTGGTCATCTAGTCCAACCCCCTGCAATGCAGGTATCGCAGCTCAACGATTCCTGGCAAGTGGCTGCCCAACCTCTGCTTAGAAATCTCCAAGGAAGGAGAGTCCACCATCTTCTGAGGGAGTCCGTTCCACCGTCAAACAGTTCTAACCATCAGGAAGTTTTTCCTAATGTTTAGTCGGACACACTTGCCTTCACAAAAGAGCTTTGGGTGGTGTCTGTGGGTGTCTCCCCCCCTCCAAAAAAATTCTATACTAATATCATCCTTGTGAGGTAGGTCAGGCTGAGAGGTCCCTGCGTTTGTTCCCCAGCATCTCCAGGTAGGACTGGGAGAGACCCCTGCCTGAAGCCTTGGAAAGCAGCTGCCAGCCAGTGTTGACCGGTGGTGGGGAATTTAAAGACCAAGGGCCACATTCTGCCCTCCCAGCCTTTCTGTCCAGCACTCTGGACTTTCCTCAGCTCACAACACCTCAGTGGTGTAGCATGGGTTGCTGGCATCCAGGGCGGGGCAAGTTGTTGTGCTCCCCCCCCCAGTGGACTGGGCAACTGGGGTGGGGGCACACGCCAGGGAGGGGGAACGGTGCCCACTTCCAACAAGCTCCTTGCCCACTGCCTCCATCCACCTGCTCACTAGACCAACCCTCCTGCTGCCTCAGCTGCCAGGGCTCTGTGCCTGTTGTGGAGGCACCCCCTAAAAAAGGTGTGCCCAGGGCACCCCCCACTTTGCCTCTGCTTCATACCCTCTTTGAGGGCTGTGTCCTTGAACTGTAATAAAACATCCTGCTTGCCTGGAATGAAGAGCAGTGGGTGAGAGGGTTTAGAAACCACTGGTTTTCCCCTGGCTGTAGCTTAAAAGGTAAAGGTAAAGGGACCCCTGACCATTAGGTCCAGTCGTGGCCGACTCTGGGGTTGCGGCGCTCATCTCGCTTTATTGGCCAAGGGAGCCGGCGTACAGCTTCTGGGTCATGTGGCCAGCATGACTAAGCCGCTTCTAGCGAACCAGAGCAGCGCACGGAAACGCCGTTTACCTTCCCGCTGGAGCGGTACCTATTTATCTACTTGCACTTTGACGTGCTTTCGAACTGCTAGGTTGGCAGGAGCAGGGACCGAGCAATGGGAGCTCACCCCGTCGCAGGGATTTGAACCACCGACCTTCTGATCGGCAAGCCCTAGGCTCTGTGGTTTAACCCACAGCGCCACCCGCGTCCCGGCTGCAGCTTAGCCTGCTATAAAAAAAAGGAAAGCGTAGCACCTGTTGCTCTGCCCATCACTGACGGGCAGGCCCAGGGGGGTGTGCCACGAGGCAATGCAGGTCACAAAATGTCCCCACCTCTCAGGGCCCTTCTGCACTATGCATTTGAAGCAGAACCATGGCACTTTAAACAACCATTCTCCCAGAGAACTCTGGGAATTGGAGGGTGCTGAGAGCTGCCCCCTATTCTCTTCCCAGTTGTTAAATTACTCTGTGAACTGCGAGAGGCATAGGGGTCTCCCCCCACACACACCCCAGGATTCTTCGGAGGGCGGCAGAAAGCCATTGCTGTTCAAAGTGGTGCTTTAAATGCATACTTCAAATGCACACATTGACAACACTGAGCTAGATGAGCCAGTTTTCTGACGTGGCATGAGCCATCTTTGTAGGGTGGGTGGCCTAAGAAAGCCAGAAGTGTCTGGCAGCTGGATCAGGCCCATCTCGCCCAACGTCCTGCTCTCACGGTGTCCAACCAGATGCTCCACCAGGAAGCTTGCAGGCAGGACCCCTGAGCACAGCAGCCGCTCTCTCGCACCTTGCGATTCGCAGCAACTGGTCTTCCGATATTGGGGGTGGTGCACGGTGGGGAGGCTGGTGACGTGTTTCAGAGTTTGTTATGGAATCCTGATTAGTCTGCACAACTGAGCGAATATGCTTAGCTTAGCTGCAGAGGAAAGGGGAGGAAAAATAAGATAATTTCTGCCCAGGGCTTCGTTTGAGTGAGGGCTCATGGGCATTCTCTTCAAGGTCTGGGTTTGGTTTCCTCCCCCTCCCTTTTAATGCAAGTTCCTGAAGCATGTGAAATAATCATGCTTTATGAGCTCTGGGACTTTGTTGTCCATGAAGTGCAGCGACCTGAGATGGCCTTTTAAAAAGGACTTTGACAACTTTGCAGAATCAACTGCTTTTGGTAGTGATTAGAGGAGAATGGAGCCTCTCCTCACCTTCAGAGGTGTGTTGGAGATAATAATCTTGCCCCTCCAGCTTGCCAGATTTACCAGACTTTGGGATAGCAAGCAGGAGAGCAAGGCGGCTGCGTTGATTAACCCTCCCCTCCCCAGACGAGATTTCCCACTGACACCCAGTGTTAGAAATTTGGATATATAAAGGTAAAGGGACCCCTGACCATTAGGTCCAGTCGTGGCCGACTCTGGGGTTGCGGCTGCTCATCTCGCTTTATTGGCCGAGGGAGCCGATGTACAGCTTCTGGGTCATGTGGCCAGCATGACTAAGCCGCTTCTGGCGAACCAGAGCAGCACACGGAAACGCCGTTTACCTTCCCGCCGGAGCAGTACCTATTTATCTACTTGCACTTAGGGGTGCTTTCAAACTGCTAGGTTGGCAAGAGCTGGGACCGAGCAACGGGAGCTCACCCCTTCGCGGGGATTCGAACCGCCGACCTTTTGATCGATAAGCCCTAGGCTCTGTGGTTTAAACCACAGCGCCACCCGTGTCCTTTTGGATATATAAGCTAGGTGCCAAATGGCTCCTTAAACCCAGGGTTGCAGTCGCCAAAACAGAATGCCTAGTTGCCTTTTTGGGGCCAGGCGGCTCGAAAGTCATATTTTCCAATGTGACTTTTTGGTTCCTGAAAGTCATTCCGATTGTGCAGATAAAATATAACTGGCAGAATTCTGCTGGATGTGTTGCTGTAGTGTGTGAAAACAGTCCAGATCCAAGGATCCCCAGGCAGGAAACTCCAGATAGTGGAGAAGTCAGGTGCCATGCTGGCTCACGGGCATCTTCACTTGGCTGATAGCAAGTTACAAAATGTGCCTGGTGAATTTTGAATGAATTTTGACACCCCATCCCTGGAATGCCTTTTGTTGTTGTTGTTGTTTAGTTGTTTAGTCGTGTCCGACTCTTCGTGACCCCCTGGACCAGAGCATGCCAGGCACTCCTGTCCTCCACTGCCTCCTGCAGTTTGGTCAAACTCATGCTGGTAGCTTTGAGAACACTGTCCAGCCACCTCGTCCTCTGTCGTCCCCTTCTCCTTGTGCCTTCAATCTTTCCCAACATCAGGTCTTTTCCAGGGAGTCTTCTCTTCTCATGAGGTGGCCAAAATATTGGAGCCTCAGCTTCAGGATCTGTCCTTCCAGTGTGCACTCAGGGCTGATTTCCTTCAGAATGGAGAGGTTTGATCTTCTTGCAGTCCATGGGACTCTCAAGAGTCTCCTCCAGCACCACAATTCAAAAGCATCAATTCTTTGGCGATCAGCCTTCTTTGTGGTCCAGCTCTCACTTCCATACATCACTAATACCATGGCTTTAACTATATGGACCTTTGTTGGCAAGGTGATGTCTCTGCTTTTTAAGATGCTGTCTAGGTTTGCCATCGCTTTTCTCCCAAGGGAGAATGCCTATTAGGCTTGTGGAAAAGTTTCATGGGCATCTATAGAACTTCCTGGGGTTTTTTTTGTTTGGGGGGGGGGAGCCTAATTGTTGCACAAGGAGGGAAGCTACGAACCATATCTGGCTCCTGGGAAGCAGGTTTCGCACCCCGAGCTATTTGTATAACATAGGAAGTTTCCTTCTGCTGAGTGAGACCATGGGTCCATCTAGTGCAGTGCTTCCTACACTGACTGGCAGTGGCTTTCCAGGGTTTCAGGTAGGGGGTCTTTTTCAGCCGTTCCTGGAGTGCCAGGGATTGAACCAGGGACCTACTGCATGCAAAGATGCCAGTGAGCTACGCCCCTTTCCCATAAGGTAGCGGGTGATGGCAAGCACCTTTCTCTGCACTGCCAGGCCCCTTCCAGGCATCCATTCTTATTTTTCATTCATGATGGTTTGTGCTCCTGATGGTATCAGGGCAGTTATAAGCCACATTTCCACAGTATTTGTGTCTTGGACAAGGGCACCTCCGTCAACTCACAGAAATCTCCAGAGTAATCTGCTGAGACAATGAACGTGACATTACCTAATGCCTGTGATTGATCTCAATTTTTACGCGTGATTTGTTAAATAAATCACCTCTGTGCGAATGATACATATCTGCACAGGGAATGAATGGGGAATAGGAGGTTCTTTTGAGCCGCGCGGTTTATCTGTCTTTATTGCCGAGGCTTTATAAATAAAGACTATTACAAAACAACATTTCTCCCTGTGGAGGTTTTGGGTGTCTGTGAGTATTTCGGTTTAAAATCAGTGTCTAGCCTGTAACTTTCTGCACCGCAAATGTTCTGCAGGTTGTGTTTCTTTGCCCCACTTTTGTTGTGTGGTAGTAGCCTCTCTAGACAACAGTGTTGTGGTAGCGTTGAGGAACTGCCACAGAACAACAGATGGAATAAATCAACCACTAGTGTGGTGTTGTTGTTGTGTCAAGGACATGCTGCAGAATTAAGGTAAAGGGACCCCTGACCATTAGGTCCAGTCGTGGCCGACTCTGGGGTTGCGGCACTCATCTCACTTTATTGGCCGAGAGAGCCAGCGTACAGCTTCCGGGTCATGTGGCCAGCATGACTAAGCCGCTTCTGGCAAACCAGAGCAGCGGACGGAAACGCCGTTTACCTTCCCACCAGAGTGGTACCTATTTATCTACTTGCACTTTGACGTGCTTTTGAACTGCTAGGTTGGCAGGAGCAGGGGCTGAGCAACGGGAGCTCACCCCGTCATGGGGATTTGAACCGCCGACCTTCTGATCGGCAAGTCCTAGGCTCTGTGGTTTAACCCACAGCGCCACCCGCGTCCCTTGCTGCAGAATTATACCCACAATAAAACCCCAGCGTGGAGGGGCCCTCTGTCAGAACTGATAGTACACGGCAGAGAGGGGGCTCTCGGAGGTTTGGGGTGGGTGGCGTGGCCTGGCAGGGGCTGCCACAGAGAACAGCCCTCTAAGCTGTGCGATTCCCTCACCTGGCACCCTCACAGTACAAATTTGGGTGAATGCTCAAGACGGGCCTCTGTTCTCAGGACCCACCCTGCTCCAGCGACTGCCAACTGTTCTTGTTTTTGAAATAACCTTTATTAAATAATAATTGTTGCATGTTGAACAGGGGGAAAATGACAAGCTAAGGAGGTTTCTGCCCCAAAATTAAACAGTATATAAATTTTACGAAATACATAAACACCCCACTCTTTCCCACCCTCCCCAGCCTGAAGACATTGCTCAGCTCTAAAGAGAAATACCAATAGTTTACAAAGGAACGGGCATGCAAAGGATCCAAAAGTTGTTAATATTGATACAAAGGAAAATATTAGCACAACCATATATTACGGAATGAGGCAGGTACAGTTTGTCTTGTAGCGTCTCTATGGGTGTTAAATAAATGGGCAGTCCCTCAGGGGTTTCTAGCTACACAAAGTTTTTTGCATCAGTTTTTCAGGAAGTGCTATGTCCCAAATGACATTATACCATTTTTTGTACTTTTTGTACATTTAAACCCTTTGCGTCTTTCCAATTCCTTGCTGTTGATACTATTCTTGCTGCCACTAAGAAGTCACCAATTAAATGTTTATATAATGACCTTTTGGTTGCATCCTCTGTCATTTGTTTTGGCTGTTTTTAATAGTGAATCTTAAATTGTTTGTTAACCTGCCCTGGGACCTGCTAGAGAAGGGCAGGCAATAAATTTATGATTGATAACAATTCTGAGCTAGGTGAAGCCGTAGCCTGGTCTCCCAAGGCAGCTTCTGATCGTTCTCCCATTCCGGTAACAGATGGGGGAGCTGTCCATAGTCCTGAATGTTCAGAGGCAGCCGGAGCTCAAGTGATTTCCTGCTCTTAGTTCATCCTCCGATGGAGGTAGAAGACTACGACATAAAATCAGTGGGTGGTATCCAGCTAAATTCTGCTCAGAGTAGACCCCTTGGAAGTAATGCACCTAAGTCAGTCATCTTGATTAATTTCAGTGGGTCTACTCTGAGTAGGGCTAACATTGGATGCAACCCATTTAATCTGAACATAGAATTGTAGAATTGGAAGGGGTTATTTATTTATTTATTTGTTATTTATTTAATTTACATACCACCCTATACCTGGGGATCTCATGGAGGTCATCTAGTCCAACCCCCTGAAATGCAGGAATCTTTTTGCCCAACGTGGGGCTCGAACCCAAGATCCTGAGATTCAGATTCTCGTGCTCAACGGACTGAACTATTTAGCAGGTAAAGGTAAAGGAACCCCTGACCGTTAGGTCCAGTCGCAGACGACTCTGGGGTTGCGGCGCTCATCTCGCTTTATTGGCCGAGGGAGCCGGCGTACAGCTTCCGGGTCATGTGGCCAGCATGACAAAGCCGCTTCTGGCGAACCAGAGCAGCGCACGGAAACGCCGTTTACCTTCCCGCCGGAGTGGTACCTATTTATCTACTTGCATTTGACGTGCTTTCGAACTGCTAGGTTGGCAGGAGCAGGGAACGAGCAACGGGAGCTCACCCCATCACGGGGATTCGAACTGCCGACCTTCCGATCGGCAAGCCCTAGGCTCTGTGGTTTAACCCACAGCACCACCCACATCCCTGATTTAGCATGTAGTCAGTGTTAAAATGGGCCAGTGACTACATAATGATTTGTGTGGGGTTGACTGATGCCCTGCTTTCCCTGGAGTCCGGGGGGGGGGCGGAGAGAGAGCTTCCTTTTGGCATCCTGTTCTGATTTCTGGATGCACCAGAGCTATTCCTTTTGGTGGGATCAGCATTTCTTTGCTGACTTCCGCTGTCTGCTTGTCTCAGACCATCATTTGTCTGTCTGGGTTTCTTGGTTTGCTGAATTTCTGTCTTCTCCCTCCTCCAATAATGTCGGTGACACTGTGTGTGATGGCGAAGGGGGCTCCTATCAAATTATCCTGACAACAACCTGTGAGGTAGGCTTCAGTGGGGAGAAAGCAATTCGGCCAAAGCGCTGGTGAGCTTTTGTCCCTGAGCAGGGATTTAGATTTGCATCCTCTGGGTTGTCTCCAACTGAGTTCTACTTGGGAGTAGACCCATTGAAATTAATGGACATAACTTAGCCTTGTTTATTAATTTCAATAGGTCTACTTTGAGTACGAGTTAGACTGGATACGGCCTTCTGTGCCCAAACCCAGCATTCAAAACTGCTAAACTGTGTTCACTGGAGAACCTGTTATAATCTGTAGCTTATATATTTTTTATGCAAGAGCTAATTTATTTTATTGGCTTGATTGGTTTGTCTTTCAAAGCGTACATCCTGCCTTTTTGCACCAGGTGGACTCAGAGTGGCTCACCATGTAAACACCTTAACGGGGTATGAGAAATAAAGAATTACCTCCTGCTTTTCCTTTACAGCCGTGGTCCCTGCTTTTATCCCACAACAACCCTGTGAGGTAGGCTAGGCTGAGCAATAGTAACTGGCCCAAGGCCACCAGCTTTGTGACTGCCTATTTGAACCGAGTGATTGCATCCAGTCCTGTGTGTACCAGTTTCCCTGTCCGGCAACAGGAGTTCCTCTCCCCACACACTGTCAAGATCTGCACCCAGGATCCTCCAGCCGCTCTGGAGCAGGTCTTGAGGGGAGGGAATGTTCAGGGGAGAGGAAGGGAGGTTTATGTTGCACAAGCAGAGGTCTGAGAGTGGATTTAGGCAGAAGGAATGAAAGGGAAATGTGTGTGAGAGAGAGGAATGTGTTTGTGCGTTATGATGCGCCTGGTCTCTCCTCACACCTAACACTTCTTTTCCCCATCCAAATCCATAACTGTGTTTTCTCTCTCACACATATTTGCAGTCAACACCCTCCTATTCAAAGTTTCCTCGCTGTGCGTCTCTGTCTCTCATACACACACACACACTCTGGACACTCGCACGGGTTGTGATTCAGTGCTTCTGCACATGCCCAAGCGCCAAAACCCAGAAGTAACCCGTTCTGGTACTTCCAGGTTTGACGCGGTGCGCAACCTGAAATCGTGCAACCCGAAGCTTCTGCAACCCGAGGTATGACTGTGTGTGTGTGTGTGTGTGTGTGTGTGTGTGTGTATACACACACACCATATTTTTCTCTGTATAAGACAAGGTTATATTCTTAAAAAATTATGCTAAAAATTTGGGGTCATCTTATACACGGATAGTGGAGAGGTGGGATGGGCGATTGGTGGCTGCTGTGAGCAGGAGATTGTCAACACTGTTTTTGCAGGCAATTGGCGGGTATGTCAAGATCCGGTTGCTGCTGCAATCGATTGTGCGATTGGCTGTGGCGATCCTGCTGGTGTCTCCTCAAAAAAAGCTCAACAAGTCTGGACAATCCCCCCCCCCATTTTCTCAAATTGGAGTCCCAAAAAGAGGGGGCATCTTTTGGGGCATGTTATACATGAAAAAATGTGTGTGTGTGTATGTATGCATACAGTTATTTCTTTCACTGAGAGACACACTACCGTCACTTCTTCAGATAGGTGCAGGGAAAGGCAGTGTGTGTGAACAGACACGGGTTGGGGTGAGAAAGAGGAAAAGAGAGGTGTGTTTGTGTGTAAGAATTATATGGGGTGCAAATGTGAAGGAAAAGGAGGAGAACAGGAGGCCAGGGCACCTCCATTTTGGTGTGCCCGGTCCCACTTGTGTAAAAACAGTTGGAGTAGCTCATTTGGCAGAGCATGAGACTGAAGGATTTGGGTCCCAACTTGGGCAAAAGATTCCTGCCTCTCTGTAGGGTTGGGCTCCACAATTCTGTGTGAGAACGTGAGGAGACAGTGTTGTGGCTGGCGAGGAGGGAGCTGTCTGAGAGAAAATGGTGCCAGTGAATCACAGAAATGGCGAGTGTGCCGGGAAACTCTGAATCCGACGCTCCAACCATTGCCCCACGCTGCTCCTTCTTGCCGGAGTGCAGAGAGCCGCTTAAAGGTTCTGCCAGCACCACCACTGCTCCTTTTTGTCGCCTGCATGCCTGTGGGGAGGGGGCTCCCTCTGTCTCTTGAAAATTGTTTGTTAAAAATATTCCATTAAATTCAAAACCGAAAATGTCGTCTTATTAGAAGGTGTCGATGAAGTGAAGGCACTCTCTTTAAGCATCTCATCGCTCCCAATTGATTTCTCCTTCTAAACTCTGCAGCTTAAGAAAACTTATCTCATTAAGAATAGTATACTATATCAAAAAATAAAAATAGAAAATAGTAAATAGGATCAAGAATGCATGGCAATAGCTCCAAAAGAAATTCTTCAGCTGATGAGGTCTTCCGGAAAATATTTTTCTTTTAGAAATAAATCCTTAAAAATGAAACAAAAAAACCTGCATCTAATATTACAGATGCAACGTGATTGTTCTTAAATTCCCCATATCAAAACGAATGATAGTGGAAATCTTATTAATAATCAGTATAAACCAAATATTTTTGGCACTGTTCTCCTGTGGCTGGAACTATACTTTTTTTGTTTTAGCTTTTGGAGTTTTTATTTTTATTTTTATGGAGCTTTTGAGCAACCATAAAGCATATTTACTTGTGGGGAGTTGCGTTGCAGGGGGTTGGACTAGATGGCCCTTGCGTTCCCCTTCCAACTCTGCAATTCTACGATTCTATCCCGTACGTACTGATGTCATCACTTCAATCTGCAGACTTTGCCCTTCTTCAGGAGTCATGCAATGATCATTCCATGTTTATACGGAGTTTTTTCTTAAGTGTGGCCTGTCCTTTGGAACTCACTGCTGATTGACCCCATCTCCATTTAGACTTTTGTGGGAAATGTTTCTATTTCAGCGGAGTCTATCCAAACATGTGATTTGGTTACATCTGTTTTTCAATTTGTTTCAAATGTTTTGTTTTTTTAACAGTTTTTTAAACATTTCAGTTATTTTATTTTATTGTTATTCTTTCTTTTTTTATCACTGCCCTATCATTAGGTGTGTTTGCCATCCTGGGCTCTTTTTGGGAGATAGGATAAATAAACAGATAGACAGATATTTTTAAAATAACTTATGAATAACATAAGAAGCATCGGACGTTAAGGGACCAGGATAGGAAATATACAAGAACACAACACAAAAGTTCTTTTCCTTCAATGACAATAAGGCAAAAGAACTATGGGGTTGAATATTTTCTTGGAATTTATCGTTCTACAACATCAGAAAAATACTCCATCGCTCTCTAAACTTGTTTGGCTGTTGATCTTCCGACCTGTTTTCGTAGTATGTCAATTTAGGTAGCTGTAGTCTGTATTTTTTTTTTGAAAAACCAAATAATTTGGTGCCATGTTCTCCACTCCTAAAGCTGGTCACACTACAGATCCCAGCAGCAATGATAAGAAGGATAACCATTTCCAAAACATCACCAAGGATTAAACCTTTTAGATAAACATATTTGGGTTTCGTGGCAATTTGGGGGTCAAAATTCAAGGTTCACCCAGAAACACAATTGGTTGTTCCCTGCCATAGAACATATTGACACACAATCTAATATTATGCGAATTGACACCCCTTCTGGCTTGTGGATTCTTTAATCCAGGGATGGAGAAATTTGGGGGAACCTTCAGAAGCTGTTGGACTTCAATGCCCATCACCCCCAGCCAGCACACCCAGTGGTCAGGGATGATGGGAGTTGGAGTCCCACACTCTCTGGGAGGGCCACAGGTTCCCTGATTTGATCTACCCTCCCGATTCTCACATTCCTCCGCACTCAGTGCAAGGGGTGTGCATTGCGTACATCCTCCTCTTGCCGTTGCCTTTTAGACAAACACGTTTACTCAGACACGGCTATAGCCGTATTATACAGAGGCCCAGGCCATTGGCCCATCTATCTCAGTGTTGTCTACACTGACTGGCAGCAGCTAGTCAGGACTTCAGCCGGGGGACTCTCCGAACCCCCCCCGAGATGCTGGGGATTGAACCCGGAACTTCTACATGCAGGGCAGATGCTCAGCCACTGAGCTACAACCCTTCTTCTGTCTTCCTGCCATCCAAATACAGTGGTACCTTGGGTTAAGAACTTAATTCATTCCGGAGGTCCGTACTTAACCTGAAACTGTTCTTAACCTGAAGCACCACTTTAGCTAATGGGGCCTCCTCCTGCTGCTGCTGCTGCTGTTCTCATCCTGAAGCAAAGTTCTTAACCCGAGGTACTATTTCTGGGTTAGTGGAGTCTGTAACCTGAAGCGTCTGTAACCTGAAGCATCTGTAACCCGAGGTACCACTGTACATCTTTTTAACGGCAGCCCTGTCCCCAGGACTTTGACCACCTCATCCTCTTAAATTCCCTCCCCCCCCCAACTACACAGCAAAAATCTTCCACTATTATTATTTTTTAAAAATAAACCCACCCCAATCTCTTGCTTACCCTTATCTAGGGATTGGGGTGGGGTGGGGAATCTGATTCAGCTTGCATTTAGCAGGCGGTCCTTCCTAATTTCTGAAACAATAAACGAACCGGAGAACAGCCATCCTTTGGGATTTGCACATCTCCAAATTCTGCAGCTGTATGTCCTCCAGGCATGCGACGCGTACGAAAGCACACATATTAGGGTAACGTGTGCGTATAAATCCATACATTAATGAAAACGACATATAGAAAACAAGACTGTAGGTTGAAAGGCATGGCATAAATAAATAAATGCTCTAGAGACAGTTGCTTGCACAAATGTGTACATTAAGGCGTTGCAGAAATGTGCACACTGAGAGAAAATTCACACGAAAATGCTGGTGAATTTTCCCCTCCCTCCCCCAGTGCAAACTGATGTGGAAATGTGGAAAACCTAAGATTTGTGGGGGGTGGGACAAGATCCTGCATTTGACTTATTTGCTCTCCTTAATACTGTGTTTTTATATCGTTTTCTTTCAAGGTCTAGGTTGGTGACCTCAGGAATCTCGCCCTCCTCTCCCTGCCCTGCCCTCTCCTGTCCCCCGGGCATATTTTGGGGTATTTGGTGGCCAGTGAAGGAAGCAGAGGTGGTTAGGAAGCTGGGAGAGGAGGTTGGGGTAGGAAGCGAAGGGACCCAGGGCCATGGAATGTTCTCCTGTTCCGAACGGAGGAGAACGCAGCGTGCAAGTGTCGCTAGGCAACCCACTACAGGCGCCTGTAGCGCACGGTGTGCCTTTGACAGGTGACGAGTGCCGGTTCAGTCGTGGCTGTCAGAGGAACGGAAAAGGGAAGAGGGAGACCTTAGTGAAGCAGGGAGGCGTTCTCTCTCCTCGGCCCATAGGTGTGCAGGGAACACTGTTGGCCAGAGCTTAGGACATCAGCAGGACTGTGGAAAACCACTGCAAAGGGGAATGGCCTATTCAGATGGTCCCTCCAGACTGGCGGTGGGTTATGTGTGTGTATTCTGCAACAATGCAATTGGCATACTCATAATGCAATAGGGGAGCCAGTGTGGTGTAGTGGTTAAGAGTCTCGTAATCTGGTGAACCGGGTTCGCGTCTCTGCTCCTCCACATGCAGCTGCTGGGTGACCTTGGGCTAGTCACACTTCTCTGAAATCGCTCAGCCCCACTCACCTGACAGAGTGTTTGTTGTGGGGGAGGAAGGGAAAGGAGAATGTTAGCCACTTTGAGACTCCTTTGGGTAGTGATAAAGCGGATAACAAATCCAAACTCTTCTTCTTCTTCCTCTTCTAGGGGAGGATTTTTGCAGATTGTTCCATTTTATTGATGGTGTTTATATCGCTACTCTCTCCCCCCCCCAAAGGAGCTCAAGGTGGCGTAAGTGGTTCTCCCCCTCCTAGTTTGATCCACACAACGACCCTGTGAGGTAGGTTAGGCTGAGAGGCAGTGACTGGCCCAAGGCCACACTGGTGAACGTTGTGGATTTGAACCTTGGTCTCTCCCAGCTGCTAGACCGACACTCTATCCCAGGGGTCAGCAACCTTTTTCAGCCGTGGGCTGGTCCACCGTCCCTCAGACCATGCAGTGGGCTGGACTATATTTTGGAGGGAAAAAATGAACAAATTCCTATGCCCCACAAATAACCCAGAGATGCATTTTAAATAAAAGCACACATCCTACTTATGTAAAAACACGCTGATTCCCGGACCGTCTGCGGGCCAGATTTAGAAGGCAGTTGGGCCACATCCGGTCCACGGGCCTTAAGTTGCCTACCCCTGCTCTATCCACTATGCAGCCATTGGAGTTGTTCTGCGGTGCTTCCCGCAATGTTAATTGCATTGCATCGGGCTGGACTAGGGGTCCCTTCCAACTCTACGGTTCTATGATTACCATCTGGAGGGAGCTCTCTTGCACTGCAGTGCAACGGAAGCAGGATAAAATAACAGCAGCAGCACCCCCAGAACATTTTGACTGCCTAAGGACTAGCGCTCAGATAGTTATTTGTGTGTTTCATCTTAAAAATTGCATATTACATTTGATTGGAAGAAGAAGAAGAAACTTCAAAGCAGTTTACAAAAAGGATACAGAACAAATATATATAAATTCAATAAACAAACAATAATTATAATACCAATGAAATCACCAATGAAAACAACCGTTTGAACATTCCAAAGATAATGGAAATCAACGATAAGATAAGAACCAGATTAAATTACATGCGACGTTCTATATACCTAGGTAAATGGACCCCTGACCATTAGGTCCAGTCGTGGCCGACTCTGAGGTTGCGGCGCTCATCTCGCTTTTTTGGCCGAGGGAGCCGGCGTACAGCTTCCGGGTCATGTGGCCAGCATGACTAAGCCGCTTCTGGCGAACAGAGCAGCGCACAGAAACGCCGTTTACCTTCCCACCGGAGTGGTACCTATTTATCTACTTGCACTTTGACGTGCTTTCGAACTGCTAGGTTGGCAGGAGCAGGGACCGAGCAACGGGAGCTCACCCCGTCGCGGGGATTCGAACCGCCAACCTTCTGATCGGCAAGTCCTAGGCTCTGTGGTTTAACCCACAGCGCCACCCATGCCCCTTATATGCCTAGGTAGGCTTGCCTTAAAAAAATGCCTTTGGCAGAGTCCGAAAGCAGTACAACGAAGGTGCCTTTCTAAATGTCAATAGGCAGGGAGTTCCAAAGTGTTGGGTGCTGCCACACGAGAAGCCAATCTAGGCAGCACCTGTAACAGGGCTAGTTCTTCAGAGTGGGCATATAAGGCGTAAAGGGGTTTATATGTTTGGGTAAGGCAAATTGAGTTAGCAATTGGTATGTATATATGAGAGTTAGTTAAAGCTTCCTGGCTGAACGCTGTTGTGGATGCTCAGGGCTGCCATCAAGGAGGGTATAGGTGAGGGAGGCACTTGTACTGGGCCTGGTCTCTGGAGAGTCCTGGCACCAGCACCACAACACAGCTGCCCCACTTACTTGCAAATTGCATTAGCTGACCCAGCAGGAGGAATCCATTTAACGCATCCGGCAGCTGCAAGGACAAGTTTCAGAGCGAGGCGAAGCAGCCCTTGAAGGAGCTCAGGAGAGTCCCTCTCGGCCCAAACCCAACCCTCTCCACTCCAGAGAAAGATGGCAGGCCAGGCTTGTTCTCAGGAGGGGCCACTCTGCCCCACGGCTGCTTCCCCACTTAGTTGTGAGCTGCACGAGGCAAGCATGTCAATTCAGCTACAGTTAAGGAAGAGAGTTGGTTTGTGCACCTTTGTGTATGTGAGCAGGAAAATCTGTATCATCATCCTCTATACAGCCACATTTGTTTGCATGTGGTATAATTTGTGTGTGTATGTGGGGGTGTTCAACAAAGTTTTATCCAGAGTAGACCTATTAAAGTTAATGGACCTACGTTAGCAGTGCCAGATTACCAAACAGACAGAGTAGGCACCGGCCTATGGGACTCCCGCCTTTTAGAGGCCCCGCCACAATGGATCAAAATAATACTGATTTGATCTTGAAAGAAAATAAAAAATGTACAGTGGTACCTCAGGTTACATACGCTTCAGGCTACATACGCTTCAGGTTACAGACTCCGCTAACCCAGAAATAGTGCTTCAGGTTAAGAACTTTGCTTCAGGATGAGAACAGAAATCAGGCTTTGGCGGCGCGACAGCAGCAGGAGGCCCCATTAGCTAAAGTGGTGCTTCAGGTTAAGAACAGTTTCAGGTTAAGAATGGACCTCCGGAACAAATTAAGTACTTAACCTGAGGTACCACTGTATTAGGAGATAATTTGCAAAGGGCCCCCCGAGATTTCATCTGTCTAGGGGCCTCCTCAGGGTTTAATCTGGCACTGTACATTAGCCATCTCCATTACTTTCAACAGGTCTACTCTGGGTAGGACTAACATTGGATACAACCCGAATTCCCCCGCTAGTTATAGGAAAGAGCATAGGCTGTGACTTTATACCAAGCTGGACGATCCATACCTGTAGCTTAATATTGTCCAGTTTGCACCTATCACTAAACCATGGTTAATGTAAACCATGGTTAAAGGTGAGGCATCTGGCAGACGATTAACTAAACTTTGGTTCATTGTGTCACAGAATAGTTTAAAAACGACAACAACCAAGCCTTGAGAGAGGTCTGAACTTTTGCCTCCCTTTTCTCACAGCTCTGTAGATTTTGGGCACTGATGGCTCCTTAGCCATAGTTAAAGAGGTCAAGGTCTGTGATCCCACGTATTGCTAAGCCATGGTTAACCTTAAGTATGGTTGATAAGCCAACTAGAAAACCTCGGTTAACAAGCTGCTTTTAACCATAATTAATGAACCTTAGTTAAGATGGTGGGCTGGGTTCACACAGAACAATAAGCCATGGTTTCATAAATCACAGTTTAATAAACCATGGTTTAGCATTCTCCAGGGTACTTTTTCCAGGGTACTACTTTCTTGAGCCTACTGGAGATGCTTGGGATTGGGCAGGTGGTCTCCCGCTGAGCTACAGCTCCTTCAAGAAGACGGAGCTCACACAGGCAGCCCTCTCCCCAGGTTTTCATGTAGCCCTCATTCCATGTATAAATGTTTGATTCCATTGCCAGTGTTGGCTGGCGACCATTGGAACCTGTAGGGCAAAATGCAGGGAGCCCAACAGCAGGTGGCGCCAGAGCCAATGACAGGCAGAGCCGGCTAATTCTAGTTTTATCCCCATCCTCCTCCTCTTTAAGTTATTAAAAATAACCTAAAAGCTTTTGCTGGGCTCCTTTGCCCAGACTGCCAGGAGAACTCTCAAGGGGGCTGTCATAATTAACAGTTCAACACTGAGATTATGGAGGAGGAAGCTGACCAGCTGGGCCAACTCCTTAAAGTAAGTAAGTAAGAAGGCAGGCAGGTAGAGGCTGGCTGAGACCCCAAATGGGCCACTCTCCAAAGCACACAATGCCTTTACAAAGGATCAGAAGGCAAATCCCTGCTCCTGAGGAGCTTACAATCAAAAATCTGATGACAACAGAGGGGAAAGGACGTGCATTTCTATTTATGTGGACTCTGGCAGAGTTCCAAGTGGAAGACTAAGCGGTTGGCCGTGCCAAACATTTCAAAGAACAATAATGAATTTTTAAGAGTGGTAAATGACGGATTAATGCAATGTGTGGTGTTGGGACCCTGTTCCCGTTCTCCAACCACTGGAACTCATTGTTCAGCAAGCCCTCTGGCTTCTGAGAGCACTGATAATGCAGGCTGACGTCTTCAGTGTTACCTAGCGTTTTTTAAATTCAGATTCTCAAGAAGCTAATAGCTGTCTTGACTTTGTATACTCCCCCCCCCCTTTCTAAAAGCCCTCTAAAGCTAAGGCCGCCATACATCTAGAATTCCCTGGACATAACTGAGATTTTAAAGGCGGAATTGACATCCGGGGGGGGGGGGGTTTCGAAAGGCTGCCTTTTGCCCTAAAATTGCATTTTTTTAGCTCAACAACTTTTGGGGTGTCCTGGTTTTTACTTTTTGACATACGGCAACCCTGTCTTAAGCTAGCAGCCACCAGCAGCTTGCCTCTTGTGGCAATGAGTCCCAGGGGATGTTGCAATTGCGTAAGAACCTCAGCTCTCAGGGTGCTTTTTCTGTGGTGGGCAGAGACCCTCGATCGAAAGGCTCTGCCGCTCAGCTGGTGCTGATGGGGAGGAGACACCTAGCCCTGTGGGCGGCTTCGGCACATGCCAACCGAGGCCTGGGGGCTCTGAGCCAACATCCTCCCCCCCCCCCACTTCCCCATCCCCGCTCTGGAGACTTTGTCACTCTGAAGATCTGGGATGACTCACCCGGTTTGGCTGCTTGCTGTAGGCCTCCTTGTTCCTGAGAAGCTGCTTTGGGTAGGAGACCATATGGCGCTGAAGAGAGGAATGGAGGCACCAGGGGTCGGCACGTTAAGGGAACCTTCTGGGTAATTAAATCCGCCCCCTGAGCTCTGTGAAAGAGGCATGACGTCTGGAAATTTCCTCCGAGATGCTGGAAAAGAAACATCGGAGCAGAGGATCTTGTGATTTTGAAGGCCGGGGGAGTTACGCATAGTGGGAAGCGAGGGGTGAACTGGGCAACCAGAGAATCCTAGGTTATGGCAGCACAGATCAGAATGAGGCCTTCGGATGGAAAGAAAAAACTGACCTCTTTCTCGGAGTTTGATTAAGACCTTTAGAGGCCCTAAGCACTGATGAGATTATGGTCCGTCCCCCCCAACCCAGATATAATTCAACCAATGCTAAACCATAAAACAACCTTTTTTTGTGATGAAGCGATATGAAACTTACAGGCATTCCCAAATTGAAATACAGTGGTACCTCTGGTTACAAACTTAATTCCTTCTGGAGGTCTGTTCTTAACCTGAAACCGTTCTTAACCTGAGGTACCACTTCAGCTAATGGGGCCTCTCGCTGCCACCGCGCTCATCCTGAGGTGAAGTTCTTAACCTGAAGTACTACTTCCAGGTTAGCAGAGTCTGTAACCCGAAGTGATTGTAATCTGAGGTACCACTGTAACTCCTTTCTCAGTTTTCTGACTGCAAAATTCTAAATAAGTTTGAAGCTGACTCAAAGAAGCCCGTCTGCTTCATGCGAAGGAGGGACAGTGAATCAAGTGTGTCCTGGCACTTTGTTCTCCTCTGAGGGTTTTTCATATATGAATATTGATAGCTAGGTAAAGATATATAATTAGAATCAGTTGGAATATAATTAGTTGGAAGGGACTACAAGGGTCATGTAGTCCAATTCGCTGCAATGCAGGAATATTTTGCCTAACGGGCTCAGGCCCACGGCCCTGAGATTAAGAGACTTCTGCTCTTCTGGCTGAGCTAAGGGCATGGTGCGACTGGACCTAAGGTTAGGGTCCCTTTACCTTTACCTTTGGACCACTATGGCTGGGGGCCTCCTCTTCCCAGGCCCCTGTGGGGCAGTGTGAGGAGGCAGCTCTCTTTGGGGTGGGGTGGGGGGCAGCTCAGAGACTATGGATGGTAGCAGTGACTGCCCAGAGGACATCCAGGGAGAGGAGGCTGAGGAAACTCTCCACAAGGGAAGGGGGTTCGAAAAAGGGCGAGAGGTTGCCAGCTCTGCAGGCAAGGGGTGTCATAACTGGGCTCTGAGCCCCACAGGGGTGCCGCAGCAAAAATGTAGTTGGTTGAGGGAGCCGTGGACTCAAAAAGGTTGAAAATCTCTGTCCTAGTTTAGGTGGGAATAAGTACAGTGGTACCTTGGGTTAAGAACTTAATTCGTTCTGGAGGTCTGTTCTTAACCTGAAACTGTTCTTAACCTGAGGTACCACTTTAGCTAATGGGGCCTCCCGCTGCTGCTGCGCCGCCGCCACATGATTTCTGTTCTCATCCTGAAGCAAAGTTCTTAACCCAAGGTACTATTTCTGGGTTAGCGGAGTCTGTAACCTGAAGCGTCTATAACCCGAGGTACCACTGTAATTTTTAAAAAGCAGGAAAATGGGGAAGAGTGCAGAGTGTAAGGAAGTCTGGAAATTTGAGAGACGCAATTTAATGTTATTTATTTTTTAATTAAAAGAATGGTGCTGATTAAAAACAAGACCACAGCTATTTTATCTGTAGAAAACAATGTGCAAGTCATATATGCATCTTATTGACTATTGACGTTTCCCTATAGGTACATGCTGGACGTGAAAATTACAAATGTGCTGTTAATGTGTGACAATCTACCTGTGGGTTGCTTGTTCAAGTGTTGATATTTGTATGAGCTATTCTTAAACTTTTTTTATTTTCTTTTTTACTGAATCTCCACCCAGCCCCCTATAAGAGTTGTGAACAATTGTGCAGAAAAACACAGTCATTAGAAAGTAATAAATAGAAATTTCCAAAACAACTACAGTGTGTGGTGTGTGATTATGGACGCAGATTTTAACAGAGTGCTTTTTAGAGGCGAGATTAACACGGTCACATCGGAAGCCTCCACCCTTTGATCTGGCCCTAGCTGATTCATGTGTGCTTCAGAGTTTGCAAATGACTGAGTAGAAACTAATCTGTCTTTGATGAGGGTGGGGAGTTGCATTGGTGGACTTTTGGATTTCAAATTTCAATGGCGTCCTATGTGATACCAAAATTTGGTGCTCCCGCACCTCTTGCCTTCCGTTCTACATCACTGCTGCAGCATCCTCTCGGCTCAGCAACCCATGCAGGCGAACAGGTCGTGCTCCCCTAAATCTCCCTTTCATCTTTTTCCATCTGGGGACTGGATCCCACTTCTGGGCCACTTTCCTGGGGCCAAAAGCTAGTGATGGAAAGAGTCAGAGAAAAAGCAGGCGGAGCAACGGAAGCAAATTTCCCCTTTGGCTGATAACAACAATGACATCAACAACATCATCATCAACAACAACAATAACAACATTTCTATACCACCCTTCATCCGAGGATCACTGGGCAGTTTACAATATAAAAAGACAAAAATGCACAACATAGTAACAAACAAAAACAGTAACACCGCCCCCCCAGTATAAAAGCCCATAGAATGTTTAAGTAGCCAAAGGTCTGGGAGAAGAGTATATGTAACGAAGGTGCCAGGTGAGCCTCCCTGGGGAGAACATTCCTCAAGCAGGGAGCCACTGCAGAAAAGGCCCCGTTCTCGTGTTGCCACCCTCTCGCAGAGGCTAGTTTCTGCGCACATGCACACACTGCCCCTTCTGTCCTCCATTCAAGCAAGCAAGAGGCATGATCAGAGTTGAAGGACACATTCCAGCCAGGCAAAAAACACCCGAGGGTGAAAAGCAAGACCGGACAGGGGTTGTGGCCTGGAGAGAGTCCCAAGGGCCTGATAGAAAGGTCTAGAGGGCCACGTTTAGGCCACACCCCTGGTCTATGACACAGATGTTAATGTTACCTTATTAATTATATATTTATTTAACAAAATTTGCAGCCCGCTTTATCTGTAAATAATAAAATGTTTAAGCAGTTTGCAAAGAATGTAACATCCGTATTAAAATTGTTAGTAAAAAAAAAGTGATGTTAAAAACAAGTTGATTTTTAAAACAATGATAATGTTATGGGCATTTCAGGTTCATGCACATTTCTTGCAGCTGAATGTCCAGGTGGCCGTTGTGGTTGTTTTTAAAATGTAACATCCAAAATGCAACTATTTATTATCTACCTTTCTGTATTGCTCAGGAGGCAATGGGCGGTTCACAAGCTCATAAAACTTATTTATTAATGTATTTATTTCACGTGATTTATCTACCGCTTGGTTGCAGTAAAACCTCAAAGCAGTTTACCAGAAGAATAAAACAATAAAATCATCAGTAAAAAACATTTGTCTAACACATTCAAATAATAATGTCAGTTAACGATAAGCTAAAATCCAGATTTAAAGCACATCAGTTTTCTACAAGTCTGGAGAGGGCTGCAAGCACTGAATAGAGTACAGCAAAGGTGCCTGCCTCTTGTCAATAGGCCGGGAGTTCCGAAGTTTTGGGTGCTGCCACGCTAGAAAAGATGGAATTCTTATCAATGCAGAACAAGTATTTTGCAGCACCTGGAGCAGTGCTAATTCCGCAAAATGCCAGAGATGAAGAATAAAAATAAATAAAGAGAGTGAAATCTGTGGCAGATGAATGCATCTGGAGTATAAAGCCACTGGCAAGTGCAAAACTGTAAAAAAAGCGCCACATTTGTTTTATTTTCAAAAGAGAAGGACTGAGCAGGTTCCCAGCCTCCAGATGTGTAACTGCTGGGAGCTGCGTCCTTCCTTCTTTGCTCCTCCATCTCCTCTTTTCCCTCGTATTGAAAAACTCCCTTGCGCAAGGAAACAGCGGAAGAAAAGCAGAGCCCTGGATAGAAGCGAAGCCATTCAATAAACGACAGGAACGTATCCTTGATTTACATAAACACCTGCGTTGGTGCTTGCTGATGCTACAGTTTGATGTTTGCATCTCATGGCTTGACAGGTCCTCTCAATAATCTCTCTCTCTCTCACCCCCCCCCCCCCCCCGTTTAGATAATTGCCTTTGACGAATTGCACATGGACTTCAAGAACCCCATCGACCAGGGCAACCCAGCCAGGGCAGTAAGTCTATACATGTCGTGTCAGAGGTGTCTCTGTGTCCCATTCATTCGCCTTTCCCTGCCTCCAGTCCCATCCTTCGGCAGTCTTCCTCTTTCCCTTGTTGTGCAGACCCAGACCTGGTTTACATTCAGAAACCAGCGAAATGCAAGGCATTGTGATGGGCAGGAAGCATCTGCAGGGGAAGCAGGGGGCGGTGCCTCTCTAGGAGTGTGCTTTCCGGCATCTCAGTGGTAAAGCTTGGCATTCAGAAGGTCCCAAGCTTACTCGTCGCTCTCTCTACTTCAAATTTATTGTGATTTATTTTCACTTTTTATATCCCACCTTCCCTCCACGGACCTCAGGATGGCGTACTCACTTTCTCTGTGTTATCCTCACAGCCACCTTGTGAGCTTTGTGGTTGAACGGAGGATTCGAACGCAGGTTCTAAGAGACTGAAGAAAAAGGTTGCAATTTGGGGTTTTAAACTGTGGGGGTAGGACAAGACTGTCTTTCATTTGAAGCAACAGATGAAGATACAGGGAGGAGCCTGGAATATCCTCTGAGGGAAATAATCGCACACAGAGTACAGAGAGTCACATGTGTTGTCCTGCCCACTTTCCTCACTGGCTATGGCTGCCATTGCCATGTGGCCCCTAGTCTGGATGTCCCCGAGGGGAATCTGGGACCTTTTGCGGTTAGGAAAGTGACAGGGGAAAGTGTTGTGTAATGATTAGAGCATTGGGAGAGACAGTGGTTCAGATCCCCTCTCATTCATGAAACCGCACAGGGTGGTTGTGAGGACAATAAGTGAAAGTAGATAAGAGTCATGGGAAATAAATGTAATAAATGAGTAAAAGCAAATCCACTGGAAAGTTTGGGGACGAGTGGAGGCAGTAGGATAGCCATCTTTGAATACCTGGAGGGCTACCTCATAGAAAGGAAGCAAGCTTGCTTTTCTGCTGCCCTGGAGGTAAAGGTAAAGGGACCCCTGACCGTTAGGTCCAGTCGTGGCCGACTCTGGGGTTGCGCCGCTCATCTCGCTTTATTGGCTGAGGGAGCCAGCGTACAGCTTCCAGGTCATGTGGCCAGCATGACTAAGCCGCTTCTGGCGAACCAGAGCAGCGCACGGAAACACCGTTTACCTTCCTGCCAGAGAAGGTACCTATTGATCTACTTGTACTTTGACGTGCTTTCGAACTGCTAGGTTGGCAGGAGCAGGGACCGAGCAATGGGAGCTCACCCCATCGCGGGGATTCAAACCGCTGACCTTCTGATCAGCAAGTCCTAGGCTCTGTGGTTTAACCCACAGCGCCACCCGCATCCCACTGCCCCAGAGGGGAGGATTCAAATTGCAGGAAAGGAGATTCTGACTAAACGTTAGCAAGAACTTTCTGATGGTATGAGTTCTAAGGCAGTGGAACGGACTCCCCAGGAGGCAGAAACCTTGATTGGAGGTTTCTGAGCAGAGGTTGGACGGCCACCGCCAGGGGTCCTTTAGCTGTGATTTCTGTATTGCAGGGGACTAGACAACTGATCCTTGGGTCCTTTCCCACCTTATAGTTCTATGATTCTGTATCTTGGTGGATGGATAGGAAAGCTGAGATGCCTGGAAAAGGCCCCAGATTCAGCCCCTGGCATCTCCTAGCAGGGCTGGGGGAGACCAGCCATCTGCCATGGATGCTTTAGTTTAGATTTCTGCATTGGGGGGGGTTGGACTAGATTGCCCTCTAGGGTCCCTCCCAACCCTGCAATTCTATGATTCTATGACCTCCTGTCTGAAACGCTCAAATAAATAATAGGAAAGGCCACCGTGAAGCAAAAAATAGCAGCTGTGCAGTTTAAAGCATCATCAAATCACCTCCTCCCCGCAAGGATATATTTGTTTGATAACCCCCACCCTCCAATCTGGGTCTGTAGGGTGAACTCTCAGAGCAGAGACATTGGACCCTCCGGAGAAGGAGGCAGCGGAGGGGGAAGATGGGGTGGGTGGGTGGTGAGGAAAGAGCTGTTTTTGAAAGCAGGCAGGGCTGTTGTACTGCAATTGGGAGGATAAAAGGTGGCTTTCATCCGCCGCTGAAAGAGCACAAAGGAATGGCAGGAGTCGGGAACATTCAGCCATAGGAAACCCTTTGAAATCCCGCCCTGAAAGTGTCGCTCAGCAGCCTCCCCGCAGAAGCAGGGGGAAGCCGCTGCCCCCTCCCCAGCGCTGCGCTGCCTCCCCCGCTCGCGCTGCCGCAGACAGGCTGGCGGATGTGCCGGCGCTGTTCATTCAGAGATAAATATCAGAAGAGGGAAGATATCAGGAGGTTCTCAGACCAAAGGCCCGTCCAGTCTAGGATCTCGCGTCCCCCAACCAGATGTGGATGGGAGTCGGACAAGCAGGACATTGGCATGGCAGCAACAAATCTGGCTCCATCTGCACTCTCCATCTAAAGTAGCGTCACACCACTTTAAACAGCCCCAGAGGATTCTGGGAAGTGTTGTTTGTCAAAGGTGCTGAGAGTTGTTAGGAGCAGACGCTTCCTCCCCTCGCAGAGCTACAGTTCCCAGAGTCCCCTGGGAAAAGGGCTTAGTTTTTAAACCACTGTGGAATACAATGGTACCTCAGGTTACATACGCTTCAGGTTACATACGCTTCAGGTTACAGACTCTGCTAACCCAGAAATAGTACCTCGGGTTAAGAACTTTGCTTCAGGATGAGTGCAGATATCGTGCTCTGGCGGCGCGGCAGCAGCAGGAGGCCCCATTAGCTAAAGTGGTGCTTCAGGTTAAGAACAGTTTCAGGTTAAGAACGGACCTCCGGAACGAATCAAGTACTTAACCTGAGGTACCACTGTATATAGCTCTGTGTGAGGGGAACAGGGGTCTCCTAACTACTCTCAGCAGCTTTAAAAGTCATGTTTCCCCCCAGAGGATGCTGGGAACTGTAGTTCGCGAAGAGTGTGGTTAGGAGGCCCCTGTTCCCCTCACAGAGCTACACATTCCACAGTGGTTTGAAAATGAAGCCTTCTTCCCAGGGAACTCTGGTAGTTGTAGCTCTGTGGGGTGAATTGGGCCCTCCCAACAACTCTCAGCGTGCTTCAGCTCCCATAATTCTTTGGGGGAAGCCATGATTGTTCTAGTGTTATGGTGCTTTTTAAAATGTATAGTGCCGGTGGAGGTACAGTGGTGGGAAACTCTTTAAAAAATAAATGAATGAATCTTTCTTCCATGGGAACTCTGGGAAACGTGCCTACTGTACAAAAGTAAAAATTATATCCATTGCTTCACCTAATTGCTTTTTGCCTCTGGCCCCGACCACAATTGGCATGTGGCCCCCAGAATGTTGCAGTGCGGCCCATGGGGCTGAAAACCATTCCCCAAGTCTGACTTAACCTTTTCAGAATGGGAGCTTTGCACACGTCAAACTCCTGTGCGACTCTCTGCGAGGACAGGATAGTACGATTGTCCTACGAAAGAGGGCGATAGAGTTCTCTATTGTCAGACTCCAGCTCCCATCAGCCCCAGCCATGGGCATAGCCAAGGGAGGGCAGGGGGGCAGCAATGGCGGAGCTTCGCACTCCAGCCCCGGGGGAGGGGCAGAGAGCAGGCAGGGGCAGGGCTGGCACGCATCCAGGGGGCGGGGGGGGGCGCTTTCTGGGGGCGGGGATCGCCTCTCTTCCTCCACCAGTGGGGGCAGCTGCCCCTCATCAAGTAAAACAATAGAAATACTTAACTAACTGACCAATCACGTCGGTTCTGCCCCCCAACAAAATTCCTGGCTACGCCCATGGCCCCAGCCAGCTTTGTCCAGTGGCCTGGAATGATGGGAGCCGTAGTGCAACAGCATCTGGAAGGCCACAGCCCCCGCCCCTCCCCATCCCTGGTGCAAAGGTTCTGCAGGCCATTTTTGGCCCTCGTTTAATTGGCACCGACACTGGTTCCTAGCAGGCCAGGAGACGGCATTATATGAGTAAAGTCCACTATCCTCTGAGCTATCCACTTCATAGGATAGTTCAAGACTCTTCATCTTAGGGTTGTGGGTTCGAGTCCCACACTGGGCAAAAGATTCCTGCATAGCAGAGGGTTGGACTGAAGGATCCTTGTGGTCCCTTCCAACTGTACAATTCTATGAAATGGAGGTGCAAGATCAAGGACAGTTTGGTAACAAAAGTGGAAGTTTTGAAGCAAGGGAAGGAACTATTAGGTTAGCTCCTGGGCTGTCCCTGATAACTTTCAAACACAAGAGAGAGAGAGAGAGAGCTGGCACAGTGCCAGGAAGGTGGCACGTCTTCTGGGTTGCCCCCTCCCCTCCTGCAAGTATAAATAGTTTTGTTTGACCTCAATTTCTCTCCACGTGTCACAGGCTCCAGAAGAGGAACTCACGGCACAGGCCAAGGCTAATTTCCCGTCCCCCGTCCCATATCTCTCTTGGGATTCACCATGTGGCCTAAGAGGAGGGAAATTGGGATTTTGGCAAGTGGGCAAAATGGCCTCATGGGCTAATTTGGACAGGTGGGTGGGGACGGCCAACTGCCAATCATTCCTGACGTCACAATGACACCGGGTTCAGTTTTTGTGCCTCAACTGATTGTCGGGGCTTGGCAAGTGGGACACCCAGCCAATATTTTGGGATGGGGGCCACGACCCTCACATGTGAATTACCTGACATTTGGAAGGTACGCTATTTGAGAGTTGGCTCAGCAAAGCACCCCACAATCAGCTGTGGGGTAGGTAAAACAATGGCTCGGCCTAGAAAGGGTTTGCTGGTACTAGCAATGAGCTGATCGGTGCCACCTGCAAAACCCTGCGCAAGAGGGCTTTTTGAAAAGGCCTCTGCAAGGCCCGACTATCAGTCTCGGCAGAGCCCCTTTCAAAGCGCAAGACGGCAGGAACAGAACTGGCTGGCTAGATCGGAAAAGGGGGTTCAGGCAGGGTTCATGGGTCAGCGCCAAAGGGTGTCTCTGCGTGGAGCCACTGCTCTTGACCTCCCAAACGATGCAGGTCAGGATTTGAAGGGCTGCCGCCAGGGCTTACAAAATAATTACCACCAATTAGTTAAAAAATACAATTTTGGGATTAAGGGGCTGCAAACCAGATAAGGACAGAGCGCTGGATAAATGCGATTTTTGAACGGTTCATTATCCCTGTTCGCTGGCAGATTTATTCCCCACGCACCCAGAGGATTACACAGTGTGTTGCGTTTCGAGAAAAGCAACCCGATGGGCTGCCTGTTCACACGTCCGGTTCTGATTGCGGTGCTGGTGCCAGGATTAGGCCTCTGAGGGTCAGCAGCCTTGTCAGATTCCTATGTAGCATGGAGAACTTTGCATCTTTTGCTCCGGCAGTGGCGAGGAATAAATAGCTGGATCCGACTCTCCTCTTCTTTTTTTTCTTTTAAAAATGCCTGCGTTGGTTTGAAAAAAATATTTTGTGCATGTTGGTCAGCCTCTCTCTGTCTCTCTGTCTCTCTCTCTCTACCTAGTTGCTTTAGGGCTTGTTGTACAGTGGTACCTTGGGATAAGAACTTAATTCGTTCCGGAGGTCCGTTCTTAACCTGAAACTGTTCTTAACCTGAAGCACCACTTTAGCTAATGGGGCCTCCTGCTGCTGCCACGCCGTTGCTGTGCAATTTCTGTTCTCATCCTGACTCAAAGTTCTTAACCTGAGGTAATATTTCTGGGTTAGCGGAGTCTGTAACCTGAAGCATCTGTAACCTGAGGTACCACTGTATTTTGAAAGTGAAAAGGATAGTTGTATGTTGTTCTAAATTCCTTTGGGAGTAAAGGCAGTGGAAAAATATAATCCCTGTGGTCAGAGTGTCAGACGAGGACCTGGGAAACCAGGGTTCAGATTCCCACTTGGCCATGAAGCTCATATGGTCACCTTGGCAGCCTAGCCTACCTTACAGGGCTGTTGTGGGGATTCAATGAGGAGGAAAAGACCCACGTAACCCTCTTTGAGATCCTTGGAGAAAAAAGGTGGGATACAAATGCGTGTTTGTGTTTGTGTTTGTGTGTGTATACAGTGGTACCTCGGTTTAAGAACTTAATTCCTTCTGGAGGTCCGTTCTTAACCTGAAAGGTACCACTTTAGCTAATGGGGCCTCCCGCTGCCACCACGCTGCCGGAGCACAATTTCTGTTCTCATCCTGAAGCAAAGTTCTTAACCCAAGGTACTACTTCTGGGTTAGCAGAGTCTGTAACCTGAAGTGTCTGTTACCCGAGGTACCACTGTATATGTATCCCCAATCTCAGTAGACCTAGTGAAAGGAGTCTACTCTGAGTAAGACCAACATATATATATATATATATATATATGTATGTACGTCGCTTTTTACCCCCCCCCCCATGAACTCTAAGCAACTTGTGGAAAACAAAGATTAAAAATAGATAACAAGGAAGGATAAAACCAACCTAAAATGGTCATATTAAAAGTACTCCTGGAGATGCCGGGAATTGAACCTGCGACCTTCTGCATGTGAGGCAGAAGCTGTGGCGCTGAGTTAGGGCCCACCCCCTAAAAATAAAGGAAGATTCCCCTTCTCATGGTTCTAGGTGGGCTGGTTTAAAAAGGAGCCCAGGAAGCTGTGTTATACTGAGTCAGACCACTGGTCCACCTAACTCAGTTTCGTTGACACTGACTGGCAGCCGCCTGACTTGGAGAGTTCCATGGGTTGAACCCAGGGCCTTCTGCAGGCAAAGCAGATGTTCTGCTGCTGAACTATGGCCGCTCCCCACATCAGAAGGCTTTTGCAGGGCCATCTTAGCAGAAGCACAAAAACATTTTGGGTGGGGGGGAGACCAAAGGAATGGGGAACAGGAAATGACCCACGGCCCAATAAGGACTCATCAGCAGGTTCACTGGGTGTGGAATGCTGACTGTTGGGGGGTGGGAATGGAAATGGAGGAGGAACGGAATGGAGTATCCAGGAAACGGGCTGATCTGCCTGGTTAGCTGGCATCCACAATAGGAGGACTTTGCGCTGCAACCTCCCCCTATACAAATCCTTACAGAGATATTTAATGTTCTCTGGTTACATCCCTGAGGATCCATCGACTCTCCCCATATCCTCCCCCTCCTCTCTCCATCTTACCCAGTTGCTCCCCTAGCAGTTTGACTAGTGTTAATTTCATTTTTTTATTTCTATACTTAGAGAGAGAGGTTGAAAAACATCGAACGCATCTGTTGCCTCTTGAGAAAGGTGAGTGCCTTTTTGCTTCTTTGTTTGCTGGTATCTTTCACCCTCATTTAACCTTTTCCCTTTGAGAACCGTATGACACTCTCATCTCCCTGACGGGCAAACCCGTCAATTCCAGTTTCTCTCGGTTTCTCATTTTTCTGATGTTAAGGTCAGTCCTCCACCTTTCCACATCAGTTTGTGATTCCCTCCCCCCCAAAAAAAATTTCATGAAAATTCACCAGAAGTTTAGTGCAAATTTTCTTCTAATACACACATTTTTCAGTGCCATTTTGCTCAATATATCTATGCTCTTGCAAGCAGTTCTCCCTAAAACAGCCCATTTTTCTACGTTAGTTTCATTAATATATGCATTTATATGCACATGTTTTTTGCACTTTTGCCCACCGGTACTTTACATGTTTTTGCAAAGCATGTTTTCTATAATGTTTGTATTTTCCCAAATATAATGCATTTTGTATGTTATTTTCACACATACATACACACACACACACACACACACACACACACAAAAACCTTATCCTCAGCACCCCTTACCTTACCCTATAAAAAGCCTTATTCAGACTAGCAGTTTGCACGACCCACTAAGGAAGATAATAACACAATAAAATCCAAAACAATAACAATTAATTGCACAGCTATTCAAAATGTGATTAAAACTCTTTAGTTTAATTAATTCAACAAAATGGATGGGCTGGATTCAGTGGTAACAGCTTTTCAAAGTCTGGTAGTCATTCACACTAGTGCCCCTCTGCCACCCTCCCCAAATAATCCCGCCGCCTGCCAGAGGGCGCCCAATTTGAGAACCACTGTTGGTATTTTTCTACACATTGTTAAGAGAACCTCATGGCAAACCTTGGAGAGGTGCAAATTTCTAAGGCTGTGTTTTGGGCCGCAAAATATTGGGAAGCATTAATTAGTGTAATTCAACTTTAAATGCAAACGGAGTCAAATTTCTACCCCCACCCCTGCCACACTCTGGGATGATCCTCCAGAGCACCTTTAACTCTGGCACCCAAGGGTGTCAGTTGACAAGCCAAATCAGATGAGTATCTAATTGCTCCCACTTTACCGTTCTCCCCACTCTTTCTGATGTTTTTGGTATGTGTGCTGCTGTTTACATATCCCAAACTGGGATAGCTCAGTCAGGAGAGCATGGGACTCTTGATCGAAGGGTCATGGGTTTGAGCCCAACGCTGGGCAGAAGATTCCTGCATTGCACAGGGTCCTCGTAAATGACCCTCGTGGTCCCAACTCTACAGGTGAAACTCGAAAAATTAGAATATCGTGGAAAAGTTCATTTATTTCAGTAATTCAACTTAAAAGGTGAAATTTGGGGTTTTCGTCAGCTGTACGCCATGATCATCACAATTATAACAAATAAAGGCTTGACATATCTCGCTTTGCATGTCATGAGTCTATCTCATATATTGGTTTCACCTTTTAAGTTGAATTACTGAACTAAATGAACTTTGCCATGATATTCTAATTTTTCGAGTTTCACCTGTACAATTCTGTGACTCTATGAAAACTGCCCCACCCATGCAACAAGGGGGTTATCAGCAGACATGTGGGAAGAACCTGGAGCTTTGCAGGATTACAAAAAAAAAAAAAAGTTAAGAAGAATACTCTAAAGGGGTGGTGAGCCCCCCAAAACTGTCCAGTGAGGACTGAGTATATTCAGTGGCTACAGAATGCTGACTGATGGGGGGGAGGTGGAAAAGAAAAAAAACATGGAAGGAGAATAGAATGTAGTGACTAGGGAATCTAAAATAGGGAGGGCTCTGTACTGCAACATTTAGATGCCGTTCTCACTTGTCAAGACCAAGGGCACACCTACATCCATTTAAAGCACTGTGATACCACATAATCATAATAATAATGATAATAATAATAATAATAATAATAATGATAATAATAATAATAATAATAATAATAATTTATTCATTCATTCATTCATTCCCCGCCCATCTGGCTGGGTTTCCCCAGCCACTCTGGGCGGCTTCCAGCAAAATATTAAAATACAGTAATTCATCAAATATTTAAAAGGCTTCCCTAAACAGATGTCTTCTAAAAGTCAGATAGTTGTTTATCTCCTTGACATCTGATGGGAGGGTGTTCCACAGGGTGGGTGCCACTACCAAGAAGGCCCTCTGCCTGGTTCCCTGTAACTTGTCTTCTTGCAGTGAGGGAACCGCCAGAAGGCCCTTGGCGCTGGACCTCAGTGTCTGGGCAGAATGATGAGGGTGGAGATGCTCCTTTAAGAGTCATACCCTCCTCACAAAGAACCCCGGGAACTGTTGCTTGTTAAGGCTGCTGAGAGTTATTAGGACACCCTTCCTAGAGCTACGATTCCCATAGTGGTTTAACAACCCACCCATCTTTCCAGAAGAGCTGTAGCAAAATAAGGGCGACTGGGTGCCCTACTTTCCAGTTCTATGTTCGAAGGACTTCTCTGCTTGAAGGTCTTTAGGGTCTAAATCTGGTGGGCAGGGTGGGGGCAATTGGCCCACAGGCTCGGGAAGATGGGAGTTGTAGTTCCAACAACATTTGTGGGACACCAGGTTTTGGGGGAGGCTGTTTTTAATAGGTTTTTTCCTTTTATCTGCTGTGTGTCGCAATGAGTGCAATATGTGCCCAAAATAGCCTCACTTTTTGACCAGAGGGTTTCTCTTGCAGCTCGTCGTTCCCGAATATTCCATCCATGGCCTTTTCTGCCTGATGTTTCTCTGTGCAGCTGAATGGGTGACTTTGGGACTTAATATCCCGCTGCTTTTCTACCACTTGTGGAGGTGAGGCTGAGCACCAACACGGCCTAAGCACACCCCAGTGCTTCCATGCTGCAGTTCACGACAGGGAGATTGTAGCCTTCCACATGTTGTCAAACTGCAACTCCCTCCAGCCCTCACCGTTGGACATCCTGGCTGGGGGAGACGGGAATTGGAGGCCAACAATATATTGGAGGTTCGTCGTCCCTGGTTTACAGCACTGGGAAGGAGTTTGACACCAGAATCAATTTCTACAGCCGCCAGGAAGACACTCAAATCTTTCACTTCTGTTTTCAGTTAACCACAGTTTAGTGTTACTGTACATCCAAACCGTAAACTGTGGTTATTTTTTAACTTAGATTTGTTTGAAACAAGCCAGCTTCAGAGATCATAATTTGAAGCTGGCTTATTTCAAGCAAACCATAGCCACGGTTTTGGCAGTTTCAGACAACACAAGATGAATTGCAATTAATTACAAATGGAAACTGTAGCCGATATATAAAGGTAAAGGGACCCCTGACCATTAGGTCCAGTCGTGGACAACTCTGGGGTGGCGGCACTCATCTCGCTTTATTGGCCGAGGGAGCCGGCGTACAGCTTCCGGGTCGTGGCCAGCATGACTAAGCCGCTTCTGGCGAACCAGAGCAGCACACAGAAACGCTGTTTACCTTTCCACCAGAGCGGTACCTATTTATCTACTTGCATTTTGTGCTTTCGAACTGCTAGGTTGGCAGGAGCAGGGACTGAGCGATGGGAGCTCACCCCGTTGTGGGGATTTGAACCGCCGACCTTCTGATCAGCAAGCCCTAGGCTCTGTGGTTTAACCCACAGTGCCACCCGCATCCCTATATACCTGCCGATATATAACTTATGTTAAAAGAAAGGAAAGTTGGCTTATTCATTTTTTGAAATATAGCACTTGGATCCCAGGACTTACTGTGTTGGGTGCTGAACTGAAGTTTGGATGAAATTAAAAACAAAAATACACACACACATACCATAAAACCTGACACAGGTTTTTAAATTGTGTTAGCTGTGAAACTTGACCTGTTTGCAAAACATAAATAAATAGCTTTAGGGGATCATCTCATTCCCTGCACTGGGACAAACCTGTAAGGATAGTTAGATTATAGTCTATTTCTGTACATCTCTGTAGGTTTGAAGTTGCAGCCCAGGAAATTGATGCTTATAGAAACTTGTGCAGGAGGGGGGATGCAGGAAGCAGGAGGGGAAGGAAGATTGCCCTTTGCCAGCAGAAATGAAATATTTAAATTGTATCATTAGACCATACCTGCACCATGTTTCTGGGTCTGAGAAAACAGGAAGCTGATGTATACACAGACTATTAATCCATCTAGCTCACAATTAATCTACTTTGGGGCCCTCCAAGTTGTTGGACTCCAACTTCCATCAGCTCCAGCCAGCATGGCCAACAGTTGAGAATCCCGCAAGGTGACAGGTTTCTCACCCCTAGCCTTGGAGGAAAGGCAGGGTTAATTGTAATAATAAATAATGCCTTGCCTGACTGATCAGGGACCACTTTTTTTGCATATGTCTTATCAAGAGGTTTTCAGTAAATGAATTTAAGCAGTGAATTGGCTCAAATGTAGCAGATCTTCTTTAAGACAACCACCACCTCCACGAGATGGAAATTTAGGGGAGAGATTGGACATTTTCACTCACCTCTTTTCCTCCCCCCCTGCCCTCCAGGTACTTCCACCGCCCAGCAGATGGCTCAGAAGTGATGTACGACGCCGTCTCCATCATGAATGCCGATATCTTAAACTACTGTCAGAAAGAATCGTGGTGCAAACTGGCCTTTTACCTGGTGTCATTCTTCTATTACCTGTACAGGTGAGTTTCGTGTGGTCAGCTCTGATTTTAGAGAGGCGTTTCCTTTGGGAAGTTGAGGGGGGGGTTGGGTGCTGCTGCAGACTCACTATGCGCAATAACAATCTGCTGTATAGAGGATCCTCTATACACAATCTTTGAGGGCACAATCTTTGAGATCCACGGGGCTGCAGATTTAACTGGGCTTTAATAAAGGCGATCCTGTCTCTCCGTTTCCGTGCAAATCCTTAAAATGAGAAGGTAGCACCAAAGGAGTTCTTATACAATGCTGCTATTTTAGAAATGGATGTTGCTGCTTTGTCCATTTGAAGGGATACATCAGATAATCGGCACTTCAAAAGCCTTTTCCACAAGCTCCACCCCAGCTTTTAACTTACAGTTCAGAAAAGCCTAATTTCCCCACTGGGGATGAAATAAACTGCTTCCAATGTCCGCAGCTACCTGAAGAGGACAACACGGCTACTAAAAATAATTTTTAGGCAGAAATCTGCTATTATTTTTATGTCACTGTAAGCATTGTCGTTGTTACTGGTTCAGCTGTGTATAAGAAGTAGCCCAGTGTAGAAGAAATACAGTTTTCAAAAACTCATTTCTAGTATATATGGACCACTTTTCACCATAAATGGTCTCAAAGCAGTTTACAGATGAATCAATAAAATAACGCACCAGAGGTCTGGAACCCGTGACCCTCCAGATATTGTTACTAAATGGGAAAGGGTCGAGGTAGCTCCATGCTCCTTATAAATCCTTTTTTTAGAAAATCATTTTTATTGATTTTCCAATAAAAAACATCCAAATAAATATCCAATCATAATACTTCAATTAAAAACTAAAAAACTAAAATAAAAAAGATCAAATTATAGTCCAAATTGTATTTATTAATTTCTTGGGCCTCCCCACAGTCTGGATCTCTGGAGCATATCTCTGCATCTTAGTCCTGCTTCTCCTTGTTGTCTCCATATTTTCCACATCTCGATACTGTATTAATGCTTGGTAATTTTTGCTCCTTATTAATCCTAATGCGTAGCTTGCTTCTTAGCTACTATTATTATGGGGGGGGGTCCTGTGATCTTTGCTGTCTTACTCCTGACTTTGGTGACGGCTTCTTCTCTCCTTCCTTCCTCGCTTCACATTCCTGTTTTCCAGTATGGTTTATACGCTGGTGAGTTTCTAACAGACACCCTTTGCAGGGTGGGGGACGCCCACCACACCTGGACTACGAAGTTAACGTGCCAAGACTGTGTGGCGGGGTGGGACGGACCCATGCCAGGCCCGAGGGCCCCCCACCCCACTCCCATGTCCGAAGCCAATTCACGCTGCAAGACTGTCCTTTTCCTGGCTGCCTTGGACAATGATACTCTGCTGCCTCATACCGGATAGGGGGGCCTGCCGTACCACCACCACCACCACCAAACCCCCCAGCCCCAGAAATAACGACCGCCGGCTCTATATTTTGGAAAAGGAAGCCGGAGCCGGTCTCTCTGCTGATGGACCTCCCCGTTGCAAGGAGCTCATTGAGGGAGGGCCGCAGCCGGAATGGAGTTTTCGGTTGAGGGGTCCAGACCGTATTGGGGTGCAGGGCACTATGTGTAAAGCAGAACTAGGGTCTCTCTCCAGCTGCATTTATCTCCAGCTCTTGCTGGACAGGGAACGTTTTGTGTGTATGTGTGTGTTCTTCTACTGCTTTGGGATATTTATATATAAAAATAAATAAATCTGGGGAGAAGGTCTGTGTGTGGTTCACCCCACTCCCCAACTTCTTTCCACGGCCCCAGCTCCTGGGGAGGTGTTCCTCGAGATATAGTTGAATGTCGCGTCCCCCCCGCCTTATTTTCTTTGGTAGGTTTGGTGACGGTAACAACTTCTCCACAGTGGAAGGAAGGAGGAGGGCTGGAGAGGCGAGGGAAAGCCTCAGCAAAACCAAGGTGGCAAAGTTGGGCGGCCATTTTGTCACACTTGCTAGCAGAGGAGATTCAGGGAGGGGGTTCGGAAGGGGAAGCCCCCCTCCCCAATTCTTCAGCTTTTGTTTCCCCTCCTCTTGCTCCAACAAGAGCAATCAGTCTGCTATGGGAAGCGGTTATTCAGCAAGCGCAGTTTCCCTTTTCTTCTCCTTTATTTCCTTCTGAATTGAATTGCTGAATGTTGTCAGATGGGGAAGGGATGCTGTGACTGGAAGTCGTGGAGGCACTCTGTTGTCATGGCAACTCGCGGGCCTATCTTCCCCGCTGGCGCTTTTCCTTTTTGGTACAACTCCTGGCTTTTCTGGGAGGGGAGTGAGAGGCCTCCCTTTCATGGGAGACGGACCCTGGTTTTATTTTATTTTTCGGTAGGGCCAGAAATCACTCCCTGCCTGAAACGCTTGAGCTTCTGCAAGCCAGTGTTGACAATACTGAGCTAGATGGATGGTGGTCTGATTCAGTCTAAGGCAGCGTCTTTTTTAAAACCAGGCCTTTCCACGAGGACTGGAATCTTCCTTTATTTTAGGGGATAGGGCCAAAACTCACATATCCCACAAGCGTCCTGGGAAAAGCCGAGAAAGTGGCGGCCATTTTGGTTGGCGCGATTTTGCGACACAGTTTCTCCCCTGAAAAAGTGTGGAACCACAGTGCAAAATGTGTGCAAGATCACAGCAACCCCAATGGCTGCCATGTTCTCGTGATTTAAAAAACCGGTGGCATCCTGGATTTTGGCTTCATGGTGTTGGAGGGTATGAACTCAGTGGCATAACATCTGCCTTGTGTGCAAAAGGTTCTGCCAGCACTTGCCCCTAAAGGCAGGTGTTGATAAATCCAAAATAAGAACCTATATAAGAAAAAAATAGCCCTGCTGGGCCAGACCCCACGTTCTTCTTAATCCAGCGTCCCAAACAGTGGCTAGCCAGATGCTTTATGGGAAGCAGGGCTGGAAATGAAAGGGCCTTCTCATGTTGCTTGCCCTCAGCTTATGCTAACTGCTCCTGAACATGGAGGCTCTATTACCTATCCTAGCTGACAGCTGTTGATAGACTTATACCCCCACCCCCTTCAAGAATGTGCCTCGTCCTTTTCTAAAAGCCATCTGAAGAGAAAGCCCACATGAGCCAGGAAGGACCATAACTCAGTGGGAGAGCATCTGCTTTGCATGCAGAAGGTCTCAGGTTCGAGTCCTGGCAGCTCCAGGTAGGGCCCCTGTCAGAGGCAGCTGCTGCCAGTCAGTGTGGACAACACTAAGCTAAGATGAACCCATGGTCCGGCTTCCTCTGTTCCTAAAGGCCCTCACTGTGTCTTGAATTGAAAATCAATTCGGCATTTTTTTAAACAAGCCTTTTCAATGTTTGTTTTTGTTTATTGCGCTTAAGACTCCACTTTGCAATAAAAACGGCTTACAGACAGTAAAATCCAAATCCAAAACTTAACTGATCCACATAAGGGACACTGCAGTAAAATCAGATAAGTGGCTGGGTACAAATAATAAAATTATTATTATTGTTGTTGTTATTATGATGATGATGATGATGATTAGGAGTCAGTTTAAAAGAAGTGTAATTAAATGAAAAATACAGATTAAAACAGTAAGCAGCAGAGAAAAATCAGCCCAGTAGTCCTCAGCACTTAAATAAGTGAAAAAGGGGGGGCTGCCTATTGATAGGGCCAAAACTCACATATCCCACAAGTGTCCCGGGGAAAACTGGGACATCCAGTTTTTTAATCTGGAGAAAGTGGCAGCCGGTTTGATTGGCGCGATTTTACGACACAGTTTCTCCCCCGAAAAGGTGTGGAACCACAGTGTGAAATGTGTGCAAGATCAATGATATCCAGATACTATTTTTTGTAAAATACCTAAATCTTTTAATGAATAATCATTTAAACCAGGCTTTTTCCTGGTTTTTAATACTCTAGTCCTTGAAGCTGTTTTTCTACCCCAACCCCCAACCCCAAATAAAAAATGGTCACCCTTAGGCACTACTGAAATTATTGAGATTTCTACACAAATAATTTCTTCTGGATTGAGGTCTGAACATGGTAATTATTCTTACTCTTACCTCTTAGTCTAAGACGCACACGCACAAAATATATATGGTGTGGGTGTGGGTGTGTGTACACACACACACACACACACACACACACACGTATGGAAAATATTTTCCCTCAAACAAGTAATGATATTTGTAATCACTGAGAGGTGGAAATAGCAGAACCAAAGCTGGGTGTTACATCGTCTGTCAGGCCAGTTTGTTGCTCAGCCCAGAGGTACTGCAATACACCATCTTATTTATTTTTTTCATTAAAAAATTATATACCGCTTGATTGTAAAAAACAAAACAAAAAACCTCAAAAGCAGTTTAGAGAAAGAAGAAAACAATAAAATGCTTAGCAAAAAAATAAAATAAAAACCTTTTCAAACAAATTATCGAAAATCAACAATGAGATAAAACCAGATTAAAGGTCAGCATTTCTACACATCTGGGTAGGCTTGCCTAAACAAAAACGTTTTTAGCAGGTGCCAATAAGGTGCCTGCCTGGATGCTACTAGGCAGAGATTTCCAAAGCATGGGTGCTGGCACACTTAAATACCGACTTCATACAAATGTGGAATGAGCATTATGTGGCACATTTGGAGCTGTCAAGTGGGCATATATGGGGCAGGGCCACCTTGCAAGTAATTTTGATGGATTGATTCAATTTCTTACCCATCCTCCACCCTCAATAAGGTCCCAGGGGCAGGTTACAGCAATACAATTGTAAAAACAAACAAACAGATAAAGCAGTTAACAATCAAAACTGTTCCCAAGTAGAAATCCAACAAAACGAAATACCTTTAACTGCTAAAGGCCAGGGTACAGAGGTGCCGCTCCTGCATACGGCAGAAGCTGTGCAGCGACAATGCCATATACACACACCTCTCTGTGCAGAGAGAGGCCCAAACCATTCAGGGAGCTGTCACAGAGCAAGCCCTCTCCCAAGAGGTCATTCCCTGAACTGCCGAAATAGCCCCCCCCCCCGCCCCCCCGGTAGATCTTTACACCCAAGAAAGTTGGTAGGGGTGGAAACGGCCTTTCAAATCCATATATTTATGTGTGAGTTTTGATTACTGATCTGGATACTCTCTCCATCAAATCCCACATAAATTTCTCTCTTTCTCTCTCTGTGTGTGAGAAAGAGTGAAGGCTGTGAAAGGCACTCTGCGCGTTCTCAGAGGCTCCTCCTGCCGGCATTATTTACAGCGCATGGAAACTTGGATGGGAGTCCTGGGCTTTGGGGTTGCCAATTTAGCAGGGTTTTTTTAAAAATAAAAATAAAAAAAACCCAACCTGGCCTGCTCCTGTGATAGATAGATAGATAGATAGATAGATAGATAGATATTCTATCTATCTATCTATCTATCTATCTATCTATCTATCTATCTATCTAACACTTGCTTGACCTTCAGAAACCAGCAGGGAATGTGTTCCAGAACATGTTGAGTATTATCATTTCTTAACATTTGTAGTTCAAGTTGGGTTTTCGGAGCAATGGTTACTTAATTAAGTTGACCACCCTTTCTTGGGACCTGGTTAAATTTTGTGTGTGTGATATAACCCTGTGACAACCTGCTTTCTATTTGGATTTTCTTGCCTTGACGGTGTCCTCTTAGCTCGTTAGGGGAGAAATGTTTTTGTCTGGATCCAGCCTGCTTATGGTGCGTCCAGTTTAGGGGTGGTCAAAACAGAAACAAATGGGACAGACCGCAAATGAAATCTGGAAAGTCTGGCCCTAGAGGATTTGGGGGTGGTGGTGGTGGGAACGGTCACCTCACCGTGGTACTATTGATTCCTAAGCCCCTTCCCTTCCTTGCGCTCTTTTTTAAAACTGATGACCCCCCCTCCCCAGGGGACTGTTGTATAAAGAAATTCTGTTGGAAATAAAAAAAGAAACGATTTGACTGTGGCTGGTGAATAGTACCATTATCCTGATATATTGGGGGGGGGGGATCATGGACACCACATTTCCCTCCCAGGGTTAGAAACTCATAAATAAATAAACCAAGGTTACAGTCACCAAAGCGGGATGTTTAGTTGGCATTTGGGGGCAAGCAAGATGGGACGTGGGTGGTGCTGTGGGTTAAACCACAGAGCCTAGGACTTGCCGATCAGAAGGTCGGCGGTTCGAATCCTCAAGCTCCCGTTGCTGTTTGTTGCAGCGGCCCTGGCTACAAGCTCCACAGGTGAATGGTGCCTCTGGGGCTGCCCACGGGGTGCTGGTTGTCAGAAGCTGAGGCAACCTCAGAGTAAGCAAGCAAGCAGGCAAGGGAGCCCAGCCAGACCACCAGCCCTTGCTGCTGGGAATGGACAGACTAGTGGGAGGGCAGGCAGGCACTGCACTGGCCTTTCTTGTGCTTGCTGTGTGCAGTGCCAGCCTGGGAACTGAGCGCTCAGTGCTGAAGAGGAGCCTTTGCCTCATGCAGGCCTGGCAGTACCTGCTGCTGCTACTGCTGCCTCCCAAGGTAAGGTGCTGGCCTCACATTCACCTTTAGCCAGTCTCCTTTGGACCAACGTGGGTGGCGCTGTGGTCTAAACCACAGAGCCTAGGGCTTGCCGATCAGAAGGTTGGCGGTTCGAATCCCCATGACGGTGTGAGCTCCCATTGCTCGGTCCCAGCTCCTGCCAACCTAGCAGTTCAAAAGCACGTCAAAGTGCAAGTAGATAAATAGGTACCGCTCCAGCGGCGTTTCCGTGCGCTGCTCTGGTTTGCCAGAAGCAGCTTAGTCATGCTGGCCACATGACCCGGAAGCTGTACGCCGGCTCCCTCGGCCAGTAAAGCGAGATGAGCTCTGCAACCCCAGAATTGGCCATGACTGAACCTAATGGTCAGGGGTCCCTTTTCCTTTTTAACATGGCGCCAAAGTCTTATTTTTCAAATGATGGACTGGCAGATTCTCAGTTGAACATCTGGCTAGTTCAGATGACAATCTTGAGCTTGGTTAAGAACTTTTGAGAATTTAAAAGAAGAAAAGTTCCTTGACCCAGGGGCAGTCCTCATATATATTAGCCTATTCCGACCTCTTTTTCTTAATGAACCATTCACAATGTAAGAATATTCTTCATAACTGTGAGCAGGGCAGTGGGGTGGGGTATGTGAAGCGACAACAATTCACTATCACATTGTTCACTGCCCTTGGCTCAGGCTGCACAGGAAAAGAATTTTGGTTCCTGAAATTCATTTCAATTGTGCAGATAACTTATAGAATTCTACAGGACGGGGTATTAGTGTGTGAAAACAGTCCACGGATTCCCAGGCTTGCACCTCCATATGGTGAAGATGTCAGGCGCCATCCTGGCTGTTGGTCAAGTGCAAAATGTGCCTGGCTAATTTGAAACACTGTTCCCTCCTCTAAAGTGGTTTGCCAACTGACCAGGAAAAGACCAGCCAGGCCTGCTTGTGTGTAGTGAAAGCACCCGCTTGATTTTCCACAGCAACCAGCTTTTATTTCCAGGCTGGGGAAACTGCAACCCTCAGTCCCCAGGGAGCACGGCTGCTGCGAGTTGTAGCCAAGCAACAGCTGAAGGGTCAGAGGTTGCCCATTGCTGCTCTGCAGTTATGTCCTAACTCACAACACCAAATGTGCCTCCCCGTACAAGGAAAAGCTAGACCAGGCCAAAGGGGGCCGCATCCTGTTCTTGCAGTGGCCAACCAATGGGAAGCCCACAAGTGGAAGCCGAGTGCATCAGCCTCTCCCTTCTGCATGCAAAGCATCGTGCCTTACCACCAACCAGTGCGCTTAAATGCTCAGATGCGCTTAAGCTACGTTTCGTTTGGGAGAAAGGATTACAGAGGGAAGGCAAAGGGCTTAATAGAAAAAAATTGACTTTTGAGAAGCGATTTGGAAGAAAACAAAGAGGGAAAGACGGAGCCCTGCTGACTCAGACCACAAGGCCTCCCTCTCTAATCCAGCAACACACTTCCTACAGTGGACCGAAACTCCAGAAGGAAACCATCAGGCAGGACCTTCAGTGCAATAGCCTTCTTCTGCTATTCAACCCTGGTTAGAGGTTGATGAATTTAAGGCTGTTTGGGACAGAGGGAGGGATCCTTTAGCACCCCAGCTGTTGATGGACAACTTCCATCATCTCCCATTGGCCACACTCGCTTTAGCTGGTGGGAATTGCAGTCCAACAACAATTGGAGGGCCGAAGGTTCCTCACCTGTCCTTTAGGATATCCCAGCACCTGTTTGAGATGGCCTCATCCACTATGGATCAGGTCCTCCAAGTTGTTGAACTCCAGCTCCCATCAACCCCAGCCAGTGTGGCCAATGGTCAGAGATGATGGGAGCTGGAGTACACCTGGAAGGCCACAGGCTCCCCATCCCATCCCTTCTATAGGGCATCAGAGGCTGTTACTGTTCTCACCTGAGCAATTCACAGATGTATCCCACGGAGCCTGAGCCATCCGCAGCTGGATTCCTCTTGAAATAGCAACGCTCTCTCGAAAAGCGGCAGTCCCGGCAGAATTTCCCTCCCCAGAGGAGCCAGTCAACCTGGAAACATCCTTTGCCTCCTGGCCGTTCCTTTTTCTGCAGCGGTGCAGAGGCCTCTTGCTTGATTTGAAACTAATGCGCAAATTGATTCCGTCCGGCCAGGTGAGTCCCTCTTCTCCCATGATCACAGAACCCAGATGCTTTGCCCCAGGGCGGAATAAGTCCCATTGTTCCACACACACAACCCAAACGTGCACCTGGTTCCCTGTGACTAGCAGCTACAATGAAGGATTGCAGCTGGGCCCTTTTGTGTGCAACAACATCTCTCTCTGGATGCGGAACAGAGGGGGAAAGGAATTGGTTTTCTGTTAGTTCCACAGGCCTGGCATTCAGCAACAATTGGAGAATTAATGGCGAGCTGTGCTATCGTTTTGCAGCAGCAGTTATTGTGCCGGGAGTCTGTTTTTAAACAGCAAACCTGTGCTCGCTTACTGAGAGACCGTTCCCTAAATAAAAGAAAACACACATGGTTTTTGTGACCTGCATTCTGTGACAAGAGGGCAAATGATCTAAGCTTGTAAAGGTGCAGGATCTGTCCCCGAGCATTGCCTCTTATCGAAAGAATCCTAGGCTGCTCTCTGCCTGTTTCCCTGCAAAACCCAGCACAGAGTGGGGTCAGCTGTTAGACTGCGTCTGAGAATATTCTGGGGGAGAGGGGTGAAATGCGTATGTGTGTTTTGTATAGGCAGTTTATAAGAAGTACTGTGAATGGGGCGTCTGCGAGAGGGAGGGAAGACAGGACACAGAGAGACGCTATTACACACACAAACAGCCGCCCCCACATCCACGAATGTGCAGATCTCCACTTGCAGGCTGCAAAAAAATGTAATCTGAAGCCGTTTGAAGGCTGTCAGCAGACCATCTCTCCATCCTTCCACACTTCCCCTCCCTCTCTCCCTTAACCTTCTGCTTGCGAGGCTAAACATAGCCAGTTCTTTTCAGTCTTCCTTTCTCCTCTTGTTGCTTAGGATTTTTTCCTCTTCTTCTGCCTCAAGCCAAAAGTGTAATTGTGCTCCATGATTTGGTTTCATGATTCATTTTAAACGCCGTGCTAACCGTTCTGTGTCCCCTGCATACACTGGGGACAGATGTGCCTTTGTGAGAAGGGGGTGATGTTCTGAACTGGGGAGCAGTGGGAGGGGGCAGTCGATGGCCACCAAACTGGATGGCTTTAAAAGATTAGACCAATCCATGGCTGGAGCCAGTGCATGCCGGTATAGTGCAGGCATAGGCAGGCATAGGCAGACCCGGCCCTCCAGATGTTTTGAGACTACAGTTCCCATCATCCCTGACCACTGGTCCTGTTAGCTAGGGATGATGGGAGTTGTAGTCCCAAAACATCTGGAGGGCCGAGTTTGCCCATGCCTGGTGTTGGGACTAGGAGAGACCAGGGTTCGAATCCCCCACTCGGCCACGAATGAAGCTCACACTGGGGGTGACCTTGGGCCAGCCACTGTCTCTCAGCCTAACCTACTTCACAGGGTATTTATGGGAGAGAGAACCTTAAGGGAAAAGATATGGTATGATACAAATGCAATCAGTAATGACAACTATGAATACCAGTTGCTGGAAACCACAGGAGAAAAGAGTGGTCAATACTCTCTTGCGATTTGGATCCATTGGTTCCGGTCCTGCACTCTAGGGAGCAGCAGGAAACACTCTTCCTCCATCTTCCAATGCGACAGCCCTTTAGATATTTGAATATGGCTATCGCGTCACCTCCCAGCTTTCTCTTCCCCAGGCTAAACATACCCAGCTCCTTCAACCGTTCCAGCAGGGCTGTCTGTATGCCTGTTGCACCCCTGCCTTCTCTCCCGACTTCATTAGCAATGCCGCCTCTGCCCACACAAGCAATGCCCACCCTCCCCGTTGCTTTCTGCGCTCGTGGACCAAAGAAACAGCCGCTGCGCGAAATCAAAAATTAAAGAGGTTTTGAATTTCTGCCTCGGAGCACCTGGCATTTGAGATGCAAAGGGTGAAGCCCTGGGCCGGGGAGTTTGGAATGGAAGGGAGTGTACGGAAAAGAGGCTTTGCGCAGATTAAATCCTGACACCGCAGTTTCGCATTGCAAGTTATGCAGCCTCCGAAGGGCTGCGTACGGGCACACAGACATCTACGGAGCTTTGAAGAAAAGACAGGCCCTTGCAGGTATACATATCCAGGCACGTAGAAGAACACGGACAAGTATTTTTGTGTGTGCATTTTTTTGTGTGCATTGTTGACTTTAGCTTTTAAATATCTCCAAATATGTGCCAAGCTTCTTTTCAAAGGATAATTTTGATGTTTTAACTTTTTTTTTGTAAACCGCTATAAGGTTTTTTATTAGTTGAGTGATATATAAATTTTGTTACATAATAAGATATAGAAATACATATATATGAGAGAATGACTTTGGAGGGCCTGAGGTTCCCCACTTCTGCTGTAGAGTGAATACACTCGACACACAAATTATGTCCTAGAGAGTTCTGTGGGGCTTGGTGCTCATTATGCAGTTATTATACTGGCTGACAACGCAAGAAAAGAAATAAGAAGAGTGAACACCGAAAATCTCCTTAAAAGCTGCGTCTTACCATGACCCCCTGCAGCAGAGGGCTTTGGCCTCTCACCTTTTTGAATCTCACCTGTGTGAATTGACGGCCAAAGGGAGAGTAGGCAGGGACCAGCAGCTGCCAGAGAACGTCTCCTTCAACCCCCTCCTGGGAACGGGAAACTGGTCCTCTGAGAAGTTCCCCCGTAATTGCAAACAGTGAACAAAATGTTTTTTCTTCTTCACTCCAATAAACGCTCCTTCAAACAAGCCACGGAGAAACAAACATGCGCGCACACAGACATCCCACACACAGCCAAGTACCAAAGCAGTCTCTCTGCAGCTGGTCCGTGATGCGTCTGCTGCCGCCTGGCGTCAGAGGTGAGTAACTATGCTAAGCTAAGAGGATAGCAGGGAAGTGAAGGCCCACATTCGCTCCACACGTTTAAAAGCACTAGGGTACCACTTAAAACAGCCATGACTTCCCCCAAAGAATCCTGGGAAATGTAGTTTGTTAAGGGTTCTGAAAGTTGTTATAGACTTGCCTATTCCCCGCTCACAGAGCTACAATTTTCAGAGTAACCCTGGCCATTAAATCACTCTAGGAATTGTGGCCCTGTGAGGAGCTAGGTAGTCTGTGAACAATACTCAGCACTCATCAGGGAAGTTTTTACTTATTGTTTTACTGTGTTTTTAGTATTTTGTTGAGAGCCACCCAGAGTGGCTGGGGCAACCCAGTGAGATGGGTGGGGTATAAATAATAAAATTATTATTATTAATTATTATTAACAATCCCCTATTCCTCACAGGGCTACAGTTCCTAGAATGGCTACACAATATATCCCTCCTCCCAGCGGACTCTGGAAATTGTAGCTCTGTGAGGCAAAAAGGGGGGTCTCCTCACAGCACCCTTAACAAATGAGAGTTCCCAGAATTCTCTGGGGGAAGCCATGACAGTTTAAAGTGTTATCATCATGCCACTTTATGGTCTGAATGTGCCCAAAGAGAAAACCACGAGGGGCTGCTTTTCGCGGCGGTACTAAATCAAGCAAAGCCTATTTAGTCACACACCATTCTTAAAATAAAGAAGCACAGGCGCTTTGCTGGGGGAGGGAGAAAGTTGGCAGCCACCCCCCAGCCGGATGAAATGTGAACACACGCACAAGTTGTCAAGCACATTTTTATCGTCGCTTCCAAGAACGAACTCTCCCATAAACAGATGGGGGGAAAGTTGAAATGCGAAGTCTTTCCTCTGAAAGTTGGCTACAAGACACAACTTAGCGGCTTTGCAGATTTCGTTAAGGTTCACCCCCCCCCTTGTCTACCCAAACCCACCTCTTTGCTGGCTTGTATCTGTGGCAGTAAAGACATTTTTTAAAACCCCCAGCAAAGGTTAATATATATCTATATATATATAAAGAAAACAAATGGGGAATAGTTTGAAAGTACCTCAACAATACATCATCTGATGCGTTATGACCAGTAGTACACAGTCCTTGAGAGGTGAGGGCATCTGCTCTCTGACAACACAACAGCAGAGGATGGGGGTTTTTTTTGGGGGGGGGGTCCACTGTCAATACTCAGCTGGTGGTGCTGGGGGTTAAAAGACCACCAGGTCGGGGGGCAAGCAGGAGAAGTCATTTAAAGTAAACCAGCTGATTTTCAGAAGAGGGAAAAAGGGTACTTTGCTCCAGAAGGCAATAATAAGAATAATACACCAGAACTCATGTTCTTAAAAACTCTTTGCATAGCAAAAGTGCTCCCAGGAGCACGAAGGGGGTGGGGGGAAGTGTTTGGAACAACCCTGCCCCACCCTATCTATCTGAGTCTGCCCCCATTAACACCCCAAGCAAGGAGACGTTTGCAACGACCAGTGGAAATGGAACAGGCCACAGATTTGGGAGTCAAGCCGAGTGGGGGTGGACGGGCAGGCAGTGTCAAGCCTGGATAGTTTTGACAGTCCTCACTTCCCCTCCGTTCATGATTTTGTGGGGGGCAGGGAGCCCCTCGAGAAGACGTGGCACCTCCCTTATTCGGCATCATTCCTTGCGTCAGCGGAGCCCCCGTCCTCCTTCGCAAGGCCCAGCATTTGGATGGCCAGGAAAAAGTGGAGTGTGTACTTCAGGGGATTTGGGGCCGGTGGGTGGGAGAAATAAAAGGGCAGAAAGAGAGAGGGGTCCTTGCAAAGCCAGCCCCCCCCCGGCAAACGTTGGGGCTGCCACGGACGGGTCATCTCCTCCGCGTCGCCTAATGAACCAGCTGTGCAGTCAGCCAATAGAGGATCAGAGGCTGGAAGGCGGCGGCTGCTAGGGTGACGTACATCTGCGCCCTCCCGCTAGGCCGGCTCATCCCTTCCTGCACCATTGAAGGAAGGATCTTCATCCGCAAGGAGCGTACCTGGTTCAGAGAGAGGAAATATGCCACACATCAGAGGTTAAGGAAGAAGACTCGCCTCTCTCCCCACCCCACAAATCACTCCTTTATTGTAAAAGCAAGGGTGGGTGACCTGCAGCCTCCCTAGGTGTTCATGTAGCTAGAAACTTGTAGCCCTGCTATCTCACAGAATAATATCAAGTCGGAAGTGGACCCTGGGGCTCATCTAGTCCAATCCCCTTGACCTGCAAGAATAAGCAGTTGTCCCTTAACGGGGATCGAACCTGCAACCTTGGCGTTGTCAGCACCACGCTCTAACCTGCTGAGGGATGTTGCTGGACTCCTCAACTCCCATCAGCCCTGAGGCAGCATGGCAAATAGGGATGGTGGGAGTTGTAGGCCACAGCCACATTTAAAGCACTGTTCTACCACTTTAAACCCTCACGGCTTCCCCCAGAGAACCTTGGAAAGTGCAGTTTGCTAAAGGTGCTGAGGGGTGTTATGAGACCCCTTTTCCAAATATATATATATATATATATATATATATATATATATATATATTTTTTAACGTATTGTCAGCAATCATTTAACACAATTTCATATCTTATACAATTTTTTGACTTCCGTCAATCACATCTGAAAATTTTCCAATCTTCTCCACTTAATTTACATTTCTTAATTTCACTATTACTTTTAATTTTCCTAACTAATAACTCTCTTCATAATCTTCCTTGCAATATTTCATATATTCCTCCATACAAAACTTCTTGTATTCCTACTAGCATAATCTGTTGTTTACAATTGCTTTTCAAATAGTTCACATATTTATTCCAGTCCTCTGAGAATCTCTGGTCCCGCAGGTTTCAAATCCTTCCTGTCATCTTATCTAATTCTGCAGAGAGACCCCCTTTTCCATTCAGAGCTGCAATTCCCAGAGTTCCCAGGGACAGATTGTATCACCACTCTGTGTGATAACTGTAAGCTCGGGGGCGGGGGGAGTGCTGCCTGGTAACTCTCTGCTCCCTTACACAAACTGCAGCTCCCAGCAGGGCCGTCTTACCCATTGGCGCTAGGGGTGCAGGGCACCCGGGCGCTGTGCTCTCAGGGGCGCCAGGCCGAGAGTCCGGGGCCCGAGAGTTGAATCCGGGGAAGAGCCCACCCGTCAGTCGGAGCGCCACAGAAGGCTCTTCTACTGCGGGCAGCTCTACACCGCGAGTTCGGGGGTGACCAAGCCAGCGAGATGCTGAGATGGGCGGGCGGCCGGCTCTGCCCTCCTGCGCACCTGGGACTGGGCAACTGGGGGGGGCACCAGGCAGATCTTTGCACCCCAGCGCCACATATGCTTAAGACATCCCTGGCTCCCAGAATGCTTTGCGGGAAGCCATGACGGTTTAAAGTTATCTCCCGCTTGGACTACTGCAATGCGCTCTACGTGGGGCTACCTTTGAAGGTGACCCAGAAACTACAACTAATCCAGAATGCGGCAGCTAGACTCGCCGAGACCACATAACACCGGTCTTGAAAGACCTGCATTGGCTCCCAGTACATTTCCGAGCACAATTCAAAGTGTTGGTGCTGACCTTTAAAGCCCTAAACGGCCTCGGTCCAGTATACCTAAAGGAGCGTCTCCACCCTCATCATTCTGCCCAGACGCTGAGGTCCAGCGCCAAGGGCCTTCTGGTGGTTTCCTCATTGCAAGAAGTTACAGGGAACCAGGCAGAGGGCCTTCTCGGTAGTGGCGCCCACCCTGTGAAACGCCCTCCCACCAGATGTCAAAGAAGTAAACAACTACCTAACATTTAGAAGACATCTGAAGGCAGCCCTGTTCAGGGAAGTTTTTAATGTGTGACATTCTAATGTATTTTTAATCTTTATTGGAAGCCGCCCAGAGTGGCTGGGGAAACCCAGCCAGATGGGCGGGGTACAAATAATAAATTATTATTATTATTATTATTATTAAGTGGTGCCATAAATGTTTTAAATGTAAGTGTTGTTGTCGTCTAGAAGCATGCAGAAGCTCGCAGGCTCCTCATTCCCTTTGGTCTGATCTACCAGGAACTCTGTACGTCCCCGGGAAAGGCCTGCTGACGAGACTTCCTGCCCCACGGCATCCTGGGAGTGCTAGGGCCCAGATCCCAGTACTCACCATGAAATACATAAGAGCGCAGGAAGCCCAAGCCAAGGCGATGTAATAGCCATTGCTGCCAAACGCGAGGCCGCCCACCACAGCTAGGATCATCCTGGAGGAGGAGGAGGAAATGGCAAGTGTCATCATGGCTGTTAAATCCCCTCCTGTCAAGGCTGTCATCCAGACCAGGCATTCTGAGATTCACAGCTGTTGTTAAGATCTCTGCCAATCACCCCTTTTTGTCAGTTCTCAGCGCTGAAAGCTTTATAGAAATTTTTAAAAGCTTACGAGGTGCCGGGACACAAAGGTGCCTACGCATAGCATATTAAAAAGAAACTTTGGGGAAATGATGTGATCGTGAGGGCGGGGCAGGGGGGGAGATTCTTAAAATTGTTGGCATAAATATATTCGGTGCTGGAATCATACAAGTTTAACTTAAAATTTTGGGGGAGTAATACTGGAAGCATTATGGGAGGCAAAAATTCTGTTTATTAGTAAAAGCAAATGGTGGTAGTTTTTAAACAAGGTAACTGCAGAACTGTTTCCCTATATGTGACATTTATGTGTATGCATAATTTAGGGTTGCCAAAAGTCCGGAATACAGCCGTCAGAAACAGTGTCCGGGCAGAATTTGCTTAAATGTCCGGGAAAATCCAGATGTATGGAAACCCATGTCTGAAGTCAAGATTTTGGCGACTTCCCTTAAAAACAGCTCAAAAACTTCAAATTTTTTTTTGAGCTCAACAACTTTTGTGTCCGGGTTTTCACTTTTTGAAATGTGGCAACTCTAGCATAACTATACAGACCCTCTGGATAGATACAGTGGTACCTCAGGTTACATACGCTTCAGGTTACATACGCTTCAGGTTACAGACTCCGCTAACCCAGAAATAGTACCTCAGGTTAAGAACTTTGCAGGAGGCCCCATTAGCTAAAGTGGTGCTTCAGGTTAAGAACAGTTTCAGATTAAGTACGGACCTCCGGAACGAATTAAGTACTTAACCTGAGGTACCACTGTACTGCAAATATCAATCACATATTTGCATTTAAAAAATCAATGCTAACTTACTGTGTTGGGAAATTTCCCCAGAACAACTTTTTCAGTTATAAAATTTAAATGTATATCACAATTTCCAATTTAACCAAATAAATATGTCTGTGCACGTGTGTTTTTAAAAGACTGCCTGTACATTCACCTTCTGAATCAGAAGTCTTTGCTTTCCATCTGAACATGGATGGGACATTAGGTGGTGGCTGTATTTGGCAAATGCCCAGAGGCACAATATAGAGAATTTTTGGAGAGTGGCAGGACCTAGAATGGATGGGGAATGGGGATGGTGCTCCAGGTGTTGCTGGACTACAATTCCCATCATCCCTGATCACTGCTGGCTGAGGCTGATGGGAGCTGGAGTCCAAGAACATTCAGAGGGCTGCATCTCACATCACAACACTGCATGGAAGTGTGTGGTGAAGTCATTACAAAAAGGGAGTTGTGCTGGTGGTGGATGATGATGATGATGATAATACTCTGTATATTCCTCACAAAAGTGACCCAAAGCAACTTACAAACACAAGGTAAATACTATAAACAATTACAGCAAACACAACACTTCAAAACACAAACCAAAAACACAACTACACACACACAAACGATAGGTCTTGTAGATCCAGTTCCGCTAAAAGAGGCCGCAGGTACTCTAATTAAGGGCCAAAAGGTCACACTAAATTAAAGTTATTGCCTGGTTCCTATAACTAGATAAAGAGGGTGCCAGGTGAGCCTCGCTGGGGAGAACATTCCACAAGCAGGGAGCCACCACTGAGAAGGCCTGTCCCCATGTTGCCACCCTCTGGACATCCCAGAGAGGGGCACACAGAGAAGAGCCTCAGAGAGTGATTGCAGGGTCTGATTCAGTTCATGTGAGGAGAGGCAATCCTTGAGGTATTGTGGTCCTGAGCCACATTAAAGCCGCAACGAAGAAAATACAAGGGTCAGTTTAAACACCTCTCAAGACCCCAAGTGGAAGAGCCAAGTTGGAGAAACATGCAACAAGAAGTCTGACCTCACGTAAACACAGCCTCCTATGGTCCCAAGGACCGCTAGGCCAGAGATGTGGCCCTCCTGATGTTGCTGGACCCCAGTCGCTGTCATTCCTGACCACTGGCCTTGCTGGCTTGGACTGATAGGACCTGGAGTCCATCCAATATTCAGAAGGTTATGGTTCCTTCCCAGTGCGCTAGGCCACAAGGCAGAAGGGAGATGCCCACTTACCCAACGTATTTGTAGCCGCAGTAAGCAAGCAGGTCAAAGGTGCCCAGGTCGCTCTGGACCGTCACAAGGTACAGGCCCAGCAAAAGGGCAAGAACCTCAATCACAACCCACACGAAGGCCGTGCTGGCACACATGCCCAGGACCTCTGGTGAAAACCTAGGAAGGAACAAGGCGGAAAGAGCAGAACGGAATGAATGTCAGGAACGAACATAAATATGTAAGAAGCGTCTGGCTGTTGGAATGCAATGTTAATGTGCTGTCTAAAATGTCTAAGATATTATTGGATTGTCAGACAAAGGACGAGCAAGTAAAATCCTCAATTATACACTGGGCAATAGATATTGGTTATAATATAGATATGGAAGGGTGGGAAGGATTGTGGAATACGGATATAAAATTCACAGCATGCTACGGCTTAAGAGAAAACTATACGGAAATGTTATATCGATGGCATCTAACACCGAGTAAACTGGCAAAAATGTATAAATCAAAATCGAGTAAGTGTTGGAAATACAAAGAGAAAGAAGGTACTTTTTATCATATGTGGTGGTCTTGTGGCAAGGTTAAAGCTTACTGGGAAATGATATATAATGAATTGAAAAATATGTTTAAAGTAACATTTGTAAAAAAACCCCAGAAAAACCCAGAAGCTTTTCTTTTGGGAATTATAGGGGTAGAACTACCTAAACAGTATATAAATTTATTCAGTGGCAAAAATGTTATTTGCCCAAAAATGGAAAGAAGTCCCAACGAAAGAAGAATGGATACAAAAACTTATGGACTATGCAGAAATGGCGAAACTTACCGGAAAAATAAGAAATCAAGATAACAAACTTTTTATAAAAGCATGGAAATGGTTTATTGAATATTTAAAAAAACAAATTGTAAACAGATGAGGACATTGGCAGGATTATTGCAATAACATGCAGTTTCATAAGAGTATATAATTAAAGTAGATGAAGAAAAGAATAAGTTAATTTTTAATATGCAGGAAATGATAAAAATAAATTTAAGGAACCACAGAAAGAGGAGGAAGGAAGTCGAGTTTTACAAGAGCATCTCTGCCTACTCGTAATCATAGAGTTGGAAGGGCCATCTAGTCCCTCCCAACTCTATGATTATTTAGCACCATTACTACAGAGGGCAATTTAAGAAATGAAGCAGGAATAAGGAATCTGTGACCTCCAGGTGTGGGAATTAAGAGGATGGGGGTGGGGAGGAAACCTCATTCCTTACCTTTTCTGTAAACCAAGTGCCATCCCAGCAAGTAAGATATAGGTAATGAAAGCCATACCTGGAGAGGGGAAAGAATAAGAATCACACTCATGAGAACTAGCCACTTTGATGGAACTGCAGTTTTCTGGGATGGTGGGGATGGAAAGAGTAGAGAGTTAGCTTCTACTATAATTAGCTGTCCTGTCTAGCTTAACTCTAAAACAAGAACGGGGAGCCTGTAATTCTCATCAGCCCAGGTGAAGAAAGGTTTGGGATGATGGGGGCTGGAGTCCAATGACACCCGTAGAGACACAGGCTCCTCATCCCAGCTCTAAGAGATAGACTAAAAATTCGAAGCAATTCTTTAACACTGTTGCTTTGGAAACTGGATCCCATCTGCGCTGCACATTTAAAGCAGGACCACAGCACTTTAAACAGTGATAGAGTCCCCCAGCAAATCCTGGAAAACCTAGTTTGTAAAGGGTACTGAGAGTTCTTAGAAGACACTGCCCCCAATTCCCCTCACAGAGCTGCACTATCCAGCGCTCCCTGTGAAAAGGGATTGGTTGTTAAGCTACTCTGGGAATTGTAGCTCCGTGAGAGGAATAGAGATGTCTCCTAACAACCCTCAGCACCCTAATAAACTTATTCCTCTGGCCCTGCCCATAAATTGAATGCAGCCCCAAGGAGGCTGTGCACACAGAAATGTGGCCCTCAGTCTGTAAACCATCCCCCACCTCTGATTTAGAAAGTGCTTTTTAAAACTAACAAACTCTGGGTATTAGGCCAGGGTGGAGGTGAACATCAAGAAACGCTGCTATGAATCACCTGTTCAGTTTTCCCAAAAACTATCAGTACAGTGGTGCCTCGGGTTAAGAACTTAATTCGTTCTGGAGGTCCGTTCTTAACCTGAAACTGTTCTTAACCTGAGGTACCACTTTAGCTAATGGGGCCTCCCACTGCGGCCGCGCGATTTCTGTTCTCATCCTGAAGCAAAGTTCTTAACCCAAGGTACTATTTCTGGGTTAGCAGAGTCTGTAACCTGAAGCGTCTGTAACTTGAAGTGTCTGTAACCTGAAGCGTCAAGGTACCACTGTATGTGGACAGGCAACATAAAACTTTGCCACTCTAAATAAATTTTGGCATGGACGTTAGCTAGGATTTCAGCAGCCCAGTAATGGAAAACCTTGGGAAAAAATACGCATTTGTGGTAAAAATAAATAAATTGTGGACCTTGGCTACTGCGGAAAAAATAAACTGTGTTTCTGAGGATACAGAAAGATGGCGGAGGATCCAGAAGGCTTTCTTGTCATCGGGTGAGATTTTATTTCCTGTGCTTCGTACTCCAGTGCTAAACATTCACCCTCCATGCCAGCTCAGGAATAAGGATGGCCTGATTTATACTGGTGTGCCACTATTTCTTTCTATTGTTACTGATTGCTTGTTTGCTTTGAATATGGAATGATGAAACACTGTGGTACTGTACTTTTGGGTTGTTACTAATGGTAAAATAAGGAATAAGTAAAGAAATTCTCCTATGTTCAAGAGAGGGCCTCCACTCACTAGGAATGTAGAGGTCTGGAGCATTGACGTCCTGCCGAGGCGTGAGGGGGACATCTCTGTGGTAGCGGACTTCCCAGTTCTGCAGAGGAAAGAAAACAGGCACAGGTGAGGGCAGGCTGCCCAAGACCCGTTTCAAAATACTTTTTTTTTAAAGGGGGGGGGTTTCACGTTTGTTCTCAAACGGCACTGAAGCTGAGGTGGGCAAAGCTTGGATATTTTATTTTTATTTTTCTGTACAGCTGTATCGTGGAATATTTGAGCAACGTTCACTGTTAAAACATAGGTAAAGGTAAAGGGACCCCTGACCATTAGGTCCAGTCGTGGCCGAGTCTGACCATTAGGTCCAGCCCTGACCATTAGGTCCAGTCTGGGGTTGCGGCCCTCCCTCATCTCGCTTTATTGGCCGAGGGAGCCAGCGTACAGCTTCCGGGTCATGTGGCCAGCATGACTAAGCCGCTTCTGGCGAACCAGAGCAGCGCACGGAAACGCCGTTTACCTTCCCGCCTGAGCGCTACCTATTTATCTACTTGCACTTTGACATGCTTTCGAACTGCTAGGTTGGCAGGAGCAGGGACTGAGCAACGGGAGCTCACCCCGTCGCGGGGATTCGAACTGCCGACCTTCTGATCAGCAAGTCCTAGGTTCTGTGGTTTAACCCACAGTGCCACCCGCATCCCTGTTAAAACATAAAGCACCACAAATTTGGTTTTAAAAAATACACATAAGCATTGAGGTGACGGGCAAACTAAACTTGAAACATCTGCCCAGGCCTGATAGCATTAAAAAGTCTTCAAGAGACTCATGAAAGTCAACAGCGAGGGTGCCTGCCGCATCTCTGACTGAAGTGTATTCAACAACTAAATGCCCAACTTTGAATTGAAGCCAGGCAGGGCCTCTGTAACACGGGGGAATAGCAAGCCACTCTCCTCCGCATTATCTCAGTGATTGAGCTGGGATACAAGGCCTCTCAAGTAATCCTTAAGGTATCCTGCACCCAAGCTGTCCCTTTCAAACAAAATGTAGGAGCATAAGAAGCTGCCTTCTAAGATGCCAGTCCTCATGGTTCTGAAATAAATGGCTGACATAACTAGAAACATAGGAACCTGCCTTGTAGTTAACTACATACACCGGGTGAAGAAGCCCTCCCTTTCATCTGTCCTGAATCTACCACCACTTCGCTTCATTGGATGACCCCCATTTCCAGTTATTATGAGAGAGGGAGGAAAAAAAACTCCTCTATCCACTTCTTTTGTACCATGCATAATTTTGTAAAACTTCACCTCGGCTCTATATACCTGAAAGAGCGTCTCCACCCCCATCGTTCAGCCTGGACACTGAGGCCCACCTCCAAGGGCCTTCTGGAGATTCCCTCATTGCGAGAAGTGAGGCTACAGGGAACCAGGCAGAGGGCCTTCTCGGTAGTGGCACCTGCCCTGTGGAACACCCTCCCATCAGATAACATCTGAAGGCAGCCCTGTTTAGGGAAGTTTTTAATGTTTGATGTTTTGTTGTGTTTTTAATCTGTTGGAAGCCACCCAGAGTGGCTGGGGAAACCCAGTCAAATGGGCAAAGTATGAGTAATTATTATTATTATTATCCCCAACCACCCCTCTTGCTGAGGCCATAGCCAATGGCATGGGAAGGGCGCTCTGAACGTGCTTGGAAATATTGTGGGTACATGTCTTCTCTTTTTTGAACACACCCAGATTCTCTCCCCCACCCACCAATAGCAGAGAATGAAATCCAGCAGTGTAGTCTCTAAGTTGCTATAATCTTCTACCCATTAAGTCCCTTCCTGTGAATATCCTAACTGCTGCCAAGGAAAGAACTATGCGGCAGAAACTGTCCTGTCCTCCTGAACTAAATGTCTGTCACCTGCTCTGCTCCAGGATCTCATCCATGGGAGCGACACTGCTCTTTATCAAGGGCAAGAGTGCCAGAACCGCCACTGACACAGACTGTAACACTAAGAACTGTAACTTTGGAAACCTGTGCTTGAGCTTGCTATTTTCCTCCTCCCTCCTCCATCCTTTTTCCTCACGTGACATATCTTTTTAAGATGCTTAGCCTGAGGGCAGGGAGGGGCCATCCCAGAAATGTACGCCACTATGAAGGGCCTTTTCCAGCTGAAGGGTGGGATATAAAAGCTGTAAATAAATAAAACCAAGACCCCCAAACCGAAACAGCGGGCAAAGCGCCACCTCCCTATCTGTACCTGGTGTACATAAGGAAACACCAACAGGGCGAGCTTCTTCATCACGTAAGTGGTGTCCACTGCAAAGAAGTATTTCAGCTTGTTCATGGACATAAACCGATGGATCTGATGGAAGCAAAATTCAAGAATGAAAAATTATCCAGCTCAGAAGAAAGTATTCTTCTGAATTACACACCTACTATACCTGGGAGATAGCTCAGCCGATAAGAGTGTGAGATTCTTAACCTCAAGGTCGTGAGTTCGAGCCCCACGTTGGACCAAACATTCCTGCATTACAGAGGGTTGGACTAGATGACCCTTGTGGTCCATTCTTTCTCTACAGTTCTACGATTCCGTAAGGAATCTGACAACTGGACAGGATAAATGGATTCTCTGTGCCCTTACTACACCCAAAAGACCAATACTGATGCACTGGGAATATAAATCTATGGCCCCTTTCAGTCAATGGATGGAAGATACGACAACAATCACAATTTATGAACACATTGCTTATAGGTGCAGACTTTGTGTGGATAAGTATAATGATATCTCTTCCCCTATCCCTCCCTATCCCTCCCCTCCACCAGTTTTGTAGCATGCTGGCAAAAAAAGAGAGTGTTTTATATTAGAGAGGGGGTCCCAAAAGCATGGGGGGGGGGGGCAAGCACAAGAAGCACAAAAAACCCAGAAGGGGAGAATGAACCAACCCTAAGCTCAGCCCCACCGGCATTATGCATTTAAAGAACTTTATCAAGCCCTGGCTTCCCCCTTCCACCATTATTTGCTAACGGTGCTTGGAATTGTAGCTCTGCAAGGGGTGAACTACAGTTCCCAGGAATCTTTGGGGGTACGGAAGGAAATATGCAGCCATGGAAGCTTATGATACAATGACTTTAGGGCCCCACGTGCACCCTACATTAAAAACAGCACTGTACCACTTTATACAGGCTTCCCCCAGACGACCTGGGAACTGTAGTCTGACATCGTTCGGAGACCCCTAGCCTCCTCCCAGAGCTGCAATTCCCAGCTTTCCCTGGGAACAGAGACTGCTTGCTAAACCACTCTGGGAGCTACCAACTCACAGCACACTTAAACTACAGTCCCCAGAGTCCTTTGGGGGAAGCCACAACTGTTTAGGGAGAGGTGTAACAGCGTTTTGGACGTACAAGCCTAGTCCATAGGATGAATGCCTCTTCCTACCTCCTTGTGCACAATGTCCTTGCCCTGAGATGCGATGGTGGTGCCGTAGGCCATCGCTACGTTGGCCACTGGGTCGGCAAAGATCTGGTTGAAACCCATGTCGATGCCTGGGGCCGGGTAACCTGGCTGCTGGGGGCCGTAGGCTGCACTGGTGTCGTCAAAAAGCTGGGGGGCATCTGCGTTCTGCGGCACGGGAGGGATCCTTGTCCTGTGTTTAGAACCTACAAGAGACGGGGTTTTATTAGGGAGGAGAGATAATTTTTTTTAAAGAAAAGAAGGCATATCAGATGGTCAGAAACACCCTTACAAGAGCTTGGAAGAAGAAACACCTACCATGGGTTACATAACGTCCCAAGGATCTTAGGTAAAGGTACCCCTGACCCTTAGGTCAAGTCGCCGATGACTCTGGGGTTGCAGCGCTCATCTCACTCTATAGGCCAAGGGAGCCGGCATTTGTCCGCAGACAGCTTCCAGGTCATGTGGCCAGCTTGACTAAGCCGCTTCTGGCAAACCAGAGCAGCGCACAGAAATGCTGTTTACCTTTCTGCTGGAGTGGTACCTATTTATCTACTTGCAATTTGACATGCTTTCGAACTGCTCGGTTGGCAGGAGAAGGGACCGAGCAACGGAAGCTCACCCCATCGCGGGGATCCGAACCGCTGACCTTCTGATCAGCAAGCCCAAGGCTCTGTGGTTTAGACCACAGCACCACCCGTGTCCCTCGCCCAAGGATCTTATCTGAGCACAATTATTATAAAGGCCAATATATGGTTTATTTCCTTACGGGTCACTCAGCTCTGTTTCACAATGGTAGATAAGAATCTCAGGAGGACTAAGCACCTTCAGGAAGGAAACTACTATCCCCCTGTAATAAGGTGGCTGCCGATTAGATACGAGGCCAAGCTACCTGGCCCCTGCCCAACGAGAGAGTTTTGGGGCCACGACAAAACAGTTGCCAAGAGAGGAAAGCCCAGCGAGAATGTTTATGCTCCTGCAAAGGCCTCCAGCAGGAGGAAACGCTGCTTCTGAGCCCAAAGGTGGAGAGTAGGGAAGGAAAGGAGCAACGTGGTTTCTTGCTAAGCATGACAGAGTCTTCCAAGCCTCCGCCTGCAGAGAACCAAGTGGGAGGTGAGAGACGGAAGACTGAGCATTTGTGCATCTGAAGGGTAGAAATCTTGAGAGAAAGGCGAATTGGCGGATGAGGTTTGCCTAAGGCAGAGGAGACAGGGATAGCTCAGTCGGTAGAGCATGAGACTGTTAATCGCAGGGTTGTGGGTTCGAACCCCACATTGGTCAAAAGATTCCTGCATTGCAGGGGGGTTGGACTAGATGATCCTTGGGGTCCCTTCCAACTCTACAATATGAGACCGGGGGTGGGGGGAGGAGAGAGTAAAGCTTGCAATGCTTTGCTCTGACAGAGCCGCACAGTTGTAGTTAGACTTCAACTCCCATCAACCCCAGCCAACGTGACCAATGGCAAGGGATGATGGGAGTTGTAGTTCAGCAGCGGCTGGACAGGGCTCCCAAATTCTCATTGAGAAGCTCCACAGGAATCCTCATCATTTTTACTAAATTATGGCCTACTACTACAAACCATTTATTCATTTATTAGAATAAACAAACTAGATTTTTTTTGAAAGGAGATTTGTGTCCTGCCTTTCCAATTCCAAAAGGGGTGGGGACTGGGACTCAAGGTAGTTTAAATATATAATGAAAATCAATTAAAAACAAAAAAGGGAAAACACCCACCCACCCACAACTTTTACAACACGTCACTTAGCAATAACAACAAACTGTATCCAATGCTAGTTCGGAATAGACCCACTTAAATTAAAAAGCATGACTAACTTAGGTCCATTAATTCCAGCAGTTAAATCCCAAGTGGAACTGAGTTGGGATACAACCCAGGACTAGTAATAATAATTTAAAAACACACCAGAAAGAAAACGAAGGCAACAACATTTATTTACTTTTACTAAGGATTTGTGAAAGAGGCTAAGTCTCTCTTTCTCTCTCTCTTTTATCCACGAGGGCAGAACACGTAGCAAAGAGGACGCTTTAATTATGATTACAAGTCTCTTTGGACCTGAACCCAGGACGGTCCAAGAGCCAAAAAAGCACGTGCTCTGCGGCCGAGTTCAGGCCCCTTCCACTTAGCTCCCCTTAGGAAGCAACAGGATTATCGGGGGCGGGGAGAGAGAAAGGTCTTTTGGTGCTAAGGCCCTCATCCCGAGGCAAGCGCCACCCCCATCAGACCCCTCTTCCATACTGTCTGGATACAACTGCGCGGGGGAGGGAATCAGCACCCCAACATTGAAGCCACGTCCGGGGCCTGTTACCCGCTTTCCGTTTCCCCCCTCCGAGTCCCCCTCAAGGTCTTACCTGGGCCCCCATAGCCAGGGGGATAAGCCATGGCTCCCCGCGATAGTTTGCAAAACGGGGCCCCCTCTTCTGAAAGTGTGATCAACTTGAAATCAAAGTGGGGGGGAGGGGGAGGGAGACTTGAAGACGGATCAAAAGGAAAGGGGAGGGAGACGCAAGTCCAAGCCACGTCCTCAAAGCCTCCAGCGCCGCAATCCTCGGCCTCCCATTGGCTGCTACGGTGGCTGCGCTCAGGGCTCTGAGCGCTGATTGGTGGGAAATGTATCCATTTCACACTCTCTTTTTTCCTTGCTTCCTCGCAGCTGTTCCAAAGGGGCGGAGTTCCCGCTGTACATTCGGTAAGAAGTCCTCTTAAGGACGCATGCGCGCGAGGAAGTTCCATTAACCCCGCCCCTCTTTTGTCGAAACAATTATTAGCAGTTAAGAAACTGTATGTGGCAGTTGAAGAGTTTGTGGCTTCTCCTTTTTTCTTTTTTTTTGCCAGTGTGGTCTTTTTAAAAAAATCTGTATGATCCTTTTTGTTGGATGGTTCAAATAAAACTGGTTTTGTTTTTTAAGATAAGTTTTCAAGATGCTGTTGTTGTTGTTGTTTAGTCCGACTCTTCGTGACCCCGTGGACCAGAGCACGCCAGGCACTCCTGTCTTCCACTGCCTCCCGCAGTTTGGTCAGACTCATGTTTGTAGCTTCGAGAACACTGTCCAACCATCTCACCCTCTGTCGTCCCCTTCTCCTTGTGCCCTCCATCTTTCCCAACATCAGGGTCTTTTCCAGGGAGTCTTCTCTTCTCATGAGGTGGCCAAGGTATTGGAGCCTCAGCTTCAGGATCTGTCCTTCCAGTGAGCACTTAGGGCTGATTTCCTTCAGAATGGAGAGGTTTGATCTTGCAGTCCATGGGACTCTCAAGAGTCTCCTCCAGCACCAGAATTCAAAAGCATCAATTCTTCGGCGATCAGCCTTCTTTATGGTCCAGCTCTCACTTCCATACATCACTGCTGGGAAAACCATAGCTTTAACTGTATGGACCTTTGTCGGCAAGGTGATGTCTCTGCTTTTTAAGATGCTGTCTAGGTTTGTCATTGCTTTTCTCCCAAGAAGCAGGAGTCTTTTAATTTCGTGACTGCTGTCACCATCCGCAGTGATCCTGGAGCCCAAGAAAGTAAAATCTCTCACCGCCTCCATTTCTTCCCCTAAGATAAAATGTTGAAAGCTTGCCCAAAGGCTTCCATCCTAAGAAGACACAATTACATTGGCCAGTGTGAGAACACCATGCTGGACTATTTGTGTGTTTGGCCTGATCCAGCATGCTCTTTTTGTTTTCTGATGATACAAGAGGAAGAAGGGATGCGGAGGGAAGAGGAAAGCAAGGAAGGGGAATGCATAGGGATGAGATTGATGTATCCAGCCACCAGATAGCACTCTGTGATGCTCACAAGCAAGGCATAAAGAAGCAGCGTCCTCCTTTGTCTACCCAGCACCTGTTATTTATGGGTAGCTGCCTCTGACCATGGGAGTTCCATTTTCCTATCATGCCCGATCCCGCTTTTAATAACAATCTAAGCCAATTGCCCACCTAGCAGTTCGAAAGCACGTCAAAGTGCAAGTAGATAAATAGGTACCGCTCCGGTGGGAAGGTAAACGGTGTTTCCGTGCACTGCTCTGGTTCGCCAGAAGCGGCTTAGTCATGCTGGCCACATGGCCCGGAAGCTGTACGCCGGCTCCCTCGGCCAAGAAAGCGAGATGAGTGCCGCAACCCCAGAGTTGGTCACGACTGGACCTAATGGTCAGGGGTCCCTTTACCTTTACTTAAGCCAATGGCTATTGCCACATCTTGTCACAACAAATCCCACTATTCTTTCTTTTCAGCAACTTTCCCAGCTCCACAATCTTCTTTTGTCAAAATGTGGTCACTGGGACTGAACTGTATGCCAAATGTAGCCAGACCACAGATATAGAATCTTAGAAGTGTAGAGTTGGAATGGACCCTCTCCCCAAATGGTCATCTAGTCCAACCATCTCGACTGAAGCATCCATGACAGCTGGCCATCCAACCTTAAAAACCTCTAGTGAGGGAAAGTCCACCACCTTCTGAGGAAGACCGTTCCACTGTTGAACAGCTCTTACTGTAAGAAAGTTCTTCCTGATGTTTAGTCGGAATCTCCTTTCTTGTAACTTGAAGCCACTGGTTCGGGTCCTACCCTCAGGAGGAGAAAACAAGCTTGCTCCATCTTATATGTCACAGCCCTTGAGATATCTGAAGATGGCCATCGTATCTCAGTCTCCTCTTTTCCAGGCTAAACATACCCAGCTCCTTCAACCGTTCCTCATCCGGCTTGGTTTCCAGAGCCTTGATCATCTTGGTTGCCCTCCTCTGCACAGCTTCCAGCTTGGTAACATCCTTCTTAAATTGTGGTGCCCAGAACTGGACACAGTGTTCCAGGTGTGGCCTCACCAAGGCAGAATAGAGTGTCTACTTTTCTGTTTCTTTCTTTACAGTTCCTGGTGTGGAATCTGCTCACTGTAGTTGCACTCTTGAGTAAGCCCCATGACCTCAAGATCCCTTTCCTGCTCTCCTCTAGTGGAGGCCCCATTGGGGTATAGAATGGATGGGTAACATCTGTCGTCCTCCAACGAGACAATATAACACTGGTCCTAAAAGACCTACACTGGCTCCCAGTATGTTTCCGAGCACAATTCAAAGTGTTGGTGCTGAGCTTTAAAACCCTAAACGGCCTTGGCCCAGTATACCTGAAGGAGTGCCTCCACCCTCATCATTCAGCCCAGACACTGAGGTCCAGCTCTGGGGGCCTTCTGCTGGTTCCCTCACTGCGAGAAGTGAGGTTGCAGGGAACCAGGCCTTCTCGGTAGTGGCACCCGCCCTGTGAAATACCCTCCCATCAGATGTCAAGGAGATAAATAACTATACAGCTTTTAGAAGACATCTGAAGGCGGCCCTGTATATGGAAGGTTTTAATGTTTGAAGTTTTATTGTGTTTTTAATATTCTGTTGGGAGCTGCCCAGAGTGGCTGGGGAAACCCAGCCAGATGGGCGGTGTATAAATAATAAATTATTATTATTATTATTATCCATATGTTATTATCCCAGACAAATCAGGCCCCAGCCAATCAGGGATCACATATTAAATGCACTTGCAGAGGTATAAAGAGAGGGTGGGAAACCTGTGAACCTCTACATGTTGCTAGACTCCAGCTCCCATCATCCCCAGCCAGCAGGGCCAATGATCAGGGATGATTGAAGCTGCAGTCTGACATCTGCAGCATCAAAAGGAGTTCTGGAGGGTGTCAATACAAGAACAGAGCTTTTTCAGTGGTGGCTCCCTGTATGTGGAACACATTCCCCAGGGAAGTTTACCTGGTATCACCTTTATGTATTTTTAGGCACCAGCCAAATACTTCTTAGCCAGGTTTTTGGCCCTTCATTTTAAGGGTTTTTAAGTATTTGTGGCCTTTTTTAGTAGGACAGGACCTCTAAAGCTTTTTATTGTTTGCTTATCCTAATTGGTTTTAGCATTTCTCTGTGGCTTTCAGTCATTTCCACGAGTACAGCGACTAAATAATAACAATAATATTTATTTTTCTATTTATTTATTAATTGCATTTATATCCCACGGGGTTTTTTTCTTCCAAGGTGGTTCTCCCCCTTCATTTAATCACAACAACAACCCTGTGAGGTAGGTTAGGCTGAGAGGCAGTAACTGGCCCAAAGTCACGCCCACTGAGCTTCCTTGCTGAGCAGAGGAGGATTTGGATCCTAGTCTCTAGGTCCCAGTCCAATGCTCTAACCACTAGACCACACTGTATTATATAACAACAACAACAACATATTTATTACAGTCATACCTCGGGTTACAGATGCTTCAGGTTGCATTTTTTGGGGTTACGGACCACCAAAACCCGGAAGTACTGGAACGAGTTACTTCTGGGTTTCAGTGGTCGCTCATGTGCAGAAGCGCTAAATCACGCTTTGCGCATGAGTGCCGAATCGCAACCCGCACATGCGCAGACGCACCACTGCGGGTTGCGAACGCTGCGGGTTGCGAATGTGCATCCTGCACAGATCACGTTCGCAACACGAGCGTCCACTATATTTTTATTATTATTGTAAGTGCAAGCGAATACATGCGCACACACTTTTCTATCCTTCCATTTAATGAACGGAAGTGCGGCTGTACCCATTTCACTCAGCCCAGGTTAAATTTAGAATGCATTCACATTTTCTTAATTAACATCATCTCCCTGGTAAAGTTTTGGTTGCGAGTCGCGCGCTCCCTTGTCACAATCTGTTCAGGGGCTCCTGCCCTCCTCCCCGGCAAACTCTCCCCCCACATCCCCGCCACCCTCCTGTGTCCCACTCTTACTTCCTACCATCTGTGCTCAGAGAACTGAATCTGCACAGGCTCCTTCAGGACATCTCGAATGTGTGATCGAAAACATATGGGCCGTAAAATCTCCGGAGGGAACCTGCGTGGCAGCAGCAGCATGCAGCGAGTTCTTCAAGCCGAGGTCTCCTCTTTTCAAAGCGCTGGGTAGGCTCTGCAGAGCCCACGGAAAGGGGAGACCAGGGAGGGGACTGTACCACTTTGAGCTAATTGATGGGGAAATTGATGTCACCCCAAGGGCCACATTTCCTTCTGGGCAATCTTCCAGGGGCCATTTGCCAGGGCTGGGTGGTGCCAGAAGCAAAATAACTGAGTCTGAATAACTATCAGGATCACACATCATTTCTTTAAGACTTTCAAATTAAATTGCAGCTGTCCTCTGAACTTTAGAACTCTATGCCTTTCAGAAGACCTAGGGGATCTCATCTACCCCTTTAAATGCATATACAGTGGTACCTCAGGTTGTACTTAATTCATTCCGGAGGTCTGTTCTTAACCTCAAACTGTTCTTAACCTGAAGCACCACTTTAGCTAATGGGGCTTCCTGCTGCTGCCGTGCCGCGGGAGCACGATTTCTGTTCTCATCCTGAAGCAAAGTTCTTAACCTGAAGCACTATTTCTGGGTTAGCGGAGTGTGTAACCTGAAGCGTATGTAACTTGAAGCGTGTGTAACCCGAGGTACCACTGTAAAAGGTAATAGGCTTACTTCCAAATTGAAAACGCACAGAAAAACTCAAGATACATGTTGATCTACCCACACTTAGGTGAGGAATCATATGATTATATGCTGCTTTAGAGTTTTTAATTCGATTCAACACATGTAATTATTATTAATATTCATTATTTCCAGTCATTATCTCTAAGAAACGTAGAAAATAACAGGATATATTTATACGAATTCTTCAAACTTACATGACCCCTTAAAAATTTGGTAAGGAACCAAAAGTTGCATAATACTGTTTTATAATTTATGATAATTTAGAATTTAAATGTATTTTCATGTAATGCTTGATACTTCCAGCTGATGAAGGTGAATACATCAAAACAGGGCCCTGTCCGGGTTTCTGATCCATAACTGACTTCTGCTCAATGATTGAAACTAAGATCTTCACGTCAAATCTGACTATGGACTAACATGAACTTATCTCTACTCATAAACTCTTATCTTTAATACTGTAACGAATTATTGTGTTACACATATCCTTATGAGTTTGAGTTTGTAATCTCTGTTTGAGTTTGTAATCCTTGTAAGAATGCATACTTTTGAATGGATTAGTTTTTGTTACAACTGACTATCGATTTGCGAGTAGGGACCACTCCCACTTTTGAAACTTATATTGGCCAGAGTTCTTGGTGTGCTTTTTTCTTGGTACTGTATTTTTTGTCCCATAGGACGCACCTAGTTTTTTTGGGGGGGGGAAATAAAGGGAAATTCCCCCCCCCTTTATTTCCCCTCCAAAACCAGGTTGGGGAAACCAAACCAGGTCGAGGAACAGCGGTATGGTGGCGCTCCGCCTCCCCACTGTCCCCTGAGCTTGTGGGGCTGGCGCTGGGGAGAAGCGCACTTCTCCCTAGCACCAGCCTCCAAATCAGGTTGAGGAACAGCGGGATGGCGGCGCTGCGCCTCCCCGCTGTCCCCCGAGCTTGTGGGGCTGGCCGATGTCTGCCTGGCGCGCGAGGTGCTCTGCTTCAGGGCGCCCTTCGCGCCGGGCGGCAGGCTGCTATCCGCAGCGTAGGGAGCCCTGCGGGAACTCCCGCGGGCTCCCCAGGCTTGCTGATAGCTTCCTGAAGCCTGGAGAGCGAGAAGGGTTGGTGCGCACCGACCCCTCTCGCTCTCCAAGCTTCAGCGAAAGCCTGTATTCGCCCCATAGGACGCACACAGATTTCCCTTTCATTTTTGGAGGGGAAAAAGTGCGTCCTATAGGGCAAAAAATACGGTATATTTAATAACAAGAACTCCAACTTGTTTCTACATGCATTCACTCACCCTTCTCTGTGCTCCTCCCAGGCAGGGGTGGAGGAAGGGGGGCGGTGGGAGTGGTCTGCCCCGGGTGTCACCACTGAGGGGGATGACAAAATGCCAGGCAGCTCTCACCGCAGGGCCTGCAGCACGCCCAAGCCATGCATCTCTCCTGGGAGTGACATGGTGGCTTGGGTGCCCGAAGGCTCCGCACTGCCCCAAACGGTCTGCCTGCTGCCTCCTCTTCAGCTGTAGGGCGGCAGAGTGGGAGGAGGCAGGCAGACTCCTCAGAGGCCCCACGGAGTGTCCTGCCCCTGCTGGCCCCAACCCTGGGTGTACGGCATGCGTGCCGCCCCAGGCGCCCAATCAGCTAGCTTCGCTGCTGCTCCCAGTGTGGTGTAGTGGTTAAGAGCGGTGGACTTGTAATCTGGTGAACCGGGTTCGCTTCCCTGCTCCTCCACATGCAGCTGCTGGGTGACCTTGGGCTAGTCACACTTCTCTGAAGTCTCTCAGCCCCACTCACCTCACAGAGTGTTTGTTGTGGGGGAGGAAGGGAAAGGAGAATGTTAGCAGCTTTGAGACTCCTTCGGGTAGTGATAAAGCGGGATATCAAATCCAAACTCTTCTTCTCCTTCTTCTTCCCAGGCAATCATGATCAGAGGTCAAGGGCACATTTCAGCCAGGCAGCAACATTCAAGGAGGGTGCACAGCAAGCAGGGCTGGTGAGGGCTGTGGCTTGGGGCACTAGCATGGCTACAGGGTAGGGGTGGCTGCACGTTTTTTCGGTGACACAACGAGAGAAGCAGCAAACTCAGTGACCACTTGGGCAGCAAAAGCCCTAGCTATGCCTTTGGCCTGGGGAGAGACCCAAGGACCAGGCAAATGCCTGGAGGACTGCATTCTCCCCTTGGGGCCGAGGTTCCCCATCCCTGTAGGATGATGTAGGATGTAGGATGATGTGTGTGTCATTTTTTAATGCTTCCCCCATTTTTTTATAAAAAGAAACACAACCCACTAATAACTCCCTGCAAGTAAATAAGTAGCTCATCAGGGAAATAGGTTGTATCCCAGCCCTTTCCTTGCTCTGTCAGTTTTCTTCTTGATGGGGTTTTGGTTTATTGATTTAATGATGTGCATACACAGAGAGGATAATTGTAAATACGACCCCTGCAGTTGGATTCTGAAATGGCACCGCCTCGAACTCTTAGCACCTCATTCAGAGCCAATCTGCTCAATTAATTTCTCAGATTTTTTTTTAAGTGTTGCACAGACTAGAACCAAATTAGTAATAGCAATTAATTTCAATGGGTCTGCTGAGGCTGGCATTGGCTAGAACCCTGAAACTACGTATATATGGCATTCCTGTCTGTCCCAAATCTCCCAAAATTCAGTTTTTTGGATTAGTACAAAGCTCTAGTGTTATGAGAGATGGAGAAAAATTATTTTCTATCCACCTTCTCCGTGCCTTAAATCATTTTATACACCTGCCCCCCTTCCCTTTTTTTAAATAAACTAATAAATCCCAAATGCTGGTATATTTATTATAATTTATAGACGTAAACAGTAATTAATGACCATAGCAATATGTCCTCAGGCAAGCCTTTACCTGCCTACATCCTCGCCCCAATCAACATACCACCACACAACCCATTACTGCAATATGATCATATAGTTATATTTTTACAAGAGAATATTAACATTCGCTCCCAACGCTAATACTCCCTTAGGACTAATTCAGGTGTATTTCTCAACTCAATCCTGCCATCTACTGAACAGCTCTGGAAATGCAAGTGTTCAGCTCCAGCTGGAGGGAACTCTGCTCTTATGCGGTTCCATGGAGGGATGTGCTGTGCTAGGGCTGATGGGAGTTGTAGTCCAAGACATCGGGAGGACACCAGGTTGGGAGAAGCTACCATTGGCCAATATCCCCTCATTTGATAAGAAGAACCAGAGGACAAGCGGATAGCAGCTTGCCCAAATTCATGCAGCTAATCCACAACGTTATGGGTTGAGATGAGGCCATGAGCAGTGAACCTCCCCCCCCCCATCAAGGGCCACATTCCATCTGGGGTATCGTGTTGGGGGCTGTATACTCAATGATATCCAAGGCAACATGATGACCAGGTACAACAATGCGATGTCAATATAAACTCTTTATATAATCTATACAGAACATTAAACAGTATGAAATACAGTGGTACCTCAGGTTAAGAACTTAATTCGTTCTGGAGGTCCGTTCTTAACCTGAAACTGTTCTTAACCTGAAGCACCACTTTAACTAATGGGGCCTCCCGCTGCTGCCACGCCATCTGTGCGATTTCTGTTCTCATCCTGAAGCAAAGTTCTTAGCCCGAGGTACTACTTCTGGGTTAGCGGAGTCTGTAACCTGAGGCGTCTGTAACATGAGGTACCACTGTATATGAAATATGCACTCTCTGCAAAACTAAATAACCAGAGATCTTATAAATCTCTGAAAGTCACAAAATATGCACTCTGGATGGATTCTCTTGAAAACATAGAATCAAATAAACGTAAGTCTTCTAAGTCTCTGAAAATCTTTGTAGACCATGCAAGTCTCTGAAAGAAGCAATGGATCGGATTCTTATCTGGTGAAAACAAGCTGTAAAGCTTTGTTTTATGATGTCCAACGCTGCCAAAGTGGTCCGCAAACAGACGTAGTGACAGTGATTCCGGATATACCCACTGTTTCATGGAATTCTTCTTCAGCAGAGCAGAAGGATACAGAAATGCTTCATAAACCCATCTATATGGTGATTGGAATTGTATAACAACAATTGCTATGGAGCAGAGATCATCAAGTTATGTAAAGGGGGCTGTATACTGGCAGCTGAGACAGCCAGAGACAAAAGTGGATGGAAACACACACACCCTTCTGGGATAGCTCAGTCGGTAGAGCATGAGACTCTGAATCTCAGGGTCATGGGTTCAAGCCTCATGATGGTTCAAAAATCCCTACATTTAAGGGGTTGGACTGGATGACCCTCGGGGTCCCTTTCAGCTCTACAATTCTATGATTCTCTCTCTTCCTCTTCCTCTCTCTGCAACCCCCTGCACACACTCCCCCCCCATTCCCTTCTCTCTCTCTTTGCCATCTTTTCTTTCTCTCTCTGCCACCCCTTTTTTCTTTGTCACCCCTTCCTCTGCCACTCCTTCTCTATATCTCTCTCCTTATGCCGCCGCTCTGTTTCCCCCTGCCTGCCCACTAGGCTGCTTGAAGACGGACAGGTGTCTCTTGCCAGAGGTCTGAAGTGGCTGGTCTCAAGGGTCAAAGGCTGCCCACCCCTGGAGCAGGATATCTGAAAGCCTGCCTTCTTCCGTACTGTAATGAGTTCAGGGGTGCCAGACTCCCCCCCCCCCAAATTCCTTGATCTAGTAAATGTTAGAATTTAAGTAAATCTCCTTGGGTGAAAATATAAGCCTGGCCAGTTTCCCAATGAGGTACAGTGGTACCTCGGGTTACATACGCTTCAGGTTACATACGCTTCAGGTTACACACTCCGCTAACCCAGAAATAGTGCTTCAGGTTAAGAACTTTGCTTCAGGATGAGAACAGAAATCGGGCTCCAGCGGCACGGCAGCAGCAGGAGGCCCCATTAGCTAAAGTGGTGCTTCAGGTTAAGAACAGTTTCAGGTTAAGAACGGACCTCCAGAACAAATTAAGTACTTAACCCGATGTACCACTGTAATCACCTGGGAGAGGAGCCATTAGAAAAACAAAAGGAAATGTAATGGTCCATTAAGAAAGGATAGGGAGCTCCCTGCCAGGTGCCAAAATGAATGGGGTCCCTCCTCCAGCTTAGCATTACTTAGAAGAACAAAAGCAAGGCTTTAGAGTTTAGAGTTGGCTGGAATATGACCTGGAGGGAAAAGGTTGCAGTCTGGTAAATGCAGCAAGCTGGAGCGAGGGTCAGAGCACAATGGCTGGTGTTTGATTTTGGATCCAGGCTGTGCCTATGGGAGAAGCAAGATCCTCTGGGGGTGTTAGTGCTATGAGCCCCTCCATCTCAGGCTCAGGTTGCATATACAGTGGTGCCTCGCAAGACGAAATTAATCCGTTCCGCGAGAGTCTTCGTCTAGCGGTTTTTTCGTCTTGCGAAGCAAGCCCATTGACGGATTAGCGCTATTAGCGCTTTTAGCGGTTTAGCGGCTATTCCCGGCTTAAAGGCTTTGGGGATTAGCTGCTAAACGGCTATTAAAGGCTATTACAGGCTTAGCAGATTAGAAAAAGGGGGAAAGCGAAAAAAATCTCAAGACTCGCAAGATATTTTCGTCTTGCGAAGCAAGCCCATAGGGGAATTCGTCCTGCGAAGCAACTTCAAAACGGAAAACCCTTTCGTCTAGCGGTTTTTCCGTCTTGCGAGGCATTCGTCTTGCGGGGCACCACTGTATGTGTAAATAAACCATATATCATGAAGGCACCACAGTCTCCACTGTCCCTCATTTCCAAAAGGAAACATGGACCCTGGGTAAGCGCACTTGGAACCCCTGGGATCTCGCACGACTTGGAGAATGGGTTGGCATGCAACAATATGAACAGCCTGCCTATTGAGAGCATTGTAAGAGGCCCCTTCTCCTGTGTGGCAGAATGGCTCCTGAAGTCTTCTTGCTTAGGGCCAGGGGGTTCAGCTACATGGCCCTTGGGATCCCTTCCAACTCTGCAATTGTATGACCAGGAAGAGGTCCTCTTCAATGGCTGTACCCGGGCTCTGGGACTCTCCCAAGGGAAGCTCACCACACCCCCTCCCTAATGGCATCCATATCAGGGATGAGCCCTGCAGGTGTTCTTGGACTCCAATTCCCATCCCCCCCACCAGCCATTTTGAATCAAGATGGCGGAGAGAACTTTTCCAAGCTGCACTGATTTTAACCAGATTTTGCATGAGATCAAGGAGCAGGTTTTCGTCCATGTTTGGATACGAATGGATGCCATTTTGAATCAAGATGGCAGGCTGAACTTTCAAAACTGCTCTGATTTTAGCCACTGGTTTAAAAAGTGCACTGATTTCTTTGGGGTTTTGTGTGTGTTTTTAGACTTCCTGGGCAATGAAAGGTATGAGGCTGCTACTAAATAATTGTAGCTTGACAAAAAATCTCCCCACCAGCAAGCCTCAGGAAGATACCATGTTGGATCTATGTAAGAATCTATTTGCACGTTTCCCATCTTATACTTGAAATGTACCCAGGGTGGTCTCCGTGTGCTTTTTCTGTGGGGGACGATGGAGAGAACCATCGATACTGAACCTCCCTGAATCGATAAAGGGAGCAAATATAACCTGGAGGCACATGACTTCCCCTAAAGAATCCTGGGAACTGTAGTTTACCTCCCACAGAGCTACAATTCCCAGAACACTTCACAAACTACAGTTCTCAGGATTCTTGTGGGGACATCGATTTAAACCTATGGTGTGTACATCCTCGAAACTCATTGTGCCTTGAGGAGGCAAAAGACTGTTTTAGGGCAACACAGCTAGAATAGAGAAACATCTAGGTCACAGATGGACTCCAGCCCTCAACCACCTGACCATTGGCTATGGCTGGGGCTGATGGGGGTTGGAGTCAGGCAGCAGCTGGAGGCTCCCCAGCTTTCCCATCCCTGTTTTCTAGTTTCGACATCACTTGGATCTGATCCACACATATTATATATACATCAACTGATGTCTCCAGGGGCTTGGTAAGTGCCAGGAAGCTGAGATTGCAATCCTATGACCTCCTTGCTTAGGAATAAGGTCCATTAGCCCCAGAAGGGCTGACTGCCAACTCCTGCGGAGACTGGTGCAGAAGGCATTGGGCAGAAGGCAGGGAGGCTAACAGTAGGTGGCGCCAGAGAAGTGGTAGGCAGAGCCAAGTCATTCTAGTTTTGTCCCCATCCTCCTCCTTCTTTTTGCTGAGTTCTACAAGGAGCAACACTGAAACTTAGGGGGAGGGAAATGACAGGCAGGGCCACTCCCCGCAGCTGGATGTAAGTAAGAAGGCAGGCAGGAGGGAGCTGACTCAAGGTGGATTGAGGTTGGGGGAGCAGGGCTCCACTAACTTGGATTGCTTTCTAAAGATTATCAAACAAATTCATTGGTATCAGTGGCTAGTACAGTGCTACCCCGGGTTAAGTACTTAATTCGTTCTGGAGGCCCGTTCTTAACCTGAAACTGTTCTTAACCTGAAGCACCACTTTAGCTAATGGGGCCTGCTGCTGCTGCCTCGCTGCCGGAGCACGATTTCTGTTCTCAACCTGAAGCAAAGCTCTTAACCTGAAGCACTATTTATGTGTTAGAGGAGTCTGTAACCTGAAGCGTATGTAACCTGAGGTACCACTGTAACCAGGATGGCCGCGCTGTGCTCTGAATAGGAGCTGCTGGGATCTGCAACAGGGGAGAGTTCCCTTTTAGTCAAATCCCGCTTGCTGGTTTTCCACAGTTACCTGGTTCGCCACTGTGAGAACAGGTAAAAGGTAAGGGTAAAGGGACCCCTGACCATTAGGTCCAGTCGTGACCGACTTGGGTTGCGGCGCTCATCATGCTGGACTAAATGGGGTCTGATGGTTTATTTTGTTCGCATCCCTGTGCGCCTCCAGGGGTGAAGTCCAACCACTGCGTTAGCAGCCCTGAAGTGACCACCCCGGGGCTTAAGCCTGGGCAGTTGTGTCTGGAGGTCCTGGGCTGCCCAGATGACAAGAAGACCACCCGCCTCTCGGCCTCACCAAAAAGGACCACCGTATAACGCCAAGGTGCATAGAACTGCGAAACGTCTGCAGGACTCCTCTTAAAGCAAAAGCAAGGCGCCTTCCGAAGTGACGTGAACATAAGATAGGAGAGGAGGAGCAGGAAGAGATGGAGGATTGGGGCGAAGCGGCTGGAGAGCTCCGGGAGGCGCTGAGGCGGAGGCCGCGTGTGGCCCCTGGCTGGGGCCTCGGGCGGGGGTGGCCCAGCGCGGGGAAGGCGGCCCTGGCTCGGTGCGGGCTCCCTTCCAGCCGCTAGGAGGAGGGCGGAGCCGGAGCTGAGCGCGCGGGCGGCGAGCGGAGAGCCCGGGGAAGCTGCGCGCCAGGCAGGCAGGCAGGCAAGCAAGCAGGCGAGGCGGCCGTCTCCATGCCCCGCTGCAGAGACTGGGCGAGTCGGCGCCGCTCCTGCCTCGGGGCCGCGGAGCCCCTCGCCCGCCCCTAACATGCGGCCGGGGCGCCTGCTGGCGGCGCCACGCGTGAACCATGCCAGGCTTGGCAGAAGAAGAGGGGGCGCAGCAGCCGGGGGCGGGGGAGCTCCCCACGCTCACCCCCGCGGGGGGACCCCCTCGGGAAGAGGTAAGGCCAGCCAGCCCCCGAAGCCCAGAGCCAGAGACAGGCGCGCTTTGCGCTGCGCCCTGGGCGCACCGATTTGGAGACCCCGGGGGGCTTCTTCAAACTCCGGGAAAAGCGGGGTGGGGCAGGTGGTCGAGACTCCTGGATCGGGGCCCGCTTCTCCGAGCTTCGGCCCACTAATCGCCCACCCCCACCCCCGATGGTGGGCGAGGCTGCGTGGGGGTGGGTGTTTTGGGTGGTGGTGGGGAAAGGGAGACAACGGTGGTTTTGCTGCAGGGAACACGTGCTGCTTTGTGTCTTATTAATAGCCAGACGGGGGTTAAAAATAAACGGGGATGGGGGGGAGCGGGTAGAGGGGACGGCGCAAGCAGGGCTTCATTTGTCCCATCATCACCACAGGAGACCCCCCCCCATTCCTCGCCCCCCCCCCACCCTCAGCAGCATCGCCGGGATTTTTTTTGCCGCGTTGTGATTTGGAGTTGTGTATTGTGCGCGTCCAGAAAGGGGTGACGGTGGCGGGATTTCGCGGGGGATTCCGAGCTCGGGGATGGAGGGAGGGAGAGAAATCGGTTAGGGCTAGAGGAAGCCTTTATGGATCTGCAAAGAAAGGGGTGTGTGTTTTGCTACCGGCGTTGGGAGAGGGGGTAGTGGCGGGTGGGGTGGGGGGAAACGTCCGCCCGCACGAAGTTCTGCATTGCACCAGAAGCAGGCAACGTCCTTCTCTCCGCTTTGCTGCTCTCTCTCTCTCTCTTTTTTTTCCTGCTGGTGGCAGCGACTCCTGATGGGGATGATGGAGGGATTGTCTCTGAAGAAAGGGGAGTTGTCGGGGGTGGGAGACAAAGCGAGCAGGCAAGGGAACGAGGGAGGGGTGGTGGCTTGGTGGGTTTTTTTAATGTGAGGGGCGTCCGATGGCGGGGGGGGGGGAATCCTGCCACCAAGCCTGGCAGGTGGAAGAGAAATAACGAAAAAAGGGGGAGGAAAGGCTGTATTTTTGGAGATGATTGCGCACCGTTGGGAGTTGATGATGGTGCAACCTTTCCACCATTTCTCTCCTAAGCCTGCAGAAAAAGCTGGTGTTAGGTGTCTTGTGGCAAGAGGAGAGAGATAATTGGGAACAGTTTCTCCTTTAGCTGATCGGAGAAAATTCAGATTTATCTGGAGGACAAACCTGCCCCGCTTCCTTCCTCCATTCCAAAGCTCCCCAGATCAATATCCCCATGCACGCACACGTATTTATTGTTTGTTTACTTACAGGAGGGGTTTATACCCCGCCCTTTTGCGAAAAAAAGGGCTTTCTGACAGCGGCTTGCAAAAGTCATTCAGAGGCGATCCCTGCCCTCAAGCTTTTTAATCTGAAGAGACATGACACACAAGGAAAAAGGAATGGGGAGGGAGGAGGATAAAGCAAGCTTAAACACAAGTGCACAAGTAACATGTTTTAAAACGCAGTTGAGAGCCCTAGCTGGTGCAAGTAGCATTTCTGGGTTTCTTGGCCTTGATAAACAGTGCCCGCCCGGTCGGATCCAGGAGCGGAACTGATGACAACATCCAGGCCAGGAGGACAAGGTAGCTCCTGCAGTACAGCCTGAAACTTGGTGGCTGCGAGAATCCACACAGAAGCGAGCTTATCGGAGTCACCCACTGCCCTCATCAACAACAGAGGCAATATTTAAAGTACAGGGAGCTGAAATGGGAAGGAGCATGTTTTTGGTGAGACTTCTAATGGATTTGCTCATAGAACATAATAAGAGCCTGCTGGATCAGGCCCATAGCCCATCTAGTCCAGTGTCCTGTTCCTCGCAATGGTCAGCCAGATGTCTCGAGTCTGCAAGCCGGACCTTAATTGCAACAGCATCTCTTCCTGCTTATGATTCTCATCATCTGGCATTCAGAGGCCCCATCTGCACTTCAGGCAATATCACACCGCTTTAAACAGTCCTGGCATCCCCCAAAGAATCCTGGGAAGTGAAGTTTGTTAAGGGTGCTGACAGTTGTTCGGACACCTCTATTCCCCTCACAGAGCTGCAGTTCCCAGAGTTCCCTGGAAAGAAGGATATATTGTGTAACCACGCTTGGAACTGCAATTGTTAACAGACGCCCCTGTTCCTCACAGAACCAAATTCCCAGAGTGAATTAATGGTCAGTTCATCTGCCCAGGGTGCTATGGGAATTGTGGCTCTGTGAAGAGGAATGGGGGAGTCTCTTAACAGTCTCTTAAAGGATTGGCTGCTAAGTCACTCTGGGAATTGTAGCTGTGCACAAGGAACATGGGTCTCCAAACAGCGCTCAGCACCCTTAGCAAACTGCAGTTCCCAAGATTAAGTCCGGACAATTGAAAGTGACGGGATATTGCTAGCCTTCTAGCCTCCGACCCTTCACCTTACATCTTTCAAGGTCCTTCATGGTCCCACTTCCTGAGCTGCCTCTTTCCTGTCTGCCAATTCCAGGGCCCTTCACCCCCCATATCAGCCTGATCCTGCCAAGTGATGGCACCAACTATTTTCCCTGCCTGTGCTGAGATGACAGTTCTGAGCCCCAGTAGAATATAAGGCAAAGCCCATTCCGCTACATTGGCCCAGTGGATCCTCCTGTCTGGTATGGGGTGGTCCGGTGGCCCTTTGGATCTTGTTAGACTCTAACTCCCATCAGCCCCAGCCAGCATGGCCGATGGTCAGGAATGATGGGAGTTGGAGTCCAGCATCATCTGAAGCAGGGTTTCCCAAACATGGGTCTCCAGCTGTTGTTGGACTACAACTCCCATCATCCCTAGCTAGCAGGACCAATGGTCAGGGATGATTTGGGAAACACTGCCCTTCCTCCTCTGATCTATAATGACAGTGAAGGCTAGGCGTTAGTCCCGCTAAGTAGGAAGGGGGTCTTGATGGCTTCTCTCCTCCAGGAGGCAGTGATGGCCGCCATCTTGGATGGCCACTGTGAGAACAGGATGCTGGTCTAGATAGGCCACTGGACTGATCCAGCAGGCTCTCTTTCTGCTGGTGTCTTGATGGGCGAAGCCAAGGATCGCTAACATTTTGTGCCCAGTGGGCACATTCTGAGTTTTGAGAGGGTGTGGCGTGTGTGTGGGTGGGTGGCATAACACAAAATGGCTGCCACAGGGAGCACAACATTACACGAACTTGGAGAGACGGCCACCTCTGGCAACCTTACGTTCCCTGCGGGATGTCAGCAGCGTCCTGCTGGCCCTGATTGTGAAGATCACACAATATTGATTACACACACGCAGGCCCTGGCGCTGCTTCTGCCTAACAGCAACAGGGAGCAGTCTTCAGCGCCAGGAGAAATAATATACAAGGCAGCTGCAATGCAATCTCACTTCACATATATCGCTTAGAAGGTTACCTGCACATTTTGCCACATTTCGTGCTTTCCAGGAGAGCTAGAGATTTTTAAAGAAAGAATGAAATGAAATGGAAGCTCTGAGCCTTTGGTGGTGCTGGGCTGGCGACTCCTGGGCTAAGCCCCCCCCCCCCAGCTTTCAGGGGCACCTGTATTTCAGTGCCGCAACATCCTTGTATCCTAGATCCCATGAGCTCTCAACTTGTTTTCTTCAGCATCTGCGGGGTAGTGCGGCCCTTTTCAGAGCTAGCTGCCTGTCCAGTTTGTGGGCCTGATTATTGATTCCCCCCCCCCCAGTCTGGTTTTAGTGTTTACATTCCTGTTTATACACTCGGCAGAACTGAGTGTGGGCTGAACCACATCGGGCTTTTGCTTGCAGGTGGTGGGAGGAGTTTTGCATGTTTAAATGTAATTCCACTAAAAAAAAGCACATGTCACTGCATATAGAAATCTAGCAAGCCAAAGAGAAACTTAAGCGGAACGCTTTTCCCTGACACTCTGGCTTTTTACATGCGGGGAGTTTGCTGTGTACTTTTCTTTAAAACAAAAACCAGTATAGAAATTATGGTGGTGATAATGATAAATCTCACTGGGAGAAAAGGTGCCTAGACATTCTGTTGTGGAGACCAAACCAAGGTTTAAGGTGCCCTTTGGCGATTAGCTTATAGATCTGACTTTCTAACACTGCTCTGAGGAATGGGATTCTGGACTCCATAGGCTTTTTAGTTCAACCAAGCCGCAGTCCTCTTACGCTCTCATCGCGTGTTTTCCTTCCTCTTCTCTACCTCCTCTCTGAGTGCAGGACTGCAAATGGCCAAGCTCTTTCCTGATGCCTCTCCCCCCCGCCCCGGGACCACCCTAATAGCCATTTGCTCTTGGCACATTTCCCAGAAGCCTTTGCCAAAACCTTTGCATCCTGGGATGGGAAACCAGGGTGGGAGGATGTGGGCAGCGCTGGTCCGAGGCAGAACGACTGTTGGCACATAAACCCAGAGCATTGCTTCCCACAACAAAGGGCGCAGTTCGCGAGGGAGACGGGCCGACCGTAAACCTCGTTGAAAAGTTTTAAGCCAGGTGATCCACGTGCCAGGAGCATGGTTCGATCTGTGTCAGGAGGACAGTGACCACACACAAAATGAAAACACACCCCTGCTCGCCTAACCTGGAACCAGTGTAGTTGCAGTGAAACCCAGGGGTGAGGGGTGGGGACAAGGACTGGACAGCAGTACAGTTTCTGTAGGCCAAATGGAGCCACGATGCTCAGGAGCAGTCTACCCCCAATGCTAAAGGGTTTCCAATGGAAGGAAGACATGCTGGTTTCCTAGAAACACCAACCTATTCACCACGAGAAGCAGGGTACTGGGTTAGGCACTTTGGGTGTCATGTAGCAACAGCGTTCTTGTTAATGTCCCTAAAAAGACTGCTCCCCTCCAGTGTTGGCTAAACAGCCTAAATCCAAGTCATGTGGTGTGTTCCTTGATGTGTCTAGTAGTTCTGAGAACGGCAACAGCAAGATGTGGCCAGGCCTGTCATTCATCATAGCTGCCAGGATGCAGGAAAGCAGGAGAAACTTGTTTCTCTTAATGATCAGATGGTTGGAATCCTGCCAGTATGCTTTTCCCCATATACTTTCCAGGCTGGTCTATTAGGGCAACTGGGGCACTGCCCCATTAAATTCTGCCTGCCTTCTTACTTCCAGCCAGTCTAGAGGGATGACTTTGCCTGTCCTCCTCCTCCTTAGTCTCAGTGTTGCCCCTTGGAGAACCCAGCAGGGAGGAGGACATAGCTGTCAACTTTTCCCTTTCCTTGTGAGGAATCCTATTTGGAATAAGGGAATTTCCCTTAAAAAAGGGAAACGTTGGCAGCTATGAAGGAGGAGGACTACGACGAGACATGGAAGAAGCTAGAATTCATTGGCTGTGCCTTTCACTGGCTCTCTGGCTCCCCCTACTGTTGGGCTCCCTGCCTTCCACCCTACCGATCCCAGTGGGCACCAGCAGGAGGACTAGCGACTTGCGTTATATATGCTGCTTTTAACAGAAGCTGGGCATTCAGGGACTGAGTCTGGAATATCTAGCTGTCAGGGAGCCAGCCAGCAATAAATCACATGAAGTATGTGAAGTTAACTCTTTATTAGCAGAAACAAGGCCTGCTCAGGGCAGCCGAGCCTAATGAGCGCAGTAACTCTTCTTGGTTGGCCTTGCCCCTATGAGGCAGTTGCAGAGGCTGAAGATCTCTGCCTTCCCACAGCTGCCTAAATCTCCTCTGCGTCGTTCCCAAGCCATCTGATACTCAGCCTACTTGCCTGTCTCTGTTCCTTTCTCTTCATACGTCTTCTGGTCCTAGGAGTTGCCCCCATGGATCAGTTGCAGAGAGGTCCCTGCTTCCCCACAGCCAGCTGAGTCTTCTTCTCTCTCCAGGGTTTCCCCCCAAGCAATCAGAAACTGCGCCTTTATGCCTGTCTTTCCTCTTCCTGGGGCGGAAAGGGGTGTTGCAGCAGGAGTGGGAGACACCCGTGACTCTTTTTTTTTTTTTAAATTAGTTTTCAAAAATATACATTTATACAACACTCTCTGTTTCTGTTTGTAACAAAAAAGAAAATTATAGCAACTGAAGCAAAGATACTTCATATACCTCACAATACACATGAAACTACAATTTATGAAAAAGAACAAAAAGAAAAAATGAAGAAGAAAAAGTAGTTGAGGTTTTAAAAAGACTTCCAAACATTCTCATTGTACGTTATCTGTTAAATACACTTTTGCCGCACAGCTACTTATTTCTTCTGTTTTTTATCGTATTTCTATGTAAATTGTCAATTACATTTATATACTGCAAGGCTCAGTATGAGGCTGCCAGGAGAATACCCTTTATACCCTTTCTCCATGGTTCTTCAAATATTCTTTAAATATTCTCCATTCCTTTTTGTTTTGTTTGGCCTCTAACTCTTCCCGTCACTTTTGCTCGCTGCAAGTATTCTACTCTTCACAAGCCTCACCCATCTCTGCTTCTTGGCCTCCCTCCTCTCCTGCTTCAGCTTCTGCCTCTGATTCTGGACTTCTCTCTGCCATAGTCTCTCCCCACTCACTAAACCCTGTTGCCTCTCCATCGTCCTACACCTCTTCCCCGCAGTCTTCTCCCTCTGCCCCACCACCATTCCCCAAGCTCTGAGCCTTCTCCCCTTGGTGGTTCCCCAGCTGCTGCTGCTGCTGGGTGTTATTATTATTGTTAATAATAATTGAATTTATATACCGCCCTATACCCATGGGGTCTCAGGGTGGTTCACAGAATAAAATCAATATATAAAACCACAAAATCCCTAATATAAATAAAAACAACAACATGATAGCCCCCCCCAAAAAAACACACATTTTAAAAGGGCATAGGATGTTAATCGGATCAACCAAAGGTCTGATTAAAAAGGAACATTTTTGCCTGGTGCCTAAAGGTATAATGAAGGCAAACTTCCTGGGGAGAGCATTCCACAGATGGGGAGTCACTGCAGAGAAGGCCCCGTTCTCGTGTTGCCACCCTCTGGTCCTCTCAAGGAGGGGGCACGCGAAGGAGGGCCTCAGAAGGTGATCTTGGGGTCCAGGTGGGTTCATATGGAAAGAGGCGGTCCTTGAGGTATTGGGGTTCCTCCACCATTTCTCTGCGGCCAGCCAGCCCACGACACTAACCTACCATTTTGTTTCTCTCTCTCTCTCTCTCTCTCTCTCTCTCTGTCTGTCTGTCTTTCTCTGTCTCTGAGCAGCAGCGCCCCCTCAAGCAATCTCTGAGCAGCTCCCTCTGCCGTGAGTCCCACTGGAAATGCCTGGTGCTAACGCTGCTGATGTACGGCTGCTTTGGCGTCATGGCCTGGTGCCGCCTCTCGACGGTGACGCGCCTGAACTACGTCGACTCCTACCGCGACGCCTCCCTGGTCTACCACGACAGCCCTTGCTCCAACGGCTACATCTACATCCCCCTGGCCTTCCTGGGGATGCTGTACGTGGTCTACCTAGTGGAGTGCTGGCACCGCTTTGCCAAGGGCCAGATGCAGTACCGCGTGGACACGGCCAGCGTCTACGAGAAGGTGCAGCGCATGCAGCAGGCCACGCCCTGCATCTGGTGGAAGGCCATCAGCTACCACTACATCCGCCGCACGCGGCAGGTCACCCGCTACCGCAACGGTGACGCCTACACCACCACGCAGGTCTACCACGAGCGCGTCAACACCCACGTGGCTGAGACCGAGTTCGACTACGCCGGCCACGGCGTCAAGGACGTCTCCAAGGAGCTGCTGGGCCTCTCAGATTACCCGGTCACCAAGCTGCGCTTCACCAAGTGCTTCAGCTTCGCCACGGGGGAAGCCGAGGCGGCCTACCTCACCCAGCGGGCCCGCTTCTTCGGCGAGAACGAAGGCCTCGACGACTACATGGAGGCCCGCGAGGGCATGCACCTCAAGAACGTGGACTTCAAGGAGCACATGATGGTCTTCCCCGACCCCGGGCGTCCCCCCTGGTACACCCGCCGGTGGGTCTTCTGGCTGGCCTCCTTCCTCCTCCTCTCCTGGCCCTTGCGGGTGCTGGCGGAGTACCGCACCGCCAACGTCCACTACCACGTGGAGAAACTCTTTGGGGCGGACGACGGGCCCAGCCCGCTGGACGCGGTGGGCGGCTACGTCCGGCGCATCTCCCGCGTCAACACGGTGGACATGACCGAGCTGGAGTGGCACATCCGCTCCAACCAGCAGCTGGTGCCCAGCTACTCGGAGGCCGTACTGATGGACTCCACCGTGGTGGCCGGGGCGGCCTACCTGCGCAGCTGCCAGCGCTGCCGCCGGACTGTCAGCAGCAACTCCTTGCCCTCGCGCGGCACCCGGGCCCTCTACGCCCGGCTGCCCTTCAGCTGCAGCCGCTTCTCGCTGAGCGGAGCCCGGCGCTGCGGGGGAATCCTGCGCAGCCTGAGCGGCAGCCATGTGGGCAGCAGCATCGAGACGGAGCCCCTCGAGAGCCCCCCCTGCTACCAGGACGCGCTCTACTTCCCCGTGCTGATCGTGCACGGCGGGGAGGGCTGCCACCGCAACGGGCAGAGGCCGGGCCCGGCGGGGAGGGCCTCGGGGACTCCGCTGTGACCCCAGAGAGAGAGGAGCCCCACCGGGTGGGAAGATGAAATGGAATAGCAACCCAAAAGCCTCCGCCCTGGCTTGTTCCCTTATTACCTGAGTGCCCCTGCAAAAAACAAAACAATAAATGGGCTGTAGGTTCATTTGGTCCACCCATTTCCAACCCCCTCTAAGTTATCCGGGGGATGGGGAAACAAAGGACCCTTTTTGTGTGTGAGTGTGTGTGTGTGCACGCGCACGTGTGTCCAAACGGAGCCAGTTGTGCAAAGGCTGGCTTGTTTTGCACAACCCTTTGCTTCAAAACAAAATGCCCTTTCTTCTTCTTTTTCTTAGAATGTGGTTGTTCAACAAGTTCTTTAAGAACGGAAGGAAGTGGGGGACGGGACACAGAGGAAGGGGTGTCTGGCTTTGAAGCAGGCCGTTTCTGGGGCTGAGGGAGAGAGGAAAGACCAAGAGCAACATGGGGTATGTGAACCCCTATGTTTGGGCTGCTTTAGAAGCCTTGACGTCACTTCTCCCCTTAAGTTTTGTTTTTTTACTCTGCACCACTGAGCCCCTCCATGACCACGAGGGCTAAGCATCACACTCAGGGTGTCGGGAGGCCTGCAGTTCTTTCTGGCATTGTAGTTACAGGAGACTGGCTGCTCCTGGCCTTTAGATGCATTAAAAGGGGGGGGGGTAGAGGATTCCCTTCTGAAGCCTGATTGGGAGTTGGGTGGCCCCATTTTTCATCGACTGAGGATCTGTGCCTTTGTAACAGAGAGAGATCAAAGGGCCAGGCGCCTCGACCCACCCCAGGTTTTTTTGCCTGCCGTTTAAAGCGACAACAACACACATGCACACCTTTCTTTGTGGGTTCAGCCCCTTGGCTACCTACATGTAGCCTCTGGGTTCAGGGACAGTGCAGGCAACTCCTCATTTATGCGCAATCAAGGTACCGGAGCTTGGCCACAAACCCAGAAGTGGCAAAAACGTCCTTTAAAGAGTGTGATAGTTGCATAAATAGTGCCCAGCAATCTCAGGAGCCTTTGCAAAGTGAAAAGTTGGGAGTTTGAGTGAGGTGGTTTGGAGGGAGCAATTGTGGTGGAGTTTGGTACATTATTATTATTATTTTAAGGGTTTTTCAAGGGTTTCCAGAAGTTCAGAGGGTGTTTACAGGCTTTTCCAACGGCGTTCCCAAAACATGCAATTTCAGTTAAAGGCCTTGGGATGTAACCACTGCGTAAAAATGGGGAGTTGTCTGTATGCCTTCGAACGCCAGGTGCTGGGGACAGGTAAATGGGGAGAGAGAGCTCTTGCCTTCCTGCCTCGCTGGTCAGCTGTCAAAAACGGGATACTAGACTAGACAGACTTTGAGTCTCATCCAGGGAGACGGTACTTCGCTTCCAAAGTAAACTGTCGGGGCAGGCAAATGCTCTCGCTTTTGGCTATCCATCCATCAAAAGCTTTGTGCAGAATCGACGGACCAAATGTTTTTGCGGAAGGGGGGGGGGACACCTCCACCGCAAAAAAAAAAAAAAAAGTGTAACTGAACGGCTTCAGGAATCCTGGGACCAGACAGGGCCGGTCCTCCCATTAGGTAGAATGAGGTGGCGGATGTTGGGGGCGCTGGGGGCGGAGCCCTACTCAGCTGTTCCTCCTGATTGGCTGTCCAGCAGTGACGCTTCCTTGGTTGTTTGTGTGACTGGCTGTGTTGCCTGTTCTCTGCGCAGCCTGCCGGGAAAACTTTGCCTGCTCAATAAGGAAAAGCAGAAAAGCAGCCGGCCCGGGCTGCACACTCCAGGAAACGCTTTGTAAGCGCATGTGCGCCTTGGCTCCTGGTGGTGCTGCTCTTTGCAATGTCTGAGCTGGCAGGACAGTGAGTGAGTGGTGGGAGGAGGACGGAGCTTGAGTGTGGGCCATAGAGCTGGCCTCCTAAACTAGCCTGCGGCCCTCAGGTGCCTCTGTAGCAGGGAAGCTATCGCCTACTGAGTTGGCTTGCATACGTGGAAAGCAAGATTCCTAGGGACATAGCCACCATTCGGTAGTTCAGGGCTGCTGAGGATGCTGGAAGGTGGAAAAGGATGTTGGACTTAGGCCATAAACCAAGACAGGACTTGGCTGACATGTCCGGGCTTGCAATGGAGGGCCCAGGCGCACATTTTCCATACAGTCATTCACGCCTGTCTCCTGTGGTCGTGGGCCCTCTCTGCACCCTGTCTTGTGGCCAGCTATGCTCTACTCAAGAGCAGACGCACTGGTTTTTCAATCCTAAATTAGTCACACCCAGTCGTTTTAACGGATCTGCCTTGAACGTTGGGAACACCATCACACAGTTAAAACGGCCCTTGAACTTCTGCCAAAGAATCTCAGGAACTGTAGTTTGTCAAGGGGGCTGAGAGTTGTTAGGAAACCCCCTTGGTGCTACAGTTCCCTGCACCCTTAGTAAACTACAGTTCCCAGAATTCTTTGCGGGCAAGGAGACATGGCTTAAGGTGGCAGAAGGGTGTTTTTGCATATCTGGTGTGGTTGCGACCTTGGGACAGCCACAGGTTTAGGCTGGCTTAACAATTCGTTCTCCCTTTTCTGAGCAAATGACGGGAGCACCATTTTTATTTTAATAAGGCTTGGGCTAATTCTGAGCACTCCTGGAATGCCACGATCCTCCGGGGAGGGGGGGAGGATAACAAGCTTGTAGTGTAGATACACCCGGGAATAGCTCAGTAGGTTGAGCATGAGACTCTTAATCTTAGGTTCATGGGTGCGAGCCCCAGTTGGGAAAAAGATCCCTGCCCTATGGGGGAGGGTTGGATTAGGTGACCCTTGTGGTCCCTTCAGACTCTACGATTCTATAAAAAAGTTTATAAAGAAACACATTTGCTTTCTTCCTGCCTCTTCCAGTATTCTGGATCCCAACCATGTTCCTTAGATAGGACTTTTTTGGACTGTAGTGGTTCTGCCTCTCCCAAAATCTTAAGTAGGCAGGGCTTCTTCCTCCAGCCTTCAAATGGCCTCCTGCCAGGGACTTTTCAGTTGTGGCCCCTGCATTGCTGCAGGTTATGTCAAGGGGCGGGACTTCACACACACACCTTTTTCCAAGCTTCCTGATGCTCCTTAGACTCTACCATGCGCAGGCTACAATGCTCTCCTCTCAGCTCGTGAGGAAAGCATGTGTGTGTGCGAAGGGACTGGCGTGTGTGAGTGTGCGGGGGGAAGATGTTGTCATTCCCGACCCCACCATCCCATTATTATGACGGGGGGGGGGTGTCTCCACATGTGACAGGCCCAAGGAGTCCCAGGTGGGGGCCTCCATCGCCATGCTGTTGTAACTTCAGTGTGAGTTTGCATCGAGACCACTGGTTTCTTCCTGTTTTCCTGGGGGACGGGGTGGGGGGGTGGCGAGGTATAGAAGCCCCCCCCCATTCTCCCTCCCTCCTGCTCTCTCTCCTCCCGTATCCATGCAACACAGGCGCAATTCAAGAGAAGAGACTCTTTTTATTGTGCAACATGAATGTGGACGTGGAACTGTTAACCTAAATCGGAGGGGGTGGGGGTGGGGCGACGTTGGGACTTGTTGATGTTGGAGTGAAATAAAAATTACTTCGAGTCCCTCGCTCATAGGACAATAAAGATCTTTCGAGGTAGGCAGGCGCCTCTTGTGTCCTTGTGGGGGTCTTCTGGATGCGGGGAGCAGGAAACATTGGAAAGGAAGATTGGGGTTCAGGGACTCCCAACTCCCATCAGCCCCCAGCTGGCATGCCCAGTGGCAAGGGATGATGGGAGTTGTAGTCCAACAGCCTCTGAAGGTTCTGAGCCTCCTATATGCAGGGTTAAACCACAGAGCCTAGGACTTGGCGATCAGAAGGTCGGTGGTTCGAATCCCCGCGATGGAGTGAGCTCCCGTTGCTCGGTCCCTGCTCCTGCCAACCTAGCAGTTTGAAAGCACAACAGAGTGCAAGTAGATAAATAGGTACCGCTCTGGCGGGAAGGTAAACGACGTTTCCGTACGCTGCTCTGGTTCCCCAGAAGCGCCTTAGTCATGCTGGCCACATGACCCGGAAGCTGTACGCCGGCTCCCTCGGCCAATAAAGTGGGATGAGCGCCACAATCCCAGAGTCGGCCACGACTGGACCTAATGGTCAGGGGTCCCTTTACCTTTTACTGACCTGTGACCTCTCAAATATATCTGCCCCCTGCTGTTGCAGCCAGTTGGGGCTGAGCCGACGGAGTGATTGACAGGCACTCGATCCTATGAAGGGTGACTTAACACTGGGGTAGCTTCTTCCAGTTTTCTGCAGCCTGGTGCCCTCTCTGGATGTTTTAGACTCTAGCCAAGGGCCAGTCACAGAAGCTGGGAGGGCCGCATTCTGCCCAATGGCCTGCACTTTCCCAACCTTGGTCTGTAGTGACCACCAGCAGGCTCTCTGGCATTTCTCAGCCCTAGGGATGGTGGGGATCAAAGCCATGCAAACCACAGCTCTTTCCCTCTTGTGTTAGCCTCTTAGCCAGGGGTCAGCAAGGCTTACCAGGATCACTCCCATGGAGATCCTCCGTGGGAGTGATCCGGTGCAGCAGGGGGCCAGTCCACTGTCCCTCAGACTTTGTGGGGGGCCAGACTATACAGTGGTACCTCGGGTTAAGTACTTAATTTGTTCCAGAGGTCCGTTCTTAACCTGAACCTGTTCTTAACCTGAAGCACCACTTTAGCTAATGGAGCCTCCTGTTGTTGCTGCGCCGCTGGAGCATGATTTCTGTTCTCAACCTGAAGCAAAGTTCTTAACCTGAGGTACTATTTCCGGGTTAGCAGAGTCTGTAACCTGAAGCGTATGTAACCCGAGGTACTACTGTATTTTGAAAAAAATAATAATGAACAAATTCCTATGCCCAACAAATAACCCAGAGATGCATTTTAAATAAAAGGACACATTCTACTCATGTAAAAGCATGCTGATTCCTCGACCATCCGCAAGCCGGATTTAGAAGGTGATTGGGCCGGATCCGGCCCCCAGGCCTTAGTTTGCCTACCCATGGGTTAAGCGATCCTCATGGGCCGCTTCCGGCCCGTGGGCCTTAGGTTGCCGACCTCTGCTCTTAGCCCATCACAGAATAGTCCTGCTGCTCTGGTTCTGCTGACCATCTCCCCAGGGGTCTCGGACACTGCATAAATTATTTCAGCAAGGTACGTACGATCTGTAATAGTAAAAAAAAGTAATGTAAAGCTGAGTGTTAAAAGAATAGAATGAAACTGACATTTTCCCACTTAAAACTGGGCAAGATGCCATAATTTGCACCCAACTTTTTTGGCTCTATGACTTTGGGGGTGGTTGCCCAGTTTTTGAGATTTGGCAGTGAAAGAACCGTTTAAAAAACACCAACTAACTTTTTGGGTCTCTGGTTTAATTTTAAAGCAGTAAAAATTACAAACTTGCTAAATAGAGTGGCTTGAATATTAGCCTCCCAAATCTGCCATGTATAAAACCTGAGTACAGGCTACCATTGTCCTCATAAGGTAGAGAAGCTGCAATCTAAGAGATGGGGGGGGGGGGAAGGCTACTTTCAGTCCAGTCCAGTATATAGTCCAATACAATATATTTTTCCTTGGTGCTTACTCCCAGGTAAGAAGGGCAGCTGAGTTCCACCTCCCCACCACCCATCAGTGGAAAACCTAAAGGGAAACAATTAATTAGATTGGGGTGATGAGCCTGTGGCCCTCCAGAAGTTGCTGGACTACAGTTCCCATCATCCATTGCCCATGTTGGCTGGGGCTGATGGGAGTTGGAGTCCAACACCATCTGAAGAACCTTGGAAGCCCCATCCTCTAAGATATGGGATCCCTGATTGGTTAGGACATATGCCTATAACAGGATTGGGGAACCCGGGGCCTTCCACATGTTGGACTCCAACTCCCATCATTCCTCACTATTTAGTGCTGGCTGGGGCTGATGGGAGTTGAAGTCCAACCGCCTCTGGAGTGTACCCAGTTGGCTACCCCTGCTGTAGCCTATCATCTGTTGCTGGACTCAACTCCCATCAACCCCAGCCAGCAAGGGAAACGGTTGGGGATGATGGGCACTGTAGTCCAGGAACACCTGGAGAGCCACAGGTCTTCCTGTCGCCACTCTCCTCCCTCTCATTTATTTGCGTGTGTGTTTTATTTTTCATGACCAATTAAGCCCAGGCAGAGCAAGGCCAAGGTTTTGAGGCCCTGCAGCCAAGTTGTCTGTATCTCTTTGCCGCTTCTGCCCTGGCAACCGCAGCAGCTGAGGAGAGCTGCCCGCCTTGGCAGCGAGCAGATGGGAGTCAATTGCTCGGAAGTAAGTCGCTTCTCCCCGGGTGGTGGCTGCAAGGAAGCCTGTGGTTCTGTCCGATCCCTGCATCCTTGCACGCCTCAGAGCATCCTCTCATCCTCCCGGTGTTGCCATGGAGATGATGGCAGAGTGGCGGGGAGACTCAGGCAGGCGGGAGAGACGGGAACAGATCTCCCCTTGCTCTCTTCCTCCCCCTCATGCGGCTGCCCAGTCTTGGCCTGTAAAATCTCAACCTGCTGCCTTTTTTGCATAGCCAAGAACACCAGAAGAGCCCAGCTACATCGAGACCACCATCTTGTTTTCACAGTGGCCAACCAGATGGCGACCCCAGAATCACCCCCCAGCAGGACTGGAGTGCAACAGCTACTCTCACCACTTGTGATTCCCAGTAACTGTGATTCAGAGGAACATTCGCTGCCTCCCAACAGGAGGAGGAGAACATAGCTGTTGTGGCTAGCAGCTGTCTAGGGTCCGGCCCTTCGTGATTTTGCCCAATGCTCTCTTAAAAGCATCCAAGTCGGCAGCCATCACTGAACAACTGAACCTTTCAAAACCAATCATTTACCACACTATCAATCTGCAGGTTCTTCTCGCTTCCTCTACCCCAGGGGTCCCCAAACCAAGGTCCGTGGGCCGGATAAGGCCCGAGGGACTCGTTTATCCGGCCTGCGGTGACCCCCGCCACCCACTGCCGCCGTCCACTCTTACCGGCGCTGCGCTGCGCGGCTGCCCACTTCTGGGTCGGAGGAGCACCAGAAATAGCTTGTGTGCATGCGCAAGCGTTTTTTCTGGTGCACATCCGTGTCGGAGGAGGCCCGTGCACATGCGCACAAGCTATTTCCAGTGCTCCTCCAACCCAGAAGTCTGACGGAAATAGCGTGTGCGCATGCGTATGGGCACGCGCCCTCCGGCCCGCCACGTGATCAGCGCTTGAGACATCGGCCCGAGGCACAGTAAATTTGCTGACCCCTGCTCTACCCCATCCCTGCTCCCCAGCTTTACCTAATGGCATCTTCCGTCTTTCGTTTGATTCCAGAAAGATGGTGCTACAGGAGCAGTCTCGTTAGGGTGTGGATAATTGGGCCTGACCCCCTGCCCAGATGGCACCAGATTTCCTGCCCTTACCCATCTTAAAAAAATAAAATAAAAATGGCCCCCATCCACAGTTTGAAGGGCATCTGCTCTCACAAAGACCCCAGCACTCCCATTTTATTTTCTCCAGAAGCATAAGTTTCCACAAACTCTTATTTTATTATTACATTTATCTCCTGCCTTTCTTCACAAGGAGTTCAAGGGGACAGATATGTTTCTTCCCCACTCTCCATTTTACCTGTACAACAGCCCTGTGAGGTAGGCTAGGCTGAGAGGCAGCGACTCCCTCCCTACCAAAGTCACCCAGTGCGATTAGTTTTGTGGCCAAATGGGGATTTGGACCCTGGTCTTGTCTTGCTGCTGCGATCCCAGGAATTAAGGCTGCTTTGGAGCCAGACGTATCTGATAGCTCAGGAGAGGAGACTAAGGGCTTATCCTCACTTATCTTGTGCCCTGCTCTTTCCAGGCAGAGGTCCACACTTTAGCACGCCATGTCAAATCATTTTTGGATTTTTGCCCCAAGCTTTCCCTGCAAAAGCACACTATTTAAAGCAGTGGTGTAGTGTGGAGGTGGGGCATCGGGGCCGTTGCCCCGGGCGCAAAATTGTTAGGGGGCACAAAAATTCCAACACCTGATGCTGCCTCAATGTAGCTGTGTGCTTTCATCGTTGAAAATGGCTTCTCCACGCGAACCAGGAAGTGACCTCTCCAGACAACGGACAGGCTCTTCTTACCTCTGTTGCTGTGATCTCCTGTGTGACACAGACGCCGTTAGGCAGCTGAATGCACATGTGTACTCCGTTCTTTTCCCTCTCTGCCACCCACCACCTCCACTCAGCCCTGGGTGCTGGCAACTGTTGTAAACAGAATCTGGTCTTGTTCCCTTGTGGGGTACACAAGAGCCCTTATAGAGTCCTTTGTAGGTTCCCCATCGGTAGGAGAAAATAACAGAGGCCAACCAGAGAATATTGAGAAGCAAAGCAGCTAGTAAGCCTGATCTTTATTAACGCTGTTGCAACAGGGTGCTCCCCTCACACGCAGGAGGACGGAGGAGGACCCAGAACAAAGGTGGGCCTCCCTTTATACAGACATTTTGAAATTCCCTGCCCTGGAGCTCAAGACCACCCCCAGAAACATCATACATACATCATAGAAAAGGCGGTCTACAACAGAAATCTGAGTGCTTTGTTTTTCTCCTGTCTGCCAGGTTATCTGAAAATGCCTTATCTGATTGCCTTTCCTGGTAGCCTGGCCATTCCCTTGAGATGGTAATCACTTAATTTCCTCTCCCTGCTTGCAGAGAAACATTTGGTCAGTTTGGGAGTCAAAATGGTTTCAGGAATGTATTCCTGTGCTGCTCCAGACATGTGGTTTTTATATTTATGTATGTGTTTGCTTGATACATTTATGAACATTTATTATATATCTAAGTCCTAAAAATTCTTATAACACAACCCACAGTACACCACTACTTTAAAGCTGAATTGGAGCAAAAGTAAATTCAGCTTTTATGCAGATTACCGCTTGCTCCGGTTGAGCTTTAAAAGAGCAGGTTTTGTGGGGAAACCAGAATAAAGGGTTTGCTCAGACATGGAGCTTTCAATCATGGACCATGCCTGGAAAGAGATAAGCCCTGAGAGTGGGACTGGGTGGAATTAAACAAAATGCTGCCAAGTGGCGTGCTTCTGTTCAGGGTTCGAGCCATGTCCCTTCCCCGCATGCTCCATGCCACGCCTATTGTATGTACTCAGTCCACACTGAGCTGTTTCCGGTTCCTTTTAATGGTGGCTGGTGGCCATTGGGGCAGAAGGCAGGGAGCACACCAGTAGGTGGCGCCAGAGCCATTGACAGGCTGAGCCATTCTAAGTTTGGTCCCCCGTCCTCCTTGCTGAGTTCTACAAGGAACAACACTGGAACTAAGGAAGAATAAGGTTTCAGGCAGCAGCACCCCCTGGACTGGATGCAAGCTAGAAGACTTGAGTGGGGGACCTGTGGCCTTCCAGAACTTGCAGGATTACAACTGCCATCCTCCTGGACCACTTGCAATGCTGATGGGAAGGTGCCTCATTTGCCCTAATGGACCAGCCTCCACTTAGATCCCCAGGTGCTGTTTTTTGCCTACATAAGGAGAAAGAATGACTTGGCTCTTGGATGACTTAGCAGCAGATTTTAGGGAGGACAAGGCTTTCAATGACAATGAAATGAGACAATGGCTACTAATCACACCTCCACTTTCAGAGGCATCTTGTGCCTCTGAATATCGGCCTAAGCCAGCAGGCTTGCCTTAGCTCATGGATAGGCAAACTAAGGCCCAGGGGCCGGATGTGGCCCAATCGCCTTCTAAATCCGGCCCGCAGATGGTCCAGGAATCAGCATGTTTTTACATGAGTAGAATGTGTCTTTTTATTTAAAATGCATCTCTGGGTTATTTGTGGGGCATAGGAATTTGTTCATTTCCCCCCCAAAAATATAGTCTGGCCCCCCACAAAGTCTGAGGGACAGTGGACAGGCCCCCTGCTGAAAAAGTTTGCTGACCCCTGCCTTAGCTCTTCTTATTACACAGGGTTCCAGCCTTTTAAAAGCGTTGATCATGGCTGTATCCCTTCATTCCTTCTCATTCCAAACGCTTCTCTTCTCAACCTCATGCCTGCAGAAGGGAGCCACTAGAGCATCCCTTTGTTTGTTTTTAAGTGACGCATCGCCTCTGGAATGCAAAGCCACCATCATTTATTAATGCGGCGCTGGCATTTTTAGTGGCGCTCTCTAGATATTAGAATAGAATCATTTTATTGATACTGTGCCGTAAATATACTCAGCAGTTTACACAGAGAGAGATAAACAAACAACCCCAAAAGAGAGGCCACTGCCTCCCCCTGCCCCCCGGGGGACACCTCAATCTAAATTTATGTGGCAGAGGATGAAATCGGAGGGATGAGCCAAACTAAACAAGGGATTAATGCAAGCAGATGTAGGTTACCTGTATGGACACCTTGTTTCAACTGAGGGATGGAGGGATGCAAAGGGTTTAGCCAAAAGCTTCATGGACACAGTGGCTGGGACCCAACCCCTAGGTGTGGCTGCAAGTGCCCTGGCTGCTGGTATGTCTCCCACAAAGTACACCCAGTGGCCAAAAAGGTGTGGAAAGCTGCTTTCGATCGTTCCCCAAAAGGTGATTGGTGCTGTCAGTTATTTAACAGATTCCTTTGGCTCAAAATCGGCAAGAGCATCACTGATATAGGTGCATCCATCCTTACCCCCCGCCCCGACCTCTTTTTAATCTACAAATACCCCCATATATGTTCTCTTTCTCGCCTTACTTCTCATTCACTTCCGCTTTAACTCCAAAACCTCCCAAATCTATTTCCTCTCCCCTCACTCCTGGCTTTTCCTCGCCCTCTTCTCTCCAGTCCTGACTGCAGACTCAGCAAGACGTCATTCTGGATGCCTGAGCAGGGAGCCCTTCCTTCCCACTGGTTTAGGGCCCAGAGAACTACAGAAGGGCCTGGTTGTGTGAAGTGAAGATCTGGGTAGGCTTATCATTTCATTCTGGTTAAATTAGATGCCGCCCAAGGCAGGCCTGAGAGAAGAAAGCCTGGAGTCTTCACTGATCAGGAGCCTTTAATTCTTAAGCCTGGGTCCTGGCACCCCTTCTCTCGAGGTAAATACACCTATTTTTTGTAAAGTGGCAACGAGACTCTGGTTTTATCTCCTCCGAAGGACGCCAGCGCTGCAAAGCTGCTCAGGGGAAGGCAAGCGGGATAACAGGGAAGTTAGCCAATAAACTCTCCGTTCCCATCATTCCTGCCACACCCTCAATCTTGGCACCTGGTTCCCTTTCCTTAAAACCTCCCCCGCCCCCATTCCATAAGTAATGGGGTTCGTGATGACTGCATCTCATTCCCATTGGTCGTGCCCTGCATCTCCCACACACCCCAGCCAGTCATTTCTGTTGAACAGAGAACCCCTCGGCTGGATCAGTCTTCCCAGGTCTCCCCTGCTCTTTGGCTGTTTTCATTGTCACTGGTGGCTGCGGTGGGATCCCTCTGCTCCCCGGGTGTGCTGTTCTCTTCTGCCAAGCACAGCTTGCTATTTAGGGTCTCGGTTTGGATGTCTCTAGGCTGGGTTGATGGCTCCTTTTGCAGCCTAATAATAATAATAATAATAATAATAATAATAATAATAATAATATATTTATACCTTGCCCACCTCGGTGGGTTTCCCCAGCTACTCTGGGCGGCTCCCAACAGAATATTAAAAATATGATAAAACATTAAAAACTTCCCAATACAGTGCTGCCTTCAGATGTCTTCTAAAAGTCAGGTGGTTGTTTATTTCCTTGACATCTGATGGGAGGGCGTTCCACAGGGCAGGTGCCACTACTGAGAAGGCCCTCCGCCTGCCTCCCTGTAACCTCACTTCTCGCAGTGAGGGAACCACCAGAAGGCTGATAACAAATGGAGGGAGCAGAACAATGGAATAATTTTTTTTAAGCCATGTGGATTCTTTAAAAAGGGGGCAGACACCCCCCCCTACACCCCCCCATGGTTACTGAAGAGTATGGTCGATTCATCCCAGACTGTCTTCTTAAGACTGCTGCTTAGGTATTCTTATGAAATGGAGATGGAAACTTTGGCATGATAGAGATGTTCTACCGCAGCTTGAGTTAGGCCAGGCCTGCCTTGCACTCTCTCCAGCTGTTTCTCACCTGTGCTTGGCTGATGCTGCGCGGTCTCTCTGCCGGCGGTTTTTAAACCAGTTCCCCACTTGGGTGGGGGTGAGCCCTGTCGCCTGGGCCAGGTGCCTCTTGCGGGAAGGGTTAGGGTACGGATCCTGAAGGTACCATTCCCGCAGGAGGTTCCGCGTCCTTTCCTGGGGGAAAAGGAGAACGGATGTCAGGCCACAGGACAGGTGCAAAGGAACGAGGAAAGAAAATACTCTTCTGCGGAGGCTGAAAAGCAGAATCAACTTATGCTCCATTTAATGATGACTTTACTCTCAAATTCCCTTCTCTTCAAGAGGTGTCCTTGTCTCCACCCCTCTATTCTTCTCCATGCCTGCTATTCTTCTTCATATTTTCTTTTTACGATCACTTGTTTTTGTTTTAAATTAATTGTCTTTTGCTGGTTTTAATATATGTGTGTATGTGATTCTTTTCTTGCTTATAATATTGTGAGTCACTTTGAGCTGCCAATAGTAAACAAGAAAGCAAGTAATACATATAATTACTGATGATAATAATAATAATAAATAATATTATTACATCCCCCCCTTAATGTGATGGATCCTGCTGTTTGCCAACACTTGCTCAACTTGTTTTATAAGTGGGACAAACCAGCCTGTCAGCTGTTCCTTCCTTCCGGACCGTCCATCCCATAATCCCACTCCATTTGACCACCACCCTTCCTTTCCCCCCCTGTCCAGCCAACAGGCAGCTAGCAGTCTGTGACCACAAAGTATACTCAGTCAGCCCTCGTTGTTTTTGGGGAGTGGGGGGTGGGATTCTAGTGAAGAAGCACACAAACGTGTCTGCTGCCCCTGATTGCTTTGCTTGCCAAACTTACCTCCCCGATCGCCCTTCTCACACACCACACCAAATTGCCCCGTTTGGTAAATTGCTGTGTGAAGCCCCCCTCCCCCCTTTAGTTAAGCATCACTTCCGACACATTTGATGGAGTTTGGAGCTGCTTCCATTAAACAGCTCACTTGTCCATTTGCATGGCTGCCTATTGGCAGCCAAGCGAACTGCAGAGCGTGACAACACCTTGCATTTTTATGTATATAGGAAGATATATACAAGTGGGTTTTTTCGCCAGGCTGGAATGTATCTCTGTACTCTGATCACGCCTCTCGTCTGCCTGGATGGAGGATAGAGAGTGCTGTGTGAGTGCATGTAGAAACTAGCCTATTGAAGAGCAGTACTTTGCATGTGTTGCTCCACCCACTTTTGCATGTGGCCCTCGGAAGGTTGCCTGGAAGGCAGTGTGGCCCTTGGGCTGAAAACGGTTCCCGATCCCTAACGCAGATCTAGATCCCGTTTGTCTCCATGGCAACAGGGCAACCTCTTTAGACATGTAAATGGCGGTACTCAACTGGCCAGCTAAGGACGTTAACTTACAAAGAAACCAGTCTGACCAGTTCAGGGGTCTCTTCTAAGATTCCAAGGCTCCTTGGTACAGAAACACAGGCATGGAAGGGACACGAAGATATCATACAGACTGACCCCCCTCTCCCCAAAACTCTATAGCAATATAATCAGGTCCTGCTCACCTTGAAGCCATTCACTTTCTGCTCCCCGTCTTGGCCAGAGTCCCTCGGCAGACCAGGGACCTTCTTCCGGGCAGGTGATCGGTCTGGCGGATGTATTGAGAACCTGTCTCCGCACCGCAGGGCTCCGAACGGTTCCAGGTGGTAGGTGGCCACAGTGGCCTGGCTGCAGTAGGGCGCCAACCACGCAGCCGAGGGAATCGGGCTGCTGAACAACTCCAAGTCATGGCAATTGGCGTGAGTGCAGCCGAGGCCTTCGGGGTGCCGGAGGGCGAGCGACGGCGGGAGGGACCACAGGAAGCGGGCGAGGCGCTCAAATTCTCCGCTCTCTTGCAGGGCTTCGCAGACGCGAGCCACCTGGCTTGGGGAGAAGAGGGGGACACTTGGTGGGGGCAAGGTCATCTTGGGGGACGGGCTGAGGCTACTGGGAAGCTAGGCGAGGCAGGCCTACGGGGCGAGGGGGAGCAAGATGGCCGTGCTAGGGGTGTGGGGAAGGGTCTACAGGACACAGTGGCAGAACACCCAGAATGCCTTGGGTGGAGGAGGAAGGGAGGGAAGTATGAAGGAGAAATAATACGAAAAACAACACAAGTATTGTCAGTAGAAGCCCTCAGTGATGTTGTCATAGGAACAGGGTGAGGAGTTGCAACCCTCTCCCCAAATCAGATTCTCTTCTGGAATAGAAGAGCCTCAGTTGCCGGATCAGGCCAAAGGCCCATCTAGTCCAGCATCCTGTTCTCACAGTGGCCAACAGAAGCCTCATGAAAGCCTGCAAGGTGGACCTGAGGGCAGTAGGCCCACTGCTGTTCTCCTCCAACAACAACCTCTGATTCTGGAAGCAGAAGCCACTGTTGGTTCCCAGCAACTGGTATTCAGAGTCATCTGGACTATTTTTAATGTATTTCTATTTATTTTCGGGACCCCACACTCATAATCTGATGCCCTTCTTTGTGTGGCCCCTCCATGAGAAGTCTGGAGGGTGGCAACAGGAGAACAGGCCTTTTTTGTGGTTGCTCCCCATTTGTGGTTGCTCCCCAGGGAGGCCCGCCAGGCACCTTCCTTACATATCTTTAGGCGCCAGGCAAAACCTTTCCTCTATAACTACCTGTAGCCTTTTAGGAAATGGGCGGGATGTTTTAAATTTTTTTTATTTCCTCTTGGTTTTAATGTATACCCTCCAACACTTTGAAGCCAACATCTGGGATGCCATCTTCCTGGTTTCCAACTTCCCATTTTTTAATTGCAACTATACCCATTTTGGTTGTCGTAATCTTGGGTGATTTCGTGCCCTGGCCTCCTCCTCCCAAAGATGCACATTTTGGGTGCCTGCGCAAGATTGCAGCCCCCCAAAATAGTGCTTTTGGGGGTGGGGAATGGCCTCCGTTTTCTCGCGATAAAAAACGGGATGTCTCAGTTTATCCCGGACACTTGCAAAGTCTGTTAATATATCTGTGTGGGGTTTATTATCTGTTAGTTTGGTTGGTTGTAAGTCTCTCTGGCCTTGGGCATGATAAAACAACAAAATAAATAAAATAAATAATAACAACAACAATAATAAATGTACACCCTCCCCACCCTCTCAGAGGAAGCAAGGGAGCAAACAGCAAATGATAAAATAACAAAAGCGCCTTTAAAACTTCTTAAAAGCCAGTTCCAATGCAGATGCAGACCGGGATGAATATCTCTTCTTAAAAGGCTCATAGGAAGAGGAAGGTCTTTGCTAGGCTGCAAAAAGACAACAGAGATGGCCAGGCTGTCTAATAGCTAAGGAGAGGGACTTCCAAAGTTGGGGCCACCACACAAAAGGCCCAATTCCTACATTGTGAGGAAGGGACATCCTAGAAAGATAGTCTCTGCGGGACTCCTTCCCCTGAAGAGTGAACTGATTTGGTATATAAGAGGTGAGATGATTCTGGTCCCAAGTTCTTATAGGGATTTATGCAACCAAAACCAACGCCTTGAACTTAGCCCGGTAGTTAATTGGCTGCTAGACTCTTCTAGCCAGAGGGAATTTCCCCGGGCACAATATCCACTTGATGTATTTAGAAACCCACCCTACTATGCGTCATTGATGGAGGAGGGGGCTGGGACACCCTTTGCTCCTCTCCCCAGCCAAAATGGCTTTAGATCACATGTAATGATTCTTTAGGAGAGCAACTACATCTCTGTCTCTTAGGAGATCACAAAAAGCACACCCTAGAGCAAACCATCTCGAGATTCCTGCCACCCCTCCTTTCCAACTTTGCAATCCCAAATCACACCCCTCCGAAATTCCCTTGTCACCCCCACACACCCTGCCACTCAGATTGCCAACTTTCACACAAGCCTCGTTCCGCTGCCCCTTAACCAATGACTTGATCTGCAGGAATAAACTGGCCTTCCATCGCCTTTATTTCCTCTCCCCTCGTTGATTTCCACAGATCAAGACGCCATTAAAGGTGCCGGAATAGGCTGGGATTTCCTCCCCACCCTCCCAAACAGTTGGCAACTCCACCTTGAACTGAAACCTGAAATCGCACCTATACCAGACCTTTCCCTATAGATATCCAAGCCCTGCTCATCTTAACTCCCCCCCCCCATTTTTTAAAAAGCTACTCATACACAAAATGTTGTTTACCTTTTTTACACCCCAAATGCTTTCCTTGGTGGGTTTTAGAGCAGGGGAATAGCTGGGGACATCCAGGTGGAGAATCTAGAGGCGCAGGGTCATCCTTAAAGGTCCCAGCGCTCCGCGGGGACCCTCGGCCGGTTGCTGTTTGCGGCAAAAGAATCTCCCTTTCTGCATCGAGAGTTTCTTCTCGAACGCCTTGGGATGAAGCCTTGATGCTTTGGCACCCTGATTACCGGGAGCTAATCGCCACGCAAGAGGGTTTTAAACAGCTCAGGGAGAGGTTGCCTTGTGAGTGGTTTGAAGCGCTGACTTATTAATGTGTCAAAGGGGAGGCTGGACTTCAGCCGCGAGGCGATCACAAAAGGTCTCTCTGGCATTAGGCGCTGCGAAGAGGGAAGGGAGAGGCAGATGGGTGGGCGAGATTGGGAGACCCGAGTTCCCCCCCTGAAGTGAATCTGGGGGTCTCCTGCTGATTCTATCGGGGTCAACCCTAGATTCTGACCCCAGTTTCCCCCAGCGCGGTTGATGCCGCAGTTTAATCCGGTGCTTAAATTTTTGTATCTATTTTACATGCAGATATACACTTCCTTGGTGTGCGTGTGGGTGTGTGTGTGTGTGTGTGTGTGAATCACCACTTGAACTGACTTCCACACAAACGGGCCTGGGCCTTAAGGTCAGCTTCGGAGGTCATGATTTGTTTCCCCAACAGGCCTGATAGTGAGGGGGAGAAATTCGTGTTCAGTTCATCTTTAAAGGCCTAGGGCAAAGTTGTGTGCTGAAATGCATATATTTGTGAAAACAACATACAAAAAGCATTGTATTTCAGGAAATTGCTCAGTGAAAGTGTGTATATTTAGGCAACGTTTCAGAGGAAAATGTGTTTATTTGGGAGATATTTGTTCTGAAATGCGGGTGAACTTTTTGAGGACTTAAAAAAAGCAACTCAGTTTCAAACTGATGTGGAAGTGCTGAGAACTTAAGACTAGAAAAAATGAGAAACTGAGAGAAACCAAAATTGACAGATTTGCCCCTCCCTTGATATTGTTTATGGCATAAATCCACCGAGCCCCTTCGTTTCCTACATTTAGGAAGACACCTTAGAACAGGCTTTTAAAGTATATAAATAGTGTGTGTGGCTTACTCTGATGCACCATATGAGCTGCTTTTAGTTTATTCTGATGTTATTACGAATGTTCTCATTCTTGGAATATTTTTTTAATGTTTGCATTAAAAACATTTTTTTAAATTAAAAACATTCTTTTAAATGTTTGTATTTGATTCTGTTCATTCAGTTTTACAGTTTTCCGCTGTTGCCCATGCTTCCGTATGTGTTGTGTGACCTGTGAGAGCTCACAGAGGCCCAAAGACACACTGTTTGGGGGCGCTATACTCACTATGGTGCTGAAAAATGTGCATTTTGGAGAGCCAGACAAGACTGCGGCCCTGAAAAGGGTGCTTTTTTCAGTGCGGGAGTGCTTTTTTTGGGGGGGGGCGCAAGATCTTGGCATGAAATCGTGCAAGATCACGGTGCCCAAAATGGCCGCCATGCTCTTGTATGAGAAAACAGGATGTCCCATTTTTCCCCCAGGACACCCGCAGTGTATGGGCTTGCTGGGCCTTCGGCCTGATCCCGTGTTCTTATGAGTAACAAATAATTGTGACGATTATGATAAAGATGAAGTCGCTGGACTGGTAATTTAGGACGGATTCATTTGCCAGACTCCTTCCACCCACCCCCACAAAGGATCATATCCTATTTTGGGCCTGGCCTGAATAGAATGAGAGAACCCTCTTTAGCTAGAAGGCAGGAAAATGTGAGGATCTCTCCACCCACTGGGTGTTTGCTTAGGCATGAAGTGAGGTCATTAAGCAGCAGCAGGATGGAGACAGGCGTCAGGTTTTAAGAGCAGTCGCAGCGGGATTTTCACCCGAAGTCTTTAAAATTTGCATTCAAGATGGGTATAGCTGGACCACTTTTGCCCTTCGGCTCTGTGGGAGGGAGTTATCCCTACCATGTTTATTCATTTATACATCCACTCCATCCTTCCCTTAAAAACAAACAAACAACTAAATTGCTAACATTTGAAAGAGAGGAAAAAAACACTTGCAAAATGGCCCCGGGGGATTGGGGAGGGTTTGTCACATTATGGATGCTAGCCAATCAGTGTCTGCCGTAGCCAGTCTCCCACTTGGCCCAAGAGTTCCAGAACTCATTTCTTAAGCGCTCATTCTGAGAGGATAAGAGATAACAATGGAAGGGACTCAACGGCACAGGGGCAAAGCATCTGCTTTGTGTGTGGAAGGTCCCAGGTTCAATCCCCGGCGTCTCTAGGTAGGGCTGGGAAAGACTTTCTGCCAGAAGCCCTGGAGAGCTGCTGCCCATCAGTGTGTAGTAGATAGTACTAAGCTAGATGGACCAATTCCGTATCCCATCCCCACCTCTCCCACAAAAGGGCTCTTAAGGGGCAGGTGAGGATAAGCCCTTCTGTTGGAGCCAGTGTGATGTAGTGGTTAAGAGTGGTAGTCTCGTAATCTGGGGAACCGGGTTCGCGTCTCCGCTCCTCCACATGCAGCTGCTGGGTGACCCTGGGCTAGTCGCACTTCTCTCTGAAGTCTCTCAGCCCCACTCACCTCACAGAGTGTTTGTTGTGGGGGAGGAAGGGAAAGGAGAACGTGAGCCGCTTTGAGACTCCTTAGGGTAGTGATAAAGCGGGATATCAAATCCAAACTCTTCTTCTTCTTCTTAAGAACTCCTGAGAGAACTGCTGTTGGCCAAGGCAGGCAACACAGT